CAGCGAGAGGGCCACATCACGCACCGAGCGTGAGACGGGATGGTTTCCTCCATGGAAGACATCTATCATGATGGAGAAGCCATAGAGCTTTTCCTCCGCAATGCGACCATCGGTGGGAAACTTGACGTCGGTGGAAGTGATGGCAATGGCATCTTCCAAGGTGACGGAGGCTCCCTTCTCAACGTATTCCGCTCGAGCAGCCAAGTCCTGGACTGCCTTCGCTTCCGAATGGCCTTGGCACACCACTGAGAAGGGGGAGAGGCCTTCGCCCAAGGTGGTCCCTTGACCGTTCACGAAGTACTTGCGGAAGACACGATCCAGAATGTGTCCAGTGACCAAGGGTTTGTTCGCGAGGTTGATGGGTAGTGCTGAGGCCTGAGTGCGTTCGTCTAGTTGGGCTTGCAAGATCCCGTGTTCATTCCCCTTGGGGGACTTCGCGAGCAGACGGTGAATAACGGGAAGGTTTGCGTCATTGGCCACGTTGCAGAGGTTGTGGACGCGAGTGGCTAGGGCGACCCCGAATTTATCCGTTAAGGTTTTGTTGCTCTTCTCACGGTCATACTGGAGTTGTTGTTTGACAGTGGCCTCCAGTGTATCACGTAGGTTCGTGATTCCTGCGTTGAAGGTAGCGTTGGTCAGGCCCGGACCTACTGCGCCAAGCGCCGCCATGTAGGGGGAGAGTACCCGGTTTGTGCTTAGTTGGAGCGCATTTGCGCTAATTGGTGCGGCCACGTTAGCAGCAGCATTACTAGTGGATGTGTGACCTCCCGCGACCAACGTACTACAGGCGTGGAACCATTGGACCAAAGGGGCGATGGCAGCCTGTCGCGCAGGATCCGTGTGAGTCATCTCGGGGGTAAGGACTTCCGCACGGAACTGGGGAAGACTGTACTGTCCTTCGGGACGGACCACAAGGACGGCTTCAGAGAGATAGGATGGAAGAGGCATCACACGACGGACCCGGAAGACATCAGTGTCCGCGACACCACCGCCGTGGGGGCCACTGTGTAGCACAGGAGCTGGCGCGGCGGCAAACATCGTTCCTCCGTCAATAATTGTCATGTTGTGGCAGGTTACGTCAGCCGTGCGCTCGAACGCAGACATAGGAAGGACCACCGTAATAGCGCTTTGAAGGTCATTCCCCACCACGATAGCGTAGAGATTGTCGTAAGGAGAGACCTGGCTCGGATTCACGGGGTAGGCGTATAGTGAGTGTCCAATGTAGATATTCGTTTCATCATTTTGGAGGACGAAGCCAAAGGTGACAGGCGAACGAAGGCAAAATTGGCTCATAGCGCGAGAGGCAACATCACGATTTGCATTCGAGGCGCCGCCCGCAGAAGTGAGGATATCAGTGTAGTTTGGAGCATGTACCTCCATTGCCGCTGCACGAGAGACGAGATCCGAAAAATTAGAGCTGGCCATGGTGAGGGTCGAAAAGATACGAAACCTGATGCCGGCGCAAGAGATTAATCTAATCTAGGTTCTTGCCTTCAGCGTCGGCTGAATGAAGAATTGTGAGCTGAGAGAGAGACAACCTTCTTGCGATCGGCAGTTCAATGGCTGGTCTTGGCTAGGTCGCTGGCTTTAGTGATCATGTGGGGTATCCATTTCCGGAACGCAGGTGATGACCTGCGAGATGTAGAGATGTACTTGAGTTGTAGGTGAGGAGCGCGGGAATTAATTTTGCAAATTGTGAGATGGTCCTCTCGGCAACCATGATTAGGGTCATAGTTGCGAGAACCCATCAGGGTTCAAGTTTCCACGCTGCGGGGCGTGGAAACTCGGACGGGGGGTTCCCCAGGTGTGTTGCTGCTCAACACGGCTGTTGTCTGTACAAAGAAGCTGGCTGGTGCTTGTTAAGGGAGCTTACTATGCGGTTGATGGCTGTTGGTTCGATCCATGGCTGTTGGTTGAATTGATCGTTGCTTGCGGCAAGCGGCAAGTGTCCAGATTAATGGCTGTTGCCGATGGCTGCTGTGGTTCGGGCAAGTGGCATCAACTATGTAATCTTGACCCTATCCTGGCTTCGCCAAAACGAGGGGGATCCCACAGACAAAAAAGGAGGGGGATCCCGCAGACAGGAAATGAGGGGGGTCCCACAGACACTGCAGAGGCCTATTAAAGGGGTAGAGGGCTCAGGCAGATAGACTGCCGAGGTAAAGGGGTTGAGAACTCAGGCAGTTTACCCACTAACCATAATTTTACAGCTGTCACTACTGTATGTACCTGTAACTTTTGTAGCTTCTGCTGGCTTATTGTGTTGAGTACACTAACCTTGAATAATCATGATTTATTTCTACCCCTAAATTTTTAGAATCTTCAATTTCCAGTTTTGTTGGTTTACTCCTATCTCTATCCCTATATTTTGGCTTGACCGGAACAGGAAATAGGATATAGGAAATACCAAAAATTGGGGTAGAGGGCTCAGGCAGATAGGCTGCCGAGGTAAAGGGGTTGAGAACTCAGGCAGTTTACCTGCCGAGGTATACTCTCTCCATAGCGTGGAACCATCCAAGTTCGAGGGGGCCGTATCTCTTTGAATGACTTCAAACAAACAAAAACAAAAACATGAGCGCATCAACACTTGCCTACATAGTGTATGCTAGTAGGCAGCTTCTTGTAGGTTGTTTTGATGGTTTTGATTAGCTACAAAAGCTAGCTACTGTAGTCGGTAGTTAGACACGATTAATCAAAGGAGAGGGCATGATGGACCTTGGGATCATATGATTGTCATCAGAGAACTGTATCCTTCCTTTTGCTAATGTGCTATACAATGGTGCTGTGTCTTCCCCTCTAGCTAGCTTGCTAGGTAGTGACCCCTGGAGCTCGATGTATAGCTGCACAGATCCAATAGAAGACGATGATTTGGCAAAAGATGAAGAAAATAAAATTATGAACATTATGTCTATCGAGTCTGTTGGATTTCGTTGTCTGTTTTCTGACAGGATAGAAGAAGAATGGCGCCAAGATGACTCGAGAGGGAAGGATTCACTAGTCCTCGTCCGAAGGCCTTGCCTCCACTTTGCCTTGGGGCACATTCTCCCACTTTGGCCCATCGCTCCGTTGTACGACTGAACTCCTGTCGGTGGAACCACCCATTCCCGGGACCCCTTCTTCAGCCATCCCTCTATTGGTGGGAACACAAATCAAGGATAGGATCCGAGTCTACCTTGGTCTCTGTCCTCGAACCTGAAGAAGGTGGCTCTAATAGTGCACCAACACTGCCATCTTCAATGTGGCAGGAGAAGGCTGATCAAATCATCACAAAGCCAAGGATCACCATTGTGGTGAGACAATACCACAGTCCACATCCAAAGAAGTTCTTTTGTTGGAGCCTTAGTATGTTTGGTCCACTGTGCCACACCAGCAGACAATCAGGGAAGTTTACAAGGCAGCTGTCGGTTCAACCAGCCATATTACGGCCACTATGGGCAGAAATGACAGAAGGGTCCTTTGGGACTTGCTCCAAGGTCCGGGTGGTCTTTGGAAGGACAGTTTGTTGAGACAAACATGCTGGTTACAGTTGCAGTTCCTTGGATTTTGTTTCCCCAAGCACAGATTTCGTGATTGAATGGTGCTCCCTGCAAAAATTCATAAATCTCCGTTACTGAAGAGACGTCCCAGCTTCAAAAGGAGCATTCATTGGAATGATGTAAGCAGTTAGTGATTTTAACACACAACCATCAATGTGGCAGCAGCGGCTTTTTATCTTACCTTGAAACATCGCGATTGAAGGCAGAGTTTTTGAATGTTGAAAACATATGCGTAACCTTTGAGACATCCCTGGATTCAAAAGGTTGTTTAGCATTCCAGGCACACAAAAAAAGAGAACAATTGTTTGCAAATGCATGCTCACTTACCAATTGGAAAGGTCAGAATTAAAGGAAGTTGCACCTTCAAATGTTTGGCCGAGGGTATTCAGCCTTAACAAAAAATCAAGTATCACTTAGGTGTGCTGCACCGGTATCATCCACATATCATCAATACAAGAAGGAGGACTCACTTTGACACATCCCAGTTTCCAATGCCAGTTCCAGAAAACATAGTGGCACCCATGAAAGCTTGAAACAGTGCAGTCAGAGACCCAGTTTGCCTGCAATGCAAAGACACTGATAATTAGATCCCCACCACAAAAGCTCCACTCAGATCATAAAGAATCCATGTACTAGTTGTAGAACTTACCAGCCAGACAAATTGCCGTCAAACTTGGTTGCACCGTAGAATACCCTATACATCTCATTCACAGACTGGGTCTGCCTGCATAATCCAGAGAGATGCACACCAATCCACCTGAGGAATGGCTGAGCTTTTTCAGTTTCTGCGGTTTCCGCCAGCATCAACTTACCAGGTCGAAATATCCCCATTGAAAGAAGTGGCACCCGAGAATGTTGCGGCGATGGTGGTGACCTTGCTTGTATCTGGCATTTTCAGTGCATAGTGGGACAACGATTGTGAACATCAAAATCAAAGGTTTGCTAGTTTCAATGGAGGAGAAAACAACACGGGCTTACCCAAGAACTGATATCACCATTGAATGCTGCAGCGCTACTGAAGGTCGACTCCAATGATGTTACGCTGCTTGTAACCCTTTATTCCGAAGTGAGAGTTGCAGGTGTCTTAGTTAGAATATGAATCAAGGAGCTGCCTCTGCAAAGAGCAAGAATGCTTACCAATTGGATAGATCAGAATTGAACCCAGAACTTTTGAACAAATCCATCATGTCAGTCACACTGGAAACAACCCAGTTGTTCAGCGGCACGTTGAAGGCAGCTGCATCTGTGCACACGGAATTAGACAAAGTTTCATTCCATTCAAGGATGATTAGCATTTTCAAAATCATGCCAATGGTGCGACGAAGAAATAGCCTGAAACTGGACTTACTTAGGAAAACCGAATTCATGGAAGTCACTCCACTGACATCCCACATGCTCACGTCCCCATTGAAAGTAGCCACATTTGTAAGACCACTTATCAAAGAGTCTAGGGGAAAGACAACAGTGGTTCCGAATTGGTGAGTTCAAAGGCATCCTCCAATATGAAACACACAACAGCCAATACAACAGACAAAGCCATGTTGTGGCTCGCATACCAAAGTTATCAACTGCTTGCACATTCCAGGTAAGAATTGAACCTAGAATTCAGGAGGAGCATCAAAACATGATTAGAAATGCCACTTCGGTTGAACGTTGTACGCTGTACGTGTGGAGCCAATTCTTTACCATAAGGGCCTGTGGGGGAGTAGTCACCCTGTTCCAGAGCTGCTATTAAAGCGGTCTTGTCACCAAAGACTGCAACACAGTCAGTCAGTAAGTCAGTCAGTCAGTGAACAAACCTGTTAGCTGAAACACCAGAAATTCACTCAAGTCTCCTTCCCATGGCTTACCGGGAGTTGGAGCAGCAGAGGGTACATATGATGGCATGTTGGTGGGTGAACAAGAATGACAGAAGGGGCCTTTTGGACTGGCTCCAAGGTCCGGGTGGTCTTTGGAAGGACAGTTTGTTGAGACAAACATGCTAGTTACAGTTGCAGTTCCTTGGATTTTGTTTCCCCAAGCACAGATTTCGTGATTGAATGGTGCTCCCTGCAAAAATTCATAAATCTCCGTTACTGAAGAGATGTCCCAGCTTCAAAAGGAGCATTCATTGGAATGATGTAAGCAGTTAGTGATTCTAACACACAACCATCAATGTGGCAGCATCGGCTTTTTATCTTACCTTGAAACATCGCGATTGAAGGCAGAGTTTTTGAATGTTGAAAACATATGCGTAACCTTTGAGACATCCCTGGATTCAAAAGGTGTTTAGCATTCACATACAAAAAAAAGAGAAACAATTGTTTGCAAATGATGCTCATTACCAATTGGAAAGGTCAGAATTAAAGGAAGTTGCACCTTCAAATGTTTGGCCGAGGGTATTCAGCCTTAACAAAAAATCAAGTATCACTTAGGTGTGCTGCACCGGTATCATCCACAATATCATCAATACAAGAAGGAGGACTCACTTTGACACATCCCAGTTTCCAATGCCAGTTCCAGAAAACATAGTGGCACCCATGAAAGCTTGAAACAGTGCAGTCAGAGACCCAGTTTGCCTGCAATGCAAAGACACTGATAATTAGATCCCCACCACAAAAGCTCCACTCAGATCATAAAGAATCCATGTACTAGTTGTAGAACTTACCAGCCAGACAAATTGCCGTCAAACTTGGTTGCACCGTAGAATACCCTATACATCTCATTCACAGACTGGGTCTGCCTGCATAATCCAGAGAGATGCACACCAATCCACCTGAGGAATGGCTGAGCTTTTTCAGTTTCTGCGGTTTCCGCCAGCATCAACTTACCAGGTCGAAATATCCCCATTGAAAGAAGTGGCACCCGAGAATGTTGCGGCGATGGTGGTGACCTTGCTTGTATCTGGCATTTTCAGTGCATAGTGGGACAACGATTGTGAACATCAAAATCAAAGGTTTGCTAGTTTCAATGGAAGGAGAAAACAACACGGGCTTACCCCAAGAACTGATATCACCATTGAATGCTGCAGCGCTACTGAAGGTCGACTCCAATGATGTTACGCTGCTTGTAACCCTTTATTCCGAAGTGAGAGTTGCAGGTGTCTTAGTTAGAATATGAATCAAGGAGCTGCCTCTGCAAAGAGCAAGGAATGCTTACCAATTGGATAGATCAGAATTGAACCCAGAACTTTTGAACAAATCCATCATGTCAGTCACACTGGAAACAACCCAGTTGTTCAGCGGCACGTTGAAGGCAGCTGCATCTGTGCACACGCAATTAGACAAAGTTTCATTCCATTCAAGGATGATTAGCATTTTCAAAATCATGCCAATGGTGCGACGAAGAAATAGCCTGAAACTGGACTTACTTAGGAAAACCGATCATGGAAGTCACTCCACTGACATCCCACATGCTCACGTCCCCATTGAAAGTAGCCACATTTGTAAGACCACTTATCAAAGAGTCTAGGGGAAAGACAACAGTGGTTCCGAATTGGTGAGTTCAAAGGCATCCTCCAATATGAAACACACAACAGCCAATACAACAGACAAAGCCATGTTGTGGCTCGCATACCAAAGTTATCAACTGCTTGCACATTCCAGGTAAGAATTGAACCTAGAATTCAGGAGGAGCATCAAAACATGATTAGAAATGCCACTTCGGTTGAACGTTGTACGCTGTTCATGTGGAGCCAATTCTTTACCATAAGGGCCTGTGGGGGAGTAGTCACCCTGTTCCAGAGCTGCTATTAAAGCGGTCTTGTCACCAAAGACTGCAACACAGTCAGTCAGTAAGTCAGTCAGTCAGTGAACAAACCTGTTAGCTGAAACACCAGAAATTCACTCAAGTCTCCTTCCCATGGCTTACCGGGAGTTGGAGCAGCAGAGGGTACGGATGATGGCATTTTGGTAGGAACCTCAGTAGGGGCTGTTGTTGGAGCTTTTGTAGGAGCTTTTGTGGGTGCCATGCTCGGGGCTTTAGTGGGTGCCTTGGTGGGTGATGAACATACATGACAGAACGGGCCTTTTGGAGATGCTCCCAAGTCCACAACAGTTGCTGCTTCAGGACATGAAGTATTCTGAAACATGGATGTTACATCAGGAGTGCCAGTAATTTTGGTACCCCAGGTGCACAGATCATGGTTTAAAGCAGATGCTCCATCGAAGAGCTGATTGAATTCGACCGAAGCTGCAACATCCCTGTGCAATAATTAGGGGAAAACATTCAAATTAGCATTTTCCTTCAGAGCCAGCATTGATCCCATGTTGCTCTGATTTTATTACCAGCTGGAGATATCAACATTGAAGGCAGTAGCCCCCAAAAATACACTGTTCATGTATAAAACATTACCAGTGTCTATTGCAATTTTCAGTAAAGGTACAAAATGGTTGTGAGCATGTTAGGTATCTTTGCACCAAAAACAAGTACAATGAACTTACCCCATGTGCTAATATCACCATTGAAGATGGTTGCACCTTGAAAAGTATACGAAATAATTGTAACCTTGCTTGTATCTATCAAAATGCATCAGGGAGAATTAAGGTCAAGAAGCGCCTGGCTTCAGCACTCCAGCTTGGTTTAACTTACCCCAGGAACTTAGATCACCATTGAAAGAATTTGCAAGCATGAATGTTTGGTACATGGACGTGACACTTCTCGTGTCTTTGCATAGCAGAAGTCAAGTTTGAGTAAAAGCAGTGTTAGTACGCTCATCATGCATTTTGCCGCGACAATCATCAGAATGAACTCACCCCATGATCTGATATCACCATTGAAAGAGGTTGCCTCCTTGAAGGCGCCTTGCAAGTTCGAAACACTGCTGATATCTACAGTATCATTAACAATTTGCACAAAAGATTCAGGGACATGTGTGCTTGAGCATTTTATGTGCAGAGAGAGTATGCGTACCCCATGAATTGAGATTGCCATTAAAGGCAGTGCCTTTTGCAAAAGCGTAGGACAGAGATGTCACTCGGCTTGTATCTGTCATCAAATTCAAACAAAATCTAGTAAGCACTGTTTGGCATAGACAGAAGGATATAAAAAAACAGACCCCTGTACACAAAGTCTATACTTACCCCACGAACTGATGTCACTGTTAAAAGCAGCAGCATTACGGAAAGTATATTCCAAACTTGTGACGCTGCTTACATCCCTGTTGTATCAATTAAATAGAACTCGTGAGGCGAGGGCAAAGACCATCGGAGCTGGTACATTCCACAAACAGAATACTTGCCAATAAGATACATCAGAGTTGAACCCAGAGTTCCCAAACAAATAGCTCATGTCAGTCACACTTGATACAACCCAGTTGTTCAGTGGGACATTGAATGCAGCAGCATCTGTTACACATGAAAAACAATGAGTTGTGTTAGCTTCCCATTCAACTGTACACAATTATTCATAAAAGTCAACATACTGATTGTACATACTTTTGAAGACAGAGTTCATGGAAGTTACCCCACTGACATCCCACATGCTCACATCCCCATTGAATGTAGCTACACTTGTGAGAACACTAATTAAAGAATCTGTTCGCAAATTCATGTGAGCTCCGAGCATACATCGAAAGACAGACATAAATGCTCTGAGGATCACATACCAAAGTTTTCCACTGCCTGCACATTCCATGATTCAATGGAACCTTATGGAGCACAAAAGTGAGTCCGACCAAATCTAAGAACCATATTTTGGCATTGCGGTATACTGTGTTCTTACCATATGGACCCGTTGCTGAATAGTCACCCTGCTCCAAAGCCGTAATGAGAGTTGACTTATCCCCAAAGACTGCCATTGCAAGGAATTCGTAACAGTTAGCTGTTAGCTATATTATCAAAACACTGCTCTTCCAGTGCCACATCAGACAACTTACCAGCTGGGGTAACAGTGGGTAAAGATGATGGCAGTCTGGTGGGATTCTTTGAGGGTGCTGTAGTGGGTGCCCTGGTGGGTGCCCTAGTTGGTGAGGTGGGGGCACTGGTAGGAAACCGTGATGGCGGGATTGTTGGTGTTCTGGCAGGAACTGCTGTTGGTGAAATCATGGGAGCCTTTGTTGGGCTACCAGGAGACACAGCTGGTGGTGAGGTGGGGACACTGGTAGCACCAGTTGTTGGCGGGATTGTTGGTGTTCTGGTAGGAAAACCTGATGGAATTTTAGTTGGGCCTCTTGTTGGAGGCTTGCTGGGAGACGTTGTTGGACTACCCGGAGAAACAGTTGGTGATAAGGTGGGGGCACTTGAGGGACCTCTTGTTGGCTGGATTGTTGGTGTTCTGGTGGGACCACTTGTTGGAACTTTGGTTGGTCCTCTTGTTGGAGCCTTGCTGGGAGCCTGTGTTGGATTGCCAGGAGAAACAATTGGTGGAAAGGTCGGTGCATCTGTAGGAAGCCTTGTTGGTTGGATTGTTGGTGTTGCGGAAGGACTGCTTGCTGGAACTTTGGTTGGTGCTAATGTTGGTGAGTTCATGGAAGACTTTGTTGGACTACCAGGAAACACAGCTGGTGGTGGATTGGGGGCACTTGAGGGACCTCGTGTTGGCTGGATTGTTGGACTACCAAAAGAGACAGTTGGTAATGAGGTGGGGGGACTGGTAGGGATTTTCGGGCCGGAGAGGGCAGACACAACACTGATAGTCATTTCCAGCTGTGCGCCAACAATATCATTCAATGTAGGTGTTGCCTTTAGAACCAGTGAATTTGAAGAAGTAGTCAATGTTTGACTTGGTAGAAGGTTTCCCAGTGGATCTGTACCTGCCAATGTATAGGGATATGCAGTTTCCGACCTTGTTAAGACACCATTCTCATAAAACGCAACACTATCAAGAGAAGGTGGATTGGAGACGACCCGCATGGTCAAGTTTTTGGGGTTAGGAGCATTTTGCAGAGACCTGTGGCGGGATTGTCCATGAAACAAAGAGCCCAACACATCATTAAGGTCAAGTGACATGCCATTTGTTAGTTCTCCAATGTCATCCCCTGCATCAACATCAACCAGCATAAAAGCAGTGATCTGGCTGAAATATGGAGACTCCATACTCAAAGACAGGGCAACAGTCCCAGTGTTTTCGATCTCCTCGTTGTACTCCTGCAGAAACAAGGCCTCAAAGGCCGTAAGCTCCTCGTCCAGGGCCCCGGGACTGGAGGTCACGGTGAACTCGAGGTAGAAGCCATCGTCATTGGACACGGGTTGACCAACCTCGATCGCATCGATCATCGAATCAGAGCCGGGAAGGGAGCCGTATGCCTCCACAAACGCATCCATCATCTCTTGGCCTGTCCAACTGGTTGTTGGCCCACTGAAGGTAACATAGTAGTCTTCCTGCACCGAAGGGCTGCTGCCTGGGGACTCCATACTCAAAGACAGGGCAACAGTCCCAGTGTTTTCGATCTCCTCGTTGTACTCCTGCAGAAACAAGGCCTCAGAGGCCGTAAGCTTCTCATCCAGGGCCCCGGGACTGGAGGTCACGGTGAACTCAAGGTAGAAGCCATCGTCATCGGACACGGGTTGACTAACCTCGATCGCATCGATCGTCGAATCAGAGCCGGGAAGGGAGCCGTATGCCTCCACAAACGCATCCATCATCTCTTGGCCTGTCCAACTGGTTGTTGGCCCACTGAAGGTAACATAGTAGTCTTCCTGCACCGAAGGGCCGGCCTCTGTTGGTTCTTCAGCTATTCTGTTAGTGGGCTGACTGGTGATTTGTTGGGATGGTATACTTGTTTGGTCCAATGTTGGGTTGGGGGTCAAGGTATGTGTAGGCGATGCTGTTGATTCTATATCAGGGCTACTTGTTGGGTCATCTGTTGGCTGGTTGGTAGGTGACATGGTTGGGCTATCTGTTGGTTCAAAAGTTGGTTTTGGAGTGGTTAAAGATTGCACTGTAGGGTTGGCAGACGTCCTTATGGATGAGTCAGATAAAAATCCTGTGTTGGTGAAATCATTCAAAGCTTTCATGGTTGATGGAGTTAGGGTTGCCTTTGATATGGTAGGATATATGGATACAGGGGAAGGAGATGGATTGCTTCCATCATTGCCATCACCTTTATTGATGTTGTTGCAAACTCCTGACGAAGCACGGGGCCCTGCAAACATTTGCATACCAGCACATGTCTCCGGTGACAGCATCTTGGTTGTTGGAACCATTGTCAGCAGATCTTTTGTGGGTTTTCCAAGGGTTGCTGGAGAATTGGTTGTTAGCTGTGTTGGTTGTATCTTAGCATTTGGGCTGACAGGGGCCTCACTACTAGATTGCATGTTTGGAATGCCTGCAGGAGAAGGAGCCTGTTTTGGTGCCTGGGGAATGGTAACATCAGTGTGAAGATGAGGAGTAGGGCCTGGAACGCTTGCTGTTGGTGGGGTGTTGGTCTGGTCAACATTAGAAAGAGCCATTGGCTGAGCCACACTTGGTGCTGTATTGCCATTGGCTGGGGTTGATGCTGGTATCACAATGGATGGCAACATGGGATTGGTGCTTGATGCACCGGTAGCTGGTGCTAATGAGTTTGGCTCGTAGGTTGGCCCTTGTTCTGGCTGCTGGTTGCCATTGGTTGTAACTTGATGTTTATTGTCCATTGAGAATGATGGACTTGTTGCTGCTGGAGCAAAGGCGCCAGCATTGCCGCTTGGTTGTTTGGTAACAATGGGGTTGATGGCAACAGAACTGGCCGGGCCAGAAACAACACTTGGACCAGTTGCTCCCTGATTGAATACTCCACTAGGACTTTCTACAGCTGATGGGACATTGGGCAGCTCATTGTTGGAACTTGATTCTGTGTTTCCGGCGTTTGTGGCTACGTTTGGGGTGGGGTTTGAATCTGTGCTGGTAGTTGTGGTAGGAAGATTGGCATCTGTAGAAGTAGGCGGCCCTGTGTTGGAAGTGGCTGTAGGCGCAGATGCAATAGTTGAAGAAGGAGAACCTGTTACTAGTCTGTCTTGTTCTGAGTCATTTGTCTTTTCATTCCAAACTGTGTCTAAACTTGGAATCAGCTCAATCATATCACCAGGTCCCATCTGTTGAGGCTGTTCTGGGAGTCTCTCTCCTGTCCTGGGATCCACCAGTGCCACAAACAAAATGTCTATTGGTGGATCTTCTTGTTCTAGCTGTGATGGTCTGGCGATTGGGTTGGTTTCTTGTGTTTGATCATTGGTGGTGAGAATGGGCTGTATTGCTTGAGTAAACTGGTCGACAAAATCATCAACAACCCTCACAGGCTCAATTTGGGGACTCCCTTCTGTGTTGGTTCCAAAAAGTGGGTCTGTGTCGGAGCATCCATTGCATTGCACATCGGCAACCCAAAAGGTATTGGTAAAATTGTCATCTTCAGATGACTCAACCTGCATCAGCTGGACACCACCAGTTGGGATTTGGCGAATGTCGCATCGATCAATGAGGGCACCGTTGGTGGAATTGGCAGTGACATTGTTGTAGACTTGGGCAAAAGTATCTTCCAATTCATTTTTGTTCTCTAAGAGCAATTCATTGGTGGCAGGTGTGTCAGTCGTGTTGCTTGTGTCCGAGGAAGAAAAGGCGATTTGCAAGACACCTTGCTTGGCATCAGTGGCTTCAATGCTTCCAGCACAGGGGCCAACAGTGTTGCCGCTGCCTCCATCGATTCTTGTGGCAATTCCCGCAGTAGTAGCAGCCACCGTGATGGCCGCCGCCACAATTATGCCAATCTTGGTAGGCGTGGAAAGAGCCGAGACAGCAGCTGTCATGGAGGATGCCCCAGCTCCAGCAGCAGCCGACTGACTTGCCATGACTCCTGCGCCTATTCCAATGGCTGCTGATTGGGAAGCTGCTACAGCCATGTCTTGAACATGATTGTTCTCCTCCGGTGGCAGTGGTCCATCAGCATCGTTGTACTTCTTGCGTATCAAGCCAAACATGCCTAGGCAGTAGCTGAGTAGGAGCCTGGGCCACGTACAGGCGCCATACACCACGTCGTAAGCAGCGCTGTACATGGCCTCAAAAGCCACATACTGTATGGCGTTGTTGCGGATACCGCGTTCAATATCCATACTGGAAATGGAAAAGTCAAAGTTGCTGGGAGACTCACTCCAAGCATCATCATCATCGTTGTTCTTCTTTGGGTCTTCGTCATCATCATCATCATCATCCTCATCGTCGTCATCGTTCTCCTTGTCTCCACCTTCCATGGCGCCTGCTTCAGCCAAGCCGTCAAATGGATGCACGGGACCATCGGGAGCAGCCAAAGAGGTCCTAGTGGAGAGCAACATCTGCGATCGAAAAGGATCAAAAGCAGTACCTGCCGCATCAGCCATTTGGGAATCAGTGGGAACCGCGTTAGGATCAGGAACAGCAATCTCCTCTTCTTCCTCGTTGCTGTTGGGGGAAGAGAAAAGAGAGTTCATGGTGTTATCTTGATTGCTACTTGGTTTAAGAATTTCCAGGATACGATGGGTTACGATGTGGTCAGTGTGTGGACGGTGTGGGTGGGGGGTGGACTCCAGGTTGAACGTGATTGTTTTGTAATTTGCTCAGTTAGTTGAGAGCTGGGGATACAGCTGTCTGTGCTCCTTGTTTTGTTTGTGGTGATTTTGCTGGGATTTGCCTTGGTGAAGTTGCAGGGTGTGGGTGGGTGGAGCTGCGCTGATCTCGAGGCATTGTGTTGGCGGTGATGTGTTGGGGCCAAAAATCGGGACATGTTCGTCGTAGAATCGTCAAAGATGACCATAGTCTAGCTAGATAGTACAGAACTGAGTGGAAGCTTGTCTTGGGTGCTGGGGAAAGGAGAGACTACTGATACTTTACTTTAATACGCAATTTCTACAAAAGATTTAAAGGGAGCTTCGGGAGTCAAATTGATTCGGGAACTAGTAATTAAGAACGAAAGTCGCAATAGACAAGGAGATCTTGGACATTTCAGATCATCCTTCTTTCGGAATTAACAATTAAAAAGGCTCTTCCCTTCAAAGTGGCACCAATTTGACCACTGACTATTTACTCTAACTGGTCCCGTATGACCGAGAGGTTGGGGCGTTGGGGCCACGAAACACCGTTGACCGAGGCGCAGTCACCGGTGACCTCACCGTCAGGATGGAACCATAACAAAAGGGAAGAAGCTAAAGAAGCAGCGGTGTTAGCGGCAACTACGACCTGGTACATGTAGCTACAGTCGTACATGATATTGTTAGAGCAGGAAGACACCTTTGGAGGTAGGGTAGCTGCGGTAAATTATATGACCATACATTTTATACAAATATTCAGAGTAACTTAACCCTATATTTACCCCAACGTTCCTTCTAAACCGGTCTTCCAGTATCCAACAAAATGGACGCTTTAATTTTGGTAATAAAAAGGTAAGTGGACTGCTCACCCCTTCTTTGCTGCGGATTCCACTCACTAGCTTCCTGGTACGGTACCGGTAGCTAGCGGTAGCTAACGTAAATTCTATCCCTCACCTCATCCCTCTAGCTAGCTAGCCGATCGGCACTCGACGCTAACAATACCGTCAAGGCTTGCTACCAGGTAGTGCTCGCCGTCCAAGAAGAACCCGAAGAGATTTAATATTGGGAACGCAAGGCAACAGATGCAGCTAGCTAGCTCGGTTTGGTGTCTTTTCACTGCTGTACAGGTACGATGGTCAAACGCTAGCTCAGTAGTGCGAGCGAATAGTCAAAATGTGGGGGACGTAATAAGAGCTACTCAGTACTATTGACTGTGTGATCTGCATAGGCCGAAGCGCTTCTCTCGAAGGCCTTCCTCAGCAGAATCGAATCCACATAATGCATCGAACGGAGAGCGGGATGTCGGCCTTGCATGAAGCAAGTACAAGTAGTGTGGTTCTCCTTCCTGCTGCGTCAGAGCAATGAGCTTGCGTTGGATAAAGGTTGAGTGACTTTTTCTCCCGATATCAGCTGTAATTTGCAACAATATAGATATAGCTAGCTCTTTGGCATTGGAACTGATCCGACAAGAGCGTGGACAGTCAGCTTTTGCATTACTCTGCAAGCAAACTCCAAATCCATAATCAACGGATGATTCAGACAAAAAGTGCTTGAGGACGATCCAACAGCGTGGGCATGAGCATTTGCATTATTCTGCTTGCAGCTTCGGGTGTCTGTGAGCGTTGCAGTTTTCTGCTTGCAGTTTCGAGTCCCTTTGGCAAGCGCTTGTTTGCTGGCTTTGGGCGGCCCAGTGGTTTGCTGGTGGCCATCATGATACTGTACCATCAAAGGACCAATGACCATCAGGGTTGGGGTTACCTTTTTGGAGTGGAGTGTGTTGCACTAAGCCGCTGGCAACGACGGAACAGACATTTTTAAAAGTGCTACTAGGATCGAATGCTATTATACCACCATCACAGTTTTGGCGTTTACAAGTTCATCCTCGTGAGCCTGGCTTCTTCCTTTTGACCCTTGAAGCTTGCGGAATCTTTCGAGGTGCATGATGGAACATCAGCGCTGGCATGGATGCCATGCATTGCTCGGGCCAGTGTCTCATTGTCCTCAAGCACATCTCGTCTGAATCCGTTATTAGATGTTCAGCTTTTTTTTCATTGACCCAACACATGCAATCATTTGATTTATTCTGCGTTTGCCTTCAATTCTGCATTCGAGGGTCTTGAAAGGCTACTGGAGTACCGGTCGGCACTCAAACGTCGAAGCTTCGTCCAACTACCAATCCCTAGCTACAGGTCGCCCAAGCTTTGACTTTACGTGCATTGGATCGTCTGCTGGCTTCCTCCCTTAGAGATGGAGTGGTTATTTTCGATTCGATTGAATTCAATCTCTTCCGCTAGTCTTTCTCCCTTGCACCACGCTCCCTGTCCTCCTTCCTTTCCACCCTCCCCTTCTTTGGTTTGGTGCTGCTGGTTGGTCCGCTTGCGCTCTTGCATCCTGCCCTCCTCCTCTGCAGCCCATAGTCCCCTCTAACCCATAGCAACGTCTCCCTGCCTCACGCACATTGAATTCAATCTTTTTCAAGCATGGCAAGAGGAACTTTGAAAGTTTGCCTGCATGCATGCAGGTGACCAATGACCATTAGTGTTCGAGTTACTGCGTTCACGCTGTCATTGGCCTTCTGGGATACCTGCTGCGCAGAAGATCGCGCGACGAACAATTGGCTGCAGGGATGCGTTGTTGTGCTTTTCGATTCCGCTGCAGTCGGATACCAGTACGACCAGATCTGACCACCACAACAGTTGCATTGTTTCTGGCCTTTCTGCATAAAGGTTGCAGCGATAACAGTAGAGTGAGCTTCTAAAAAAGACACCGAAGGATCCAACGTGGGCAAGAAAGACAGGAAGTAACCCAGAGGCTCGCTCTAGCTAGTCATTGGTGACGACAGGTATGACAGGAGAGGGTTGCAGGAGAGAATTTGTGGAGTCTTACCATGGAATGTCTCTCCCTTTGGGTCGGTGCTCTACTATCCCGTATTACTGCACCGCTGCATTGCTGTTTGTCTAAATCGTGCTTTGTTGTGTGTTCTCTTTCTCCTAGATACAACTGAAGCGACTCTAGCTAGCAAGTTAGGATGGGTCAAGCACGCTATTTGTTTCTCAAGGGAGCATTTGAATGCGCCAAGCGTACTCCCGAGTGGCGACAATGGGTCAACACGACCGTCAAGGCCAACTTGGTGACGAGAATGTTGCAGCGCATGTTCCATGAAGAGAACGACGCGGTCAAGTTCTATGTCATTCCACAAGTCGTAGGACAGCCGCTGCCCACGACGGCCGAAGGTTTTGCCCAAGAACTCCGAAAACCCTTTCAGCAGTACGTTCGCTGCTACTTTGCTGGCAAGCAGGGCATGCTGCAGGGAGAAATCTCTCATGGGAGTCGAGATCAGATTGCTCAGATGGTACTCTTCATGATTGAAGACCATTTCCCACACTGCAAGCCGCTCCTCGAGGGAATCAAAACCATTGTGGAGGAAAAGAGACACATTTCCCAGTTTCAAGTCAAAAAATCACCGGCAAACTTTTTAAAGTACATTTATCTACATCTCGCCAATGACGAAGGGCGGGGAGAGATTCATGCAGAGTTTTACCGTGTCAAAGGATGGGAAGAATTCGTTTGCAGGGTCCAACAGGAAATCAACAACAGCATTCCGCGTCCTGTGAATGCTCTGCCCATGTCCATTGCACAGGCCAACCGCGTCGTTCCGAACGCTGTTTCGTCTTCTACTACTACTACTTTCGATGACAAACCACGCAAGGTTGCTCGAAGACGCTCCTCAGCCTCCGCTGTGGAACAGCCAGTAGCGGCTCCAAAGCAAGCACCTCCCGAAAACGTCATTCTCAAGATTGCTGCTTTGGAGGTCGCCACCACGACCGATGCATGGAAGGCCATTTGTGCCAAGAGGCAAAGTGGATCATCATCGACGGCATCCTATCTTCTCACAAAAGAGGAAAAACAAAACATTCTGACAGAAACACACCGCGAGATTATGTCTCGGGAGGTTGATCACAACAAGTACGTCCACCCAGCATTGACTTCGTCGGCAGCCACATTTTGTGAATGGTATGCCACGCCCCTGCAACAGTTGGCCATGACGTACTTTCAGGAAACTCGTGACGAATCCGTCGGTATGACCATTGGGTTTGGATGCTGCGATGAACAGCTTTACCACATCACGCTGCTATTGATACGCCACAAGTGGCCAGACTGCAAGCTATTGCACAAGGGACTCTATCAAATGGGCAAAGCACAACCCTGGAATGTTAGGGATACCACGAGCAAAAAGATCAAGACTACCAACTGGGAAACCAATCCCATCAAGGTCATTGAGTTCTTTAGGGGCAACTACCTGAGCGAGACACACAAGACTATGTTTGATTGGGAGTTCCGGAGTGTGGAAAACTACAGCCATAAATGTGCTGCTTCGACGCCTACGAGTCGCGCCCAAAGTAGTTTCAAGGACGAACCGACGTTGCGAGTCATTGACACGGTGTTTCGGAGTGATTCCTTTGGTCGAGCCCGCCATCTCATGGACAAGGTGCCCCATGGCAAAAAGACGGATGAGTACGTAACAGTATTGAGCCAATCCCTGGAACCACTCTTGAAGAAAGTCCGGGCGGAGCTATGGGGTGACGACAAGTTGGAAACGCTTCGGACGCTTGTCACAGCGCTACACAGAGGCTTCTTTGAGATTGTTTGTGGAGAAACCATTCACTGTGATGGGTTCTCGGCAGACAAGAGGTTCGCCGTTATCCACTATCTCGCCACCATGCAGTGTCCAATCTTGAAGCCTGCAATCACGGCCATGGGCGTTCATCGGGGTTACTTGAAAGAAAGCACGGTGAGAACAGTTCGGCCTCGTCTTGCTCTAGAGACCAACCAGACCTTCGCGCCCGTGTTGAGAGAGATCCTCCTGTACGCCACAGAACCGGAAAGGAATGGGTTCTTCAACTTGCTCAAGGGAAACGTGCTTTTGGGATCCCATTTCTGCGGAAGCCGGTTGGAAGAACTGTGGAAGGGCCCGGAACAGCTCAATGGAGACTGGAAACAAGATGTGTACCCAGGAAATGGCTCCTTCATCAAAGACACTGAAAATAGTCTCAGTGTTCATGGCGGTAGCGACGCGAAAAGCCAAGGCAACAAATCGCCAGGCCCAGTCAAAGCAGAGAATGGAGCTGACAAAGCTGAGGATGCCCTTCGCCACGACCATGGTCTCATGAAAGAAGTGCTGGCCAGATGCAAAAGTCTTCCAGCCAAACAGCTCCTTTCCGCATGGTTGGAGGAACACGACAAGGGGACAGTTTCGGATGTCATTACATCGATCAACAATACAACAATTGTCACTCCGCCCCCTTCGATCGCGTCGCATGCACGTGTGACACCGCCACAACCTAAAAGACAAACATTGAAAAAGGACAAGGAGAAGTCACTTGCAGATGCTACAAAACCACCCATTGCCTCCAATAGCACTCCAGTGCAGTCAGCTTCCCCCGTTGCCCTCTCCATGGAACACGACGTTAATACAAGGAAGCGCAAAGCCGATCGCGAGGTAGAACGACGAGCTGAGGCGTCTCGAATGGGCATCGAGAAGAAACGTGCGGCTCGCGAGTTGGAAGCACGCATGGTTCATTTGGCGCAAAATATGCCCACTCCACCATCCACGCAGTAGGCAGCTCCCTCCGGCAATAATTGGCTCGTCTTCACTACGATCGAGAAAGGGTTTGCTTCGGCGTGTTAACTCATTTCATTACTAAGCCATTCAGTTAGATTTCTAGCTAGCCTAGCGTGTACTCGAATAACAAAGGCTCCAGGGAGATCTCTTCTCTTTTTAAAAGAGTAACAATTCCGTCGCCATCAGGAGCGAGGGTCTCCGAGGCCTACAGAGTGGAGCGCGATGTCGCTAGCTGTTTCAATTCTCTCTGGAGGAAATCTCGATATTGAATCGAATCAGTTCATTTAACGGGAATTGTGAAAACGGAGAACAAACTGGCTCGCTCACTCCATCATACCGGTAGAGCAACGGTAACTACGACGCGTTCCAGTTTCATCCCTCCGCAAGAGTTACTGAAAGATTCCCACTGTCAACATCAATCTTGTGCACTTGAACTTGGAGGTGCTCCCCGGGTTTGAAATTTGTGTTGACCCCTTTGCATTTTGCGAGCGCCCCTCCACCGACCACGGGGATCACAACTTCGTTGCCTCTGCCAGTAGTAACAGCTCGCACGCGTCTATCTCTGTTTCCGGAGAGATGAATGCTGAGGTCTCTGACTGCGGCCTTTTGCTTTGACAAGGCCTTATTGTTGGATGTCAAAGGGGACGAGCCCTTTTTGATGGCGCGTATGTTGGAAATGGTGTTGTACGAGTCTGTTGCCTTTTCGCCAACTCGACGACACTCGGCCTTGGACATGAGAGAATCCTTGTAACCACAAAGAGCAGCCAGGATCTGTCGTTGGGCCATCCCGTCCACATACCGCCGAAGTGGTGCCGTGGCCACTCTTCCACCCCGAGCTTGACCGCTCCCTGCTTGTTGAGGCAGGTACGCGCCCGACCGTCGAACTAGGCCCTTGACAACATAACTATAAAGGTCCAAGCTGGAATCCACGAGCCTGTGACCACGCGTTCGCTGGAATCCATCTCTTCCGTTATCACTCCAAGATCGTGTTTGCTGTTTTGCGACGAATTCTTTGAGTGCCAGCCGTTCTTCCCGCTTCTGTGCTACCTGACTCGTTTCACGGCGTAGCCTGCTCCATGCAGAAATGCTCCTATCGGCCACTCCCAAAACTTGCCAAGTTCTGTGAAGCGAAGGATCCTTGCTCTTGTCCAATTTCCCATCCAGCAGATCAGATGCCATGGCATAGGACAATGCGACTGGGTTCGGAATGATGGCTTGTTCCACTCCAGCATCCAGCATCTTTCCCGTCTTTTGGTCAATATACGCCCAAACAACCACGGCTCTGTTTTGTTTCCTTGCATCGGGTGGATTGTTGTTGTTGTTGTTGTTGATGTTGTTGTTTTGTTGGTTGTGGTGGACGGTATCAAACGCCAATGCCTCCAACGCCACGGGTGGCATCAAATGGAGTGGTCCCAAGGGAAGATCATATCGACTGACGCCACGGTTGGCGGCTCCTTCTCTCAGTCGCTTCCGTACATCAAGGGGTATGACATTATTATCCAACTCACTACTACTACTACTACTACTACTGTCGTCATCGAGATAGATATCGGAAACGTCGGTAATGGCGACTAAAATCTCCCATTTGTTGCCGTCCGTCATTTTTCGTCCCGTGGTGGCTCGTGGACGAACCCCAATGGCATCATCTCGAAAGCTCGTTCCCTTGGCATCGATACAGACAAAGGGCATTTTGGAAAGATCCGCCAGTTTTTTCGGAAGAATGGATTGTTTGGTTTGGCACTGATCGGCATAGTCACGCGCTGCCTGGAGAATGGCCGGAGACCAAGCTTGATCTCCCATGGTGGTGGTGGTGTCAGCTTTTGGCGACCATCGCCCCATTTGAATCAAAACCTGCTTGGCTCCTTGTGGTGTCAAGGGCATGTTCATGCTTTGGAGGGCCTCTCGCACGTCCAGCTCCACACTACTATCTTCTGGTTGTATTGGCGCATTCTGATGAAGGGCTTCTCCCATGGCGAGACATTCCAAACGTTGTGTGATGCGTTCATCCGCACAAGTCCAATCTTGTTGTTGTTGTTGCTGTTGCTGCTGTTGTTGTGCCCGATTGGCAAATTTGCGAGCTTCAGACCCCGCTCGCATGGCTGAATCGACGACCCACCAACCTCCATTGATCAACGTAATGGATTCCACCAACGAAGAAGAAGGCTGTGATTGGGATTGTTGATCGTTCTGCTTGGTGATCATTGTCGTAGTAGTAGTAGTATCCACCACAAGACAGGATTGTCGCTTGAAACGTCCTCCCGTTTCGGCATCCATGGCTAACATCTGAGCGGCCACCGCCTGTTGCTCTGGGGTAATAATAATAGTAGGATCATTATTGTTTTGGTTGTTGTTGTCGTATAAAACGTCTCGTGCCAATTCCCACGAGTCAATCATCCTATGGTTTGTCTTGACAAGTTGTCGCAATACCAATTCGGCATGATTTCGTTCGTCCTTATCATCGTCCATGCGAGATACCAATTTGGCAATTTGTTTTTTGGTAATACTAGAGGTCGACGGTCGAATGGCATGACGACTCTTGTAGACCTCATCGAGAGCGGCTTCCTGGAATCCTACTGGGAACTCTGTAGCAGGCGTGTCAATATTAGTCGAGAAGGAAGGATAATCTTGTGGTGATGGTTGGTTCGTCCAAAGAGTGGTGATCTGTCCCATATCTACCACCATAGAAGAAGGGCTAGTAGTAGGGAGGTGGTCGTCTGATTGGGATTGGGATTTTTGTTGAGATACTGGATGGACTTGCAACGTGGGCTGTCCCTTTGGATTGAGTTGGAGAGCCGTGATTGCACAGAGTTCCATTTTCTTGTTTCGGTAGACTTCGGCCAGGACGGGAAGATCGTGTGCCGACAAGACGTGGAGTCTCTCATCCAAGTGGTGATCGTGCAGAATCTGTGTCAATGCATTATTATTATTTTCAGTCTTGGACGCGAAGAGGTGTCGTCGTCGTTGGTGCTGGTTATTATAAAAGGGGAACTTGGTGGTGGATGGACTTTGGCTTTGGCTACTCACACCAAACGATTGGACGTTTGTCAGGAAGATCAGGAAAGCATGCGCAATTACTAGTGCAAGTACCGGGGGGTGCGAGTGCCAACTCATGATGGCTGAGCTGACAGCAGCTGTGGTGACGGTCAAACAAAAACCAACTCCAAATCCTGTTTCCTATGGCACACAGCCAAGCCAATGGAGGAGAGTGCGACGAACTGTACTATGATAGCAAGAATATCAGGACCTTTATTGAGGCAGCTACGGTGTTATAGGCCGGTATTCATGACAGAGGCTATGATGCTATGATTGTGGGGTTCAGGTTGAGTACCAGTGTTCCAGTTATGCTGTGTTCCTGTGTACATCTACATGTATGCCATACTCACCCAGTATGAAACAGAAGGCTGAAACAGAAGGCTACCTATGGGAATACAACCTAGATAGCTATCATAATTTATCTAAGCCACAAGTGTAAAGACACCTCTAGCAAACTTCGAAGTTACCGTTGAGGTGCGATCAATATCCTGTTTTTGGCAGAAGAATTGTTCGACAAAGACACAGCTTCTTCACAAGTGCCGTTCAGTGCTTGTGCTGTGTCTGCGTCAGACAAGTCTGAAGCCAGGAGTTGGTCTGCGACAACAAGACTGAAGCAGTCACGGTTGACTGAGTCCAGTCACGGTCGATCGAATCCTGTCACGGATCGAGTCACCGTTCCGAGAGCAAGCCAGTCCCAGTCACACATCGATTGAGTCCAGTCGCACATCGAGTCCAGTCGCAGTTCCGAGTCACGGTACGATTCGGAACTCCCTTTTAAGAAAGTCGAGTCAAGAGTCGGGAGTCAAACGTGAAACAGTCCAAGTCAACGTCCGGTAACTCGAAGTCAACGTCCCGTAACTCGAAGCAAGTCTAAGCCAAGTCAACGTCCAGTCAGTGAGGTAGTTCCTCAATAGGAGTCAACGTGAAGACATCCATCTAAGGTACAGACACAGATCTAAGGTACCATCAGTGAGTCCAGGTTAAGTTACCTGAGTGGCATCGTTTGTCAAAGAAGCCGTGCCAAGTACAGTGCAAGCGTAGAAGTGTGGAGCCAAGTCAAGTGCAAACATCCGCAGTAACGCAATCAAGTTAAGGTCCAACAAAGTGCACCGAAGGATATCAAGTTACTTGAAGAAGTCAACAGCAACGTGAATGGCTGAGCAAGTCAATCCAGAAAGTAGGACGTGGCAGAGAAGTCGAGGTCGATTAAGAAGAATTGGTGTGACCAACCAAGAAGAAAACGTGCAAAGTGGTACAGAAGCGGGTCAAGTTGAAGAAGCCCCAAGTGAAACTCAAGTCGAGATTGAAGAACAAAGCGACAGTATGTCTGACACAACCGACATTACGAAAGCAATAAGCAAGCCCCCAACATTTGATGGAAGCCCGGAGAACTACATGATGTTTATGATGAGACTCCGTTCCTACTGTGCTATCCATGGTGTTCTGAGGCGCTGTCTAAGGAGAATGATCTACCCGAGAAAGAAGTGAAGAGTCCGGTGATACAAAAGAGCAGAAAGCTGCGAGGAAACGCAATCTACTAGCCATGTGGATTCTGCAAGTGTCCCTCACCAGTGAGATGTTGTTCGGACTTATCTTTGCGGCCATTACAGTGAATTGGCCAAGTGGGCTAGCGTATCTAGTTATCCAAGGACTTGAAGAAAGATTCCGTCCAAGGATACAGTCAGTCGAGTGGAACTCCGTTTGCAACTGTCGACATTGTCCATGAAGAAGAAAGAAGATCCAGTTGTCCTATTCAACAGAGTCAGTGAAATCGAATGTCAATTCTGGGATCCAGTCAAGCAGACCAAGATCAACCAGTCAGAGCTCATATCAGCCGTCATTGCAGCAGCACCAGAGCAGTACCAGTCTATCATCACCGCAGAGCAGCATGTCAAAGGTGCCAACCTGAAACTGCAAGACCTATGTGATGTCATGCATCAGCACTGGAGAATGACGGAAGGAAAACGCCTGATGAGTCGAGCCAGACAGGACAGCAGTGATGACGAGAAGGAAATGCTATTGTCGTCCCAATGCAAGTTGGATGAAGGGTGCGAGAGATGTGGCAGACAAGGTCATGTCGAAGCAAACTGTTGGGACAATCCAATCAACAAGAAGAAGAAACCAAGTTGGTTCGTAGCTTCCTATGAGAGAGAAGCAACAGCAGGAAGAAATCAGTGCAGGATTTGAAATACTGAGTTAGGAAGAGTCCAATGCTGCCTACATTTCTAGAAGTCGAAGAGGGGAATGAAAGCAGAAGAGGGAATCCAAAGTGAATCTACATTGTTACATGTCAAGAAGAAGAATCAAAAGAAGAAGAGTGAGTGGTTCAGTCTAGTGGAGAAAACAGGGTGTTACAGGCAAGAGCAATTACAGGCAAGAGCAATCAAAGGAGAGCAATCAAAGCCACTGGAAGAGGGTGTTATAGGCCGGTATTCATGACAGAGGCTATGATGCTATGATTGTGGGGTTCAGGTTGAGTACCAGTGTTCCAGTTATGCTGTGTTCCTGTGTACATCTACATGTATGCCATACTCACCCAGTATGAAACAGAAGGCTGAAACAGAAGGCTACCTATGGGAATACAACCTAGATAGCTATCATAATTTATCTAAGCCACAAGTGTAAAGACACCTCTAGCATACGGCACTGGTGGTACCACCCTCTGCAGCGAGGAGAGGAAAGAAAAATGAGGGTGGGCGATGGGTGGTGGCAGTTGGGTGGGCATCTTTGGATCTTTGTCTCTTTGCCACGGATGAATTCTATTCGAATCGATTCGATTCGATTTGACTTGACTTGATTCGAATCTCAAAATCGATTGATTAATCATTCGAATACTATCGATTTGCGAAGGATTCGTCACGCTCTGAGTCAGCGACCATCACCCTGACAAGTTCCCAAAGCAAGTTCCCAAAACTTTTTCTTTCCCATAGACAGCACGAGCTTAGAGTCTCGACCATGGCGGCAACCTGCAACCGCAAGGTTGTGACTACGGCCATTGCGGCATCTGTGGATGCCGCTTCCAAGGCTGCATCCGAGCCTGGGGTTGCGTTCGTTGTTCCCGAATCCATGTACTTGAAGGATGCCACAAAGGAGGCTGATTTTGCATCCTTTCCGGTGAGTGATGCCTTTTTTCGTGGGTGGGACTGCGTCATGTCAGAACGGGCTATGGCTACTGTTTGATTGGTATTTGTATTTGATGGCGTCTACTACCAGTATCTTTCAATTAATCATGCTCTCGCTCTCCGTCTATATCATATCATAGTTGATTCCAGTAACTGTCAACAAGGAGACCCAGGCCGTGACAGAATCTTCTTCTCGCTTGACCGAGGAAATCATCAAGGAACACACGGGCGCTCTTGGCTCGATCTGTTATGTGGTCCGTCGACCTGGGTGACCCTTTTGCCGCGAGGAGGGACTTGCTCTCACCGAGCTCGCGGCGAATGAACACAAACCTCTCGAAGGCTTCGAACTCTTTGGTGTTATCAAAGAGACGGGAGTCGACGACAAGGGGTTGGCAGAATTCACGGAATTCTACCCATATCCCCTCTACAAAGACGCCGAGTTGAACTTTTACAAGGCACTAGGTAGTCGCAAGTTATCCATCCCGTTCAACCCATTCAAGCTGGTGGGAGGAATCTTCTCGCTGATTGGCATCAGTGGACGTCTCAAGGAAAAGAAAATTGAAGGGAATTTGGTGGGAGAAGGTATCAAGCAAGGAGGTGTCATTATCTTTGACAAACTGGGCAAGCCCAAGTTTGCTTACTACGAAAAGACGGGAAAGGAGCTTCCTGTCGATGACATTTTGGCTGCTTTGCAAGCAGTCAAGAATGAACAGAAACAACTGAATGGACAGTAGTATAGCGCAAAGTACAGTAGCTCCGGCAAATCAAGCAATGGAGCAAGAAGGTACCGACCGCAAGATGTGAACACTCCTCGGTCAGCAGGCCATTGTTACTTACTCGAATGCTCACAAGAGTCTGAATGACGACATCCATCACTGCACGTGCCTGCACGTGATCACTGATGGATGTTTGACCAAGCACTCCTGGGTTGACCGAGAAAGAACATGCCTCCTTGGAATTGTTTGGAGAAATGAACGCTGTTCAGATTCGGCTACAGTAGTCGTGTCTTGTCTACTAGCTAGTAGACGATGCAGTACTTTCACTTCATAGACATCACATTACATAATGTAGTTTTTGATGTACTAGACCGCAGCCACCACATCTAGCCAATCCACCATTACAATACTATTCTTCGCCAAGCACTGGCAGGCCCAGGTTCTTGGCGGTATTTTCAGACTCAGGTAGTAAAGATTCTGTATAGTGGTGACCGTATCAGAGTTCAGATTAGTTTAGGAGGATGGGTAAGATAACCAACTCGATCGCTGGGTAGCACGATACCTAACTAGGCTGCGTGTGAGTGTCATCCCACGATAGAGACATCGTTCGTGTACTGACCCAAAATAATACGAAAGGAAGCCGGGCACATATCGTGCGGTAGTGCCGGTGGTACCGATCAAGTACCGCACTGACGATGCCTGAGGCAGCGGCTTTCTACTAGCTAGCTAACTAGCTAGCTAGAGAGCCAAGGAGCAGGAGACACAAGAAACGAGTCACATACGAGCCCATCCTTGTTTGCTCGCTCCATGGATACCCCCGGCGTGACAAGTAAAACTTTGCCATATTCCCGATGCGAAAGAACTTTTGAAGCGATGGCAGTTCCTCCTCACGCTGCTTTGATCTATGTACTCCTGGGGATCTGCTTCTTGCAGCCTACGACGGTCAGCGCAATGGAGCGAATCCAGCTCAACGACAAGGACATGCCTAGCTGGAGGTCAGGGAGGCGGCAGAAGACGATTCGTTTCGGAAACCCTGGCCAAAACCGACGCATGATGAAAGCCCTAGCAAGTCAGGGGCAGGACAGGCGCCTCCATCGAAGAAGGTCGCAACGAGGAAATATTTTTGCCAACAGCAGTGCACGACGAAATGGCAAAGGAAGAGGACGGTCGGGACGGAACTACAACACCGTATCGAACTACTATTGGAGCAGAAGTTCCAAGAGCAGGAGCAGTCAAGGAGACAGGGTGGGTCGTATGTACTACTTAGTGACGCGACCTGTCTACAAGGGGACTGGCATTGGACGATTTCCACCTGGTTGGAGGCCAAACATGATAAGACCTCCAGCTCCACGTCCAACGGGGCTCCCTACGAGACCTCCACACCCAAATACGTTTGCCCCCGCTGAAACACCAGAGCCACTAGTAACACACCCTCCTGTTATCACCCCTGGACCAACATTGGTAGCTACTCCCGCGGCAACGAGTCCCAACTCCTCGCCAGTGCCCACGAGCCCAGGAACACCCACTGCAACCACGACACTCCCGGCCACAACTACCAACCCATCCAACACAACGATCACACCAGCCACCGCGCCCACAACTCCTCCTACCACAGACTTTTCCTTTCGGACCAACATGGGCTTGACCTACTTTTCAGACCAGCCAGAAGATGTTGACCGAGATCTAACCGCAGCCGAATTCGCCGAGTTACAGATTCTGATTGGGGAGTTCTACACGGACCTCTTTCAGGCTGACCCAGTTTTTGCGACAAACTTCCGATCGTACACTCCTATCACTACGAGCAAGACGTATACGGCAGGAGCTGTCTTCCCACCAGGAGAGCCACCGAGCATTGCCCTTTTGTTCGACTCCAACTTTGTCTTTGCTCCGGGGACAGCTATCACCGATGTTCAGGTTCTACAGAAAATGCTGGACGCGGACTACGAAGGTTTCATCACGAACTACCTAAGAAGAGCTTCCGGTGCAACGAACCAGCTAGACCTAGTTCAGCAAGTGTCCTTCAACGGAGTGACTGGGGCCACAGTGTGAATGTAGCAATGAATTATAGTTTCCCTGCAGCCAAGGTTGCCAGAAGGACCAATGCTCGAAATAGCGAGAATAGGCCATCCCGAGGGAGCTGTGTGGTTGAGATATCAGGAATAGAACAGGTTGGGAGGGCTGGAAATCACGATTTACTTTCTTGCCCCTGATCCCACAGAACCTAGTCCTGAATTTCGACTGTTCTTTGCTTAAAATTTCGTTAGGCCGTAGACACGCACAAACACACGCACAACATATCTGAAAGAAGATGTCCATGATGACAAAAATAACAACTACTAATCATTGTGACAAACAAACAAACATGATGCACCTTCAGCGTTGTAAAAGGGATGACACCCGTAGGCAGGTACGTACACTGAACCGGTACGACCGAGGATTTGACTCGACTCGACTCCTCCCAAATCCCAAATGGCAACAACGAAGGGGCAAGGCAAAAGGGGCAAGGCACAAGAGGCAAGCCAAACAGCAACTGTAATGAAGACTTGCACTCGCTGCTACGACGTACGATTGAAACCTCCAAAAAGCACTTTACAATGGTGTGGTAACAAGCAACAAACATGCTAGCTATCTCGTACCAGGGTAGAACTGATCGGCTGAAGATGTGATCTTCGGGCACAGCCTGCCGAGTCGAGTGACAGTCGTCTTTAAGTTAGGATGTGACTCAAGGAAAGATACAGCAGTCGGCTACCACGAAGAAAACAACGGCCGGTGGAATCGAATCGATAGCTACAGTACATGACGCTTGTGGCCTTGTGGTTCACTGGCTGGCTCTGCTGCAGTACGGTACGGTAGGAGGTGCGTACCCAGAGGTGCGGAGCAGATGGACACATGAGGAGATAACATCAATCATGCATCACGAGCCGGTTGTTTCGCGAGGAAGAGTTGACTGTCACTCTGCAACCATCCCGTGCGGAGCAACGACCCTGTCATAGCGCTCCAGCCGGGGTTTCGTGCACGTGAGTTCCAAAGCATCATCGCTGCTTCCGACAAATGTATTGTTCCGTGCTTGCTTGCTTGTCACGGTCGTTGATAAGGCCCAGCCCATACCGGCACTCTCCCTATTCCGCTGATCTCAACTTGGTGCTAGCTAGCTAGCTACCAATCTTGCTAGACACCCCTGACGATCGGGGGGGACTCTGGGGGGAGTATCTGTCAAAGCCCTGCGTACGTATATAGGGATATCGAAGCACTGGCAGAATCATTCAACTAACTCCAGAGCTGCCTAGCTAGACAAGGAGAGAACCAAGAACAAACGATGAAACTCACTAAGACAGTTCAACGTCAAGCAAAGCAGGCAGATCGTGCTTGTCCGGGCATCATGGAGAATCGAGTGTTCCGCCGCTCCATGGTCAGACAGTTGCGTACCGGCTGGACGCCGGCGGAAATGAATCTCGGTAGATCAGTCAACTGACGGTGTCCCTTGCCATGTTACTACTAGTAGTAAATTTACTAAGTCTTATAATTTGAGTCTATAGACAACTGTACTTTAAATGTACGGGATGGGTACTTCTTGGCCACGCTCCATGATACATGTATCTAACTCGAGCACTCGTACCGGTAGCCGGTTCAGGTATTTTAAAATACAGGCACCACTACTACAGTACCGGTATGGTACCACAATGACTCAAAGACTTTTCGGAAGGAAAGTTTCTGTTCTGAAACTCCCAGTCGAGTCAGATTAGAGTGAAAGTTGTTCCAGAAAAGTTCACTGGAGTGTGACATCACTTTCAATCATCACAAAAAAGATGGTACGATGTACGATGAACTAGTAGAGTACGGTACGAACCAGAACTAGCTCGCTGGCTACTACCGGTAGGTAGCTAGTAAAGTAAGCTTGAACGAGTGCATTCCCAATTCCATGACAGGGAGCTGTCAAGTGTGAAGGCCCGTGTTACAATGTGATATCGTCTGCAGACAGGTATCCCACAGCTCTGATGCTGATTCCATCCTTCTCATGAGTGAATCGTGATACAGTATGACAGAATAATCTTTCGTGCTTCTGACATTAGTTGCTGGCTAGCACTACTAGCTAGCTAGCTAGCTAGCCACCGGTAGCTAGCTAGTACCTGGTAGGGTGAAGCACTTCTGACACAAGGCATCAACTCCGCCCACGGAGTTGCCAGTGGTTTGACGGAAGATTTTGACACGGAAGCAACACAAGCACCAAAACAAGCAGTTTGGGCATCATAAATCAGACCTCTTTTCAATCCCCCCTCACAGTCGAGGTCCACTTTTGCTATCCAGCGTCCTCTTCGAAATCATGATGAGATATCCCGTTGCAACGGCTCTTTTGGTTTGCTTCGTCGCGTCCGCTGTTCCGAAATCTCACGCGGCGAGCACCTCAGTGGCAAAGGCGGTCAAGTCTACACTGACCAATGACGCCACCAAGAACGTCAGGTCTCCATGGTGGCAATCAGATTTTGATGTGTCCATTGATGAGTTCCCAGACCCGGATGTATCGTGGTGCAGCTCCGCGGAGGCTCCCACCAATGACACGGACACGACCTCCCAGCGCCCACATTTGGAGGGCGTGAAGACGTATTTACTGCCCTCGGATGCAAATGACGGTTCCTTCAAGAGCTACCCGTATGTCATCAGTCCTTCCTCGGACGATCAGAAGACTTTGGCCTTCCTTTCTTCGTTCATGGAGCAGAATCGTGGTTGGATCAATGAGAAGATACTTCAATACGGAGCGGTTCTTTTCCGTGGCTTTGATGTTGTGACAGCCAAGGACGTGGAAAGGGCTGTGCTTTCCTTCGAGCCAGACTTGAGCGATGTCTATCGTGGGACGTCTCCCAGGCACTCTCAGGGTGGCAGCCGCTTTGTCTTTAGCGCCGCCGAGGTTCCCGTCCACTATCCCATTGCCCAGCATTGCGAGATGTCGTTTCTCAAAGAGGTGAGCTCCATTGTGCACGTTTCCGTTCGCGCAAGCTGTTGCCAATCACCCTGACGCATACCGTACCGTACTGGTATCATTTTGGTTCATAACTTAGGTGCCTCCCAAGCTCTTCTTCAGTGCCCTTCGCGTCAGCTCTCAACCGGGTGGCGAGACCGCACTGACAGACTTTCGCCAGGTGTACAGAGATCTGCCAGATGATCTGCGCCAGAAGCTCCAGATGAAGAAACTACGATACACCCGAACCCACACCAAGGATGGCATTTCGTTCACTCATGATGTGGCAGCCATGCTCAGCTGGCCCGAGATGTTCAGGACTGACAACAAGACGCGAGTGGAGGAACTCTCTGCTTTGGAGGGAATGCCCGTAAGGTGGGAAGGGCCCAACGAGGACACGTTCGTGAGCGAGTTTGAAACCGAGGCCTTTCAGTTGCACCCCGAGACGGGGGAGCCCGTTTGGTTCAACCATATTCAAGTTTTCCACTGGACGTCCTTTACAGCCGAGCTGTTTGGTGCGTTCAGACGGACAGGAGATATCCGATACCTAGGCCGGGCTGTAATGATTGGCATCCACTCGTTGATCAAGTACGGAATGATGGGGCAGAGAATGGCGCTGCATGTCAGCTTTGGAGACGGCGAAGTCATCTCGATTTCAGAAGCTCACCACATTCGTAAGGCCGTGCACCAGAACACGGTTTATAATCGTTGGCTACGTGGCGACATTGTAGCCATTGACAACCTTTCCACTGCGCATGGACGCAGCCCCACGTACGACTCGGGCCGCAACGTCGTCGTGGCGTGGACGGCACTCGTTCCCAAGAGAGACGCGATGGCGAAGATGCATCTGACAGCCGACATGGTTTGATTGAGGGATTCGCACTAAGCCGAGCAAGTGCAGGAGCCCTGCTATATACATGTTAGAATCTTGCATGTTTCATAAACGCTATACTAACAAACGCTACAATAGAGCCAAGCACAATGTTGGGTACTACCTTCTGGTACTTAGCTAGCTAGCTGCCTGCACTATCTACTGAAGATAACTCTAATCTGTCATTATGGAGTCGAATCGAATCAAATGAATCATTCAATCGACTCAGTCCTTTCCTCTGCCGAATCGGAAGCTAGAAGAAGCCAAGTTTGTTGTGGTCGTAGGAGATGAGCATGTTTTTGGTTTGACGATAATGGTTGAGCATCATCTTGTGGTTTTCTCTTCCAAATCCAGACTTTTTGTACCCCCCAAAGGGAGCATGGGCCGGGTAGGCATGGTAGCAGTTGACCCATACTCTCCCGGCTTGAATGGCTCTGGGTACCTGGTATGCCTGATGCATGTCTCGTGTCCAAACTCCGGCCCCGAGTCCATATTCAGAATCATTGGCAATTTCCAGGGCTTCCTCTACCGTCTTGAACGTAGCAACGGCAGTGACGGGGCTGTGTGTGTTATCAAGAAGAAGCAAACAAGGCAAAATGAGAATATCAGAAATAGATAGATAGATAGATAGAGTAAAGTATACAACAGCCATGCACCAGCCACAGCGAGACTGTGATCCAGTGTGTTGTGCTTGTTTGACTGCTTACCCAAAGATTTCTTCTTGAAAAACGCGCATACTGTTGGTCCCCGTGAGAATGGTGGGCTTGACATAGTAGCCACCACCCAGCTCGTCCTTTGCGGATCCCCCGGTCAATACTTCGGCACCCTCCTTTCTGCCAATATCCAGGTAGTTCATGATGCGATCATGCTGTGCCAAGGAAACTTGAGCTCCCATCATGGTTTGTGGATCTAGTGGATCTCCCATTTGAATGGCTTCGGTCCTCGCAATGACTTTTTCCATGAATTTGGGATAAATATCTTCCTGAATGAGAAGACGCGAATTGCACGTGCAGACTTCTCCTTGATTAAACGCAAACAGCACGGCGCCTTCCACCGCCTTGTCCAAAAAGGCATCGTCCGCGTCCATGATGGAATTGAAAAAGAGTTGGGGACTCTTGCCCCCGAGCTCCATCGTTGCCGGGATGAGATTATTAGCGGCTTTCTGAAGAATGGACCCACCCGTGAGAGTGGATCCGGTAAAGGCAATTTTGGCAATGTTCTTGTGCCCCGCCAATGCGTCACCTGCCTCGCTTCCGTATCCCGTCACGACATTGAGGACTCCTGGTGGCAACACGTCTTGAATGAGTTCCATGACGGCCATGATGGATGTCGGTGTTTGTTCGGCCGGTTTGAGAACAATACAATTTCCCGCCGCCAATGCCGGAGCGAGTTTCCAGGATGCCATGAGGAGTGGAAAGTTCCAGGGAATGATTTGTCCCACAACCCCCATGGGTTCTTGAATGCACAGAGACAGCGTATCTTTATCGAGTTCCGAGGCCGTGCCTTCTTCGGCGCGAATGACTCCGGCAAAGTATCGAAAGTGATCGACAACCAAGGGCAAGTCGGCATTGGCGGTTTCTCGTACGGGTTTGCCATTGTCAATGGTTTCAATTTTCGACAATCGATCGGCATTGGCTTCAATAATGTCGGCAATCTTGAGGATCATGTTGGAGCGTTCCGTGACGGATGCCTTGGACCATGTCGTGTCGAAAGCCGTGTGAGCGGCGTCCACGGCCTTGTCAATGTCGGCTGCTGTTCCACGGGCCGCTTGGATAAAACTCTTGCCGTCAATGGGAGACACATTGTCAAAATATCCGCCTTCCGTGGGCTCTACAAATTCGCCATTGATAAAGAGTCCGTACTTTTCGGGAAGATCCAAACTGGGCATGACACTCGAAACCGACGTGGCCAGGGTAGATGCCGTCCTGTGGCGTGGGCGTACCGGTACCATGGAGCGGGAGAGACCCTTTGAAAGGGAAGCTAAACGGGGGAGTTGGACCAACATCTTTAAAATAGAATTAAAATGGCTACTAGCAATGTTTGGAGACTGACTGCCTCTTTTGTTTTTATTTTGGATTGGACCCTTTTTTATGAAGAGACTGAATGGAGTTACCACAATGCTTTTGCGGGGAAGACTCACCGAGGATGACAATGGATCGAAGACTGGATCAAACTGCTTGCAAGCAACCATGGATATAACCTTGAAAGATACGCGTACCATTTTGTGTCAAAGCAAAAAGATCGTACTGACGTGTTCGGAAGCACCGATGAATGATTCGATTCGATTCCAAGCCAGCTATACTGGTACTGGTACCAGGTGGGTCCAACCCTTATCATCATCAGCAGCCCTTCTGTTCTTTCTTTCAAATCCACGTGAAAGGGTTGTTTAGAGCAAGGTGGTTATTAATAAGTCAGCGGGAGCTGCGATACCTCGGCAGAAAGACAAATAGAAGAACGATGATCATGTTTGAGATTGCACCCTTCTTTCAAGATAGCCCTGGCGACAACACCCGACTTCGTCATGTGTTGCCGCCCGGTATCATTCCCTCATTGTAACCTTCTTTTTTATTTAAGCTAGCCCTGGCGACAACACCCAACTTCGTAATGTGTTGCCGCTCGCTAACCATAATTTTACAGCTGTCATTCCCTTATGTAATTGTATTCTTTGTAGCTTCTGCAGGCTTATTGTGTTGAGTGCACTAACCTTGAATAATCATGATTTATTCCTACCCCTAAATTTGTAGAACCTTCAATTTCCAGTTTTGTTGGCTTAAGACTATCTCTATCCCTATATTTTGGCTTCACCGGAATAGGAAACCGACTACGTCGTGTGTTGCCACCCGGTATCATTCATTCCCTCATTGCAACCTTCTTTATTAAGCTAGCCCTGGCGACAACACACGACGTAGTCGTGTGTTGCCGCCCGCTACTCTATAATTTACCAGCTGCCATTCCCTTATTGTAACTTTAACCTTTACAACTCCTGCTGGCTTATTGTGCTGTTGTGCTGATTGCACTAACCTTAAATATTAATGATTTATTCCTACCCCTAACTTGTATTGAACCATCAGTGTTCAGTTTTGTTGGCTTATGACTATCTCTATCCTTATACTTTGGCTTCACCGGAATAGGAAATAGGAAATAGGAAATAGGAAATAGAATAAGTCAGCGGGAGCTGCGATACCTCGGCAGAAAGACAGATAGAAGAAGGAGGATTATGTTCGGATTGCACCCATCTTTCAAGCTAGCCCTGGCGACAACACCCGACTACGTCGTGTGTTACCGCCCGGTATCATTCATTCCCTCATTGCAACCTTCTTTTTATTAAGCTAGCCCTGGCGACAACACCCGACTACGTCGTGTGTTGCCGCCCGCTACTCTATATTTACCAGCTGCCATTCCCTTATTGTAACTCTAACCTTTACAGCTCCTGCTGGCTTATTGTGCTGTTGTGATGATTGCACTAACCTTAAATATTAATGATTTATTCCTACCCCTAACTTGTATTGAACCATCAGTGTTCAGTTTTGTTGGCTTATGACTATCTCTATCCTTATACTTTGGCTTCACCGGAATAGGAAATAGGAAATAGGAAATAGCATTAAAGGGGTTGAGAACTCAGGCAGTTTACCTGCCGAGGTAATAGGAAATAGGAAATAGCATTAAAGGGGTTGAGAACTCAGGCAGTTTACCTGCCGAGGTTATCAGATTCTATTCCACGAAGCCAGGGAGGGCCAGGCTCCTAAAGGCAAAGAAGAGTGGTAATCCACCTCGAATCCTTAAAATCCGCCGAATGGTAGATGTCAATATCCATGCGGCTTGTACCGTACCTAGGAGGAAGCTTATTCCCTCGAAAGCTCTGGCTGGCTCTGGTCATGGACCACGGGTCAACCCTACCCGTAGCGATAGCTAGCTGCCATGGATACGCCTTGTCACTGCTTCGGCAAGTGCAGCAGCCGCGCATCCATAATCCACCGAAGCATCTCCAATGCTGTCAATCTGATGTGTCCGGAGGAGCGCTGGGTGGATCGATGCGTGGCTTTCATTAGGTCTTCTTGAGGAGGAGGGCGGCGACGCGTCGTCAACCGGTATGATACGAGAGGAAGACCGGATGCTGATAGCCGTTCTCTTGTGAGTCGGCCAACCAGGCAGCAAGTGAGATAGAAGGGGGATTCAAAGACGGCGATACGAGCTATAGCTTTGTTCCTATTTTACATGTAGTTTATTGATCACAAGGGAGTGCTATATGGGGATCAATTGACACCCCAAACCAACTCGGGCGGGCGGGGCAACCATGCAAAGAGCAGTCTTGATAATCCGATAGAAAGGAGGTGGATCAAGACAAGCAATGGGTTCGGCAACTCAAGGTTGAGTGGCCCTCAGAGACTCCACGTGGTCTGTCTGTTTTCTGTTTTCCGTATTCCCCGGGACGGGAGGATTTGGGAAGATGGAGGAGAAGAGACTGGAGCTTTCTTCCGAAACATCCACTTCTGCTGGTGATAGAATTCTGTTGCAATCTCTCCACGCTTCGTGAAGGGTGAATGCTGAAGACCCAACTGTTTTTACCGAAGCATCACTGCATGGGGAAGGCTTCACCTCGGGCTGCTGTTGCATAGTGGATCTGTCTGGTTGGGACCAAGGAAGAGCCCCCGTCTCAGTCTTCAAATTTGACATGATCCAAGAAGCCCACACCATCTTGCCTTTTCCATCTTTAGTGATGGAACGAGTGGATGCACTGCAGCGATACAGCAAGAGAAGATATTCTGCAACAGACAGCACCACAAACAGTAGGGTCAAAACCATCAGTGCAAGATGCTCTGTGGAGAGAGGCGAGAAGCCAGTGTAGCGAGCAAGGAAGGCTCCATCAGTGACAATGCAGGAAAGAGCATCCACACAGTATTCATCTGACCCATGGTACTGGAGAATGTTGAGCGCTCCTCCTGAAATGGCCCAGAAAGTAAAGGAGAACACATACATCCAAGAGAGCCATGGTGGGAGGTTCCTTGATGGAACCAGCAGCCCACCAAAAAGAAAGCACAGAAAGATGAACAGTGCATAGAAGAAGGTGAACTTGCGGTAGTCTCCATGGAAGTACACACAAAGAGTCCTCCCAATCTGAAGAGCCACCAAGAGATGGACAGCCGAGAAGAGTATTTGCACAGCCAGGGACTCAAAGGACCAGCCAAGCACCACATAGCCCAGGATGTGGGCCACAATAAGGGAGAAAAGTGGTACAGAAAATGAAAAGGTCTGCGAAGCAAGCTGGTAGGATAGCACAGAAACTCTCCTATCATCCATTTCCACCCGATGTGCTGTCCACATCTTACAAGAGAGGTGGATTTTGTGTCGAAAAAGATTCACGGGAAGACCAATATAGAAGGTTGACACCAGGATCTCTTGAATGGGAGAGCCACCATCAAAACGAAGCACCATGGCAAAGAGCATCAAAATGATTGGTAGTGACAGCAAATCTGCCAGATCTGATCCATAGTTTGCATGGAGACGCTGGCATAGGAAGGAGGTCTTGTACAGAAAACCAATGGTGTTCTTGTAGCAGCATGAAAGAACTGCCCAGCTTGTTGCCTGTGTTATCTTTTGAGACTCCTCCTCCACAGTGGTAGGAACTGAAGTAGGATAACGCACTTGGGAAAGGGACTCTACATCCTCTTGTTTTTGCTCCCCGCATTCAAATGTTTCAATACTTGTGGACATATCCGCCATGGAGATTTGCCTAGACATGAGAACAAGTGAATCTTGCCTTGTCATCTCTAGGATTTTTGGTTGGTTTTCTGGTGGAACATTTGAGCTGGCATTCCCCAGGTATCCATTCATGATGGCACCCAATTTTCGGCGGAAATTCAACGCAAAGGCTCTGTTTGATGCACAATCTCTCTCCATCTTGAGTAATCCATTATCAAGGACAATAATTCTGTCGAGGTATTTCAGGACTTCCTCTGATGGATTGTGCACTGAAAGGATAACAGCGCAGTTGTACGCATTTGAAAGAAACTGCACAAACTCCATTACTTGGAGAGAAGATGCATCATCAAGACCACTCAGTGGTTCATCAAGAAGAACCAACTTGGGTGTCAAAAGGAGAGTAGTAGCAATGGCTAGAATTCGCCTCTGGCCACCACTTAGGTTCTTTATCTCGGTATCAGAAAATGGGTTCAGGCCTGATTGCCCCCCTCGGCAATAGAGCTTCTTCACCATGTCTGAACATGCAGTAACTTGTTTGATCTCTGCCCCATAGATTGAAGCAGTGATGTCCAGATATGCTGAGGCAGTCATATTCTCCATCTTCACTGAATCTGATTGGCGAAGGAAGGCAACATCACTTTCAGGGCAGTGCATTTCAATTTTCCCTGCAGAAATACTTAAACCCTGAAGCTTCTGACGACTCAAAGCTGCCATGAGGGTGGACTTTCCAGAACCAGATCTACCAAAGAGCCCAGCTACAGAACCTGAACGGATTTCTAGGTGGACATCTTCAAGAACTTTGAAACCCTGCTCTGCTGTCACAATTGACAGGTTCACGACAGAGCAAATTTTAGTGTGCACAGGAGTCTCATCATGTGAAACATGACACTCAGAAGTCCCATCTTCTGTGGCCACTGGCTCTGTTGCCTCTGCTGTGGCAGCTTCGGCAAACAACTTTGGCAATGGCAGCCTTGCAGCAGCTGTGGCAATGATGAAACTGATGGCAATGTACCACAAGATCGTTAGATCTAAGGGTACTGGCACAAAAGTTTCTTCAAGCTCAAACAGTGCTTGGCATTCATTAGGATGTCCAACAACAGAAGCACAGTTTGGACCACTGCATTCGTCTGCAAGCACAACCAAGCGATTGCTCTCTTGTTGACCATCTTCATCTTGGGAGACAAAGCCAGCTACAATGCTATGAATAGATTGTCCTTGCACCTTTGCCAAGTTCCAGGTATCAGTTGTCTGCCACAATGTAACCTTTAGGTCAACTTGTCCAATGGTGGACTGCACACCAAATCCATCACTGCCACACCGAACATCAAAGTCCTTGCTGCTAAAGTTTCCATGTGAGCATGCCAGGTGGAGAAGTTGAACTGATGGCACAAAGAATCCATGTGCAACACAGGATGAAATGTACCATGATCCTTTGGGTCCCAGATGTTCGTCTTGAGAATCTGAGAGCCAAAGAGATGTTTCCAAGGGGCGAGTGATTCTTGAACCTGCTGTTTCGGCTCCAGCCCAGACATTGCTCATAATGTCAATGAATCTCCTTTGGTTAACATGGTCCTTTTGGCTTGAAGCAGCCAGTGCAAAGGGGTCATAGTCACCATCCAACAAAAGTACTTCTTCTACCATCATGGTTCCACTTGTGTTCTTTGGAGTACCAATAGACCTAATGTTCTCATCATGGCGAAACATGCAGTGAGATGAGACACAGCAGGGCAAGTCAGAAATCTCTGGATTGTAATGCTGGGAGAACTTGTTTGACATGTCACACAGAGGATGCTCTGTCAAATTCACATAAGTTTCCATAGCCAATGAGAAGTTCTTGTCGTGCCATCGATCACTAGCTGATGGGGCATCTAGGATGTACTGCATTGTAGTGACACCAACAGACTGGGCCGCTTCTCGGACATCTGCTACGTGATTCATGACTCCAATGGCACCAGCACTGATTCCAATAACAACAAGCTGTTGGATGCTTCCTTGTTGGAAAGCTCTGTCCTGCCAATGAGATATGGCGGTACGGAAGATGTCCGATCCACCATGAATAAAGTCTCCGACCTTGCCCTTGCGCACATCTCCCAGGAACAGGTCTTGGGTGCAATAGGGAACAAGCCACTTGGTGTAGCTCTGGAACGGATTCTCTACCTGTGGATCCTCCGAGAGAATGGTTGTCCCTTCTATGATTGGAGGGAGCGTTGTACTGGAGAATTTGAATGGCTCACTCAATGCCTTCTCGAGGCACTCGTCTGGGTTTGTACATGCTCCTCCTCCCTCAAAGACAATGATATGTTTCGTTTCATCGATAAGCTGCAGCGTTTGACTGTTACTATTGACAACAGCAACATTGGAGTAAATCCCAGCAGGGCTTCCATCGGCACAGGGGATGACTGGCTCGAATGCTTGAAAGACAAGCGACGCTTCTGTGGCGAAGGCGAAGAACGTCACATGGAGGAAGAGGGTGTGTTGTATCATACTACTATATTTCTGGCTGGCAAGCAAAGGTTGGCGTTGATAATGAGAGCAGACAAAGGCGTGATAGCTGGCGTGTTGCTGTGTTGGACGAGGTGGTTTTTTCAATTTTGCTAATGCTCTGATCATGCACCTCTTGGTAGCTGGCTACTAGTAGCGCTATCGTTGCAGTTTTGAGATTGCAAGTTTTACTTGCACACCGAGTGGCTCAGTGCCTTGAAGACTTAACATTCTTATGACCTTCCGACCCCCATGATTGAATCTTTCAAGTTTTATTTAACATCCAAATTCTTAATTAAGGCACTTGGTGATCAAGTAGGATTGAAAATGACGGCCGATCGCCAGGCGTTGCTTCTTTTAATCCGATAGCTACGGGTAGCTTCTCGAACTCGGCATCATCCAGAGCAAGGAATTGCCCAAAGTCAAGGGAGGAAAGAATTAATTGAAGAGTCGTATGGTACACTTTGTAGACCTTCAAAGTACAAGTTTTGCAACTCGGAGGTCTGTAGGAGTTCCAATACATGAAGCACCCACTCAATAGACCGGGATGCCTTTGCTACAGTAGCCAGGTTGATGGGGAACCATTGCAGACAGTCGAGGATGGACAAGTAAGTAAGTCGTTGCCATTTGCCACTGATACCGGTAGCCAGGAGTAGTGACCATGCTACTCCCCAGCCAAAATGAGGAAAGCCGGAAAAAAGGGGAAAACATCTGGAAACAAATAAGGAACTCCACCTGAATGTTCCTAGGAGCATGACTGAAAGATGATTTTGTGATCAAAAAGCCACCATCTGCTGGTTACCGGTACCAGATCGATGTTAGGTTGCCTGTTTTCTTAACAACATGCATTTTAAAAATGAGGAAATCCTCATTTGTGCTCCGGAGTAGCATGTAAGCTTGGAAGTTGGAAGAGTTGCCGAAGACAAGATCGATGTACGCTATCGGAAATGGGAAAGAAGTAATGCTGGGCTTTATCATTATCTGCTTCGCGAGGTGATACTGTACCACAACCCCTATTTCTTTGACGTAATTACTACCGAACGCTCAAAGTTCGATGTTCCAACCGACCACAAGCCGATGTTAAATCTTGGACCGACCATTCGTGGCATCTTATTTCTGGAGCATGTCTTGTGTCAAACAGATTTAACCCTGACGGTTGCCGATTAGCTGGATCATGGGTTCGTTTAAAGAAAGGGGTCCAAGAAGAACAGAAAGTGTCCAAAGCTTTGTCCAAACGAAGGACATTAATGAGGGTCTGATAATGACCGGATCTTGGTGTCAAAAAGATGCGTGGGAAACCATCTCTTGTTTCTTTCTTCCAAACCAACTCCAAGCAAGTTCTTGAAAGGCACATTATTGGCTCTTCTTTCCTCCCTTACCTTCATTTTTGTTGGTCTGATTGGCTAGAAGGTTGGTGGGGCACCATGCCCTCTCGACGCACGTCTCTTGCGTTTTCTGGTAGCGGCGGCAGCACGAGTAATCCCTTTAAAGAAAATGAGGATTTGAAAGGCCAATTGACGGCATTGCGTGGGATTTCATCGCGGGTGGAATTCAATGGATGGCGGTTTTCGTTCTTGACGAAATTTGACGCGTATTTGGATGCGGCTGGCAGTGAACGGGCATCGGATGCCTATGCGGACTTTAGCGACACCACGGCCAATCTAGTCCAGATGGTTCATCAAATGGAAGGACTGGTAGCCAGTGGCGCGATTGGTTTGGGAGGAGTTTCTGTCAAGGGTCGTCAGTGTCTGGAAGAAGTCAAGAAACACTGTACTGCCGCGTCGGATGCCTTGGCGGAATTGTTGCCTGGATCCGCTACCACAGCGGATGCCGTGGACCGTGGCTACACCAATTATCACATGGGAGCCATTCTCATTGGAGATGGATTCAGTCTCTACACTTATCTCACCATGTGCGATCAGATTTTGCAACGGCGAAAACAAGAATGGCTGCAGCATCCGGAAGTGGCCGACAAGCAAATTCTCGAAGAAATGGACAATTATCACAAAAAATTGGAAATCTTTTGCGATGTCATGAGAGATCTGGGCTTGTACGATGCCATGATGAAGGCCAAGGAAATCAATCAACAGCAACTCGATGATCCAGATGATTTGCAGTCCATCTTGTCGGCTCTATCAGATCATGAACACTTGGAAGACAATAAGGACTATCAGACAGAAGACACGGAAGAATCATCCTCATCAGAAGAACAGGAACAGGAATTTGCTGAACCTGAACCTGAACCTGAACCTGAACCACCCAAACCAATCGTGGCAGCCCCAGCACCTGCTCCTGAACCGCCCAAACCCATAGTGGCAGCACCTGCTGCTCCTCCAGCATCCAAGCGTCCCTCCGTCGTCAAAAAGAAAAAGGCCGTGGTAGACGATGAACCCGATCTACCGAGGACGACCAAACCAACCGGCAAAATGCAATTGCCTGGAGGGGCAAGAAGAGGATCGATGCCGACGCCTAGATCCAACAACACCCAGAACAAACCAACAGCAAATCCTACCAAGAAACAAGCTCCTTCCAATAATCCACCACCTCCTGTATCCCAAAAAGCATCGCGACGTAGTACCATGCCACCACGGCCACAAGAAGCAGTACCCACACCACAGTCCACACAACAAGCACTCAAACCACCACCACCCAAACCCAAACCCAAACCGCAAACCAAAGTGGCCATTTTGGATCGTATCCTAGCACAAGCCGACAAGGAAGGAGTCGCACAGGTCAAACAACCCAAGCCAAAGAAAAAGAAACGTCCCAAAAATCAAAAAAGACCAGACGACGATGAACCAGACTTGCCTCCTACGGCGAAACCCAAGGCGGCACCGCGATTGCCAGGAGCCGGAACGCGACGGGCATCCATGCCGGCCGATTGGGGACGAGGAGGCAAGCCTCAACGACCGTCTGCTACTAAGGAAAAACCGGTGGCGCGCAGTCGAGAACCACAACCCTACGGCATGGGAGGATCCGTACCGAATCAACATGACGACGGAAACGGAGACAATGATCCACCCATGTCCAGACGACGTCAATCGCAACCCTACGGCATGGACAAGGATCTGCCACGCCAACGAGAACCACAACCGTACGGCATGGGTGGTGGAGGTGATGATGATGACAACAATGATCCTCCCATATCTCTCAGGCGTGAGTCGCAGCCCTACGGCATGGACAAGGACTTGCCACGCCAACGAGAACCACAACCGTATGGAATGGGCGGTGGAGGAGATGATGATGCCAACAACTATCCTCCCGTATCTCTCAAGCGTGAGTCGCAGCCCTACGGCATGGTTGGTGGCGGTGGTGATCGGAACAGTGGCCCGCCAATGTCGCGACAACGAGAATCACAGCCGTACGGCATGGCAGCGCCTCCTTCTAACAAACCAAATTCTGCTGCTGGGTCTCCATCAGCCGACAGCAGCAAGAACAACTCGCCACAAACCAAGCCAGGCGCCGGAGCTGGGGCAGGAAACACAAAAGCAAACTCTGCAAGCAAACCAAAACCCAAAGGTGCCCCTGCAGGCAAGCCAAGACCCAAAATGCCTGGTGACGATTCCCGTGGGGCTGGGCGGAAGCTGTCCGCCAAAGAAGCCAAGGAGAAACCACTGCCCAAAGTCAATGTGCCAAAGCGCTCTTCCAATGTCCCGGCTCGCATTACGAAGAAACCTGACTTGGCTGCCCGGGAGAAGGCTCGCAAAGAGGCAGAAGCAGCTGCCAAGAGGGAGGCGGAAGAAAAGGCCAAGAAAGAAGCTGCAGCAAAGAAAGAGGCAGAAGAACGGACTAGGAAAGAAGCAGCCGCCAAGAAAGAGGCTGAGGAACGTGCAAGGAAGGAGGCCGCTGCCAAGAAAGCCCTTGAAGAAACGGCCAAAAAAGAAGCTGCAGCAAAGAAAGAGGCCGAAGAGCGGGCTAGAAAGGAGGCCGCTGCCAAGAAAGAGGCAGAAGAACGCGCCAAAAAGGAGGCCGCTGCCAAGAAAGCTGCGGAAGAGAAGAAACGGCAAGAAGAAGCTGCCAAGAAAGAGGCCGAAGAGCGAGCTAGGAAAGAAGCAGCTGCAAAGAAAGAAGTTGAGGAAAGAGCTAGAAAGGAAGCTGCTGCTAAGAAAGCTGCTGAAGAGAAGAGACGCCAAGAGGAAGCTGCCAAGAAAGAGGCAGAGGAACGGGCCAGGAAAGAGGCTGCAGCCAAAAAAGAAGAGGAGGAACGAGCTAGAAAGGAAGCTGCTGCTAAGAAAGCTGCTGAAGAAAAGAAACGACAAGAAGAAGCAGCCAAGAGAGAGGCTCAAGAGAGGGCCAGGAAGGAGGTGGCTGCCAAGAAAGAAGCTGAGGAACGAGCCAGGAAAGAAGCTGCCAAGAAAGCTGCGGAGGAAAAGAAACGCCAAGAAGAAGCGGCAAAGGAGGCAGAAGAGAGGGCCAGGAAGGAGGCTGCTGCCAAGAAGGAGGCTGAGGAAAGAGCCAGGAAAGAAGCTGCCACAAAGAAAGCTGCTGAAGAGAAGAAACGCCAAGAAGAAGCAGCCAAGAAGGAAGCAGAAGAGCGGGCCAGGAAGGAGGCTGCTGCCAAGAAGGAGGCTGAGGAAAGAGCAAGGAAAGAAGCTGCTGCTAAGAAAGCAGCTGAAGAGAAGAAAAGACAGGAAGAAGCAGCCAAGAGAGAGGCTGAGGAGCGGGCCAGAAAGGAGGCTGCGGCCAAGAAAGAAGCTGAGGAGCGGGCCAAAAAGGAAGCAGCCGCCAAGAAAGCTGCCGAAGAAAGGAGACGCCAAGAAGAAGCTGCCAAGAAAGAGGCTGAAGAAAAGGCAAGGAAGGAGGCTGCTGCCAAAAAAGAAGCTGAGGAACGTGCGAAAAAGGAGGCAGCTGCCAAGAAAGCAGCTGAAGAGAAGAAACGCCAAGAAGAAGCAGCCAAGAAGGAAGCAGAAGAGAGGGCCAAGAAGGAGGCTGCGGCCAAGAAGGAAGCAGAAGAACGTGCTAGAATGGAAGCAGCTGCCAAGAAAGCTGCTGAAGAGAAGAAACGTCAAGAAGAAGCTGCCAAGAAAGAGGCCGAAGAAAAGGCAAGGAAGGAGGCTGCTGCCAAAAAAGAGTCAGAAGAACGGGCCAGAAAGGAGGCGGCTGCGCAGAAGGAGGCTGAGGAAAGAGCTAAGAAGGAGGCAGCAGAATCAGTCGCACGACAAACAGAGGAACCGGCTGAACACAATGAGAATGATGCACCTGACAATAATCCTAACGATGTCAAGGCTCGTCTTGCGGAACTAAAGCGACAACAAGCAGCTTTGATGGCTGCCGCTTCGATGCCCCTAATGGCACCCATGAGAGCTCCTGTGAAGCGCAATAAGTCATTGAAAAAGCCCAAGAAGGAGTTGGACAAGGAAAAGAAACGAAAATGCTACATGTGGTATGCACGGTTGGGCCAGCCTGATCGAAACAGCATGATTCAGTCGGTGTTGAAGCTTCACAAGTCATGTGACATTACTGTGGAGGATGTAGAGGCCTTGCCGTGGATTTGCGGTGGCGCTTTGTTGCCCGTCAAGGAAATGAACGACTTGTTCCTGTATGGATAAATGATTGGTGTCGTCGTGTTGTGATCAGTTCTGTTGGAACTAGTAGTCTTTTAATGAGTAGCATATGTTGTCGAGATCGTACCGCCTCTGCGTCTGATCAGAAGAGCCACAACATGGCCATGATCTCATGTCCTGTTGGGAACCCCCGGTTGCATTTCGAGTGGATATCCTCTTTCCGTCACGCTGATTGTTCCAGTGTCTAATAGCTACGCGGCCGACTCTTCCAGTCGATAGGTGAATGCTGTCGAGACGCCCCCGACGATCCAACAGTAGCCATCGGTTTGAGACAACTTTTCCAACTGAAAGTATTTGTTCGTTCTCTCACAAAAGGTTCGTTCCGTGAGGAGTTCATAATCCGTGCTCATGACCAATGTGCCCACCCGACACTGGCATCCAATGGCATGAGCAATCTCCACCAAGACGGACTCAGGCATGCATGTACTGGCAATGAAAAAGACGTCAACTTGTGAAATGTCCAAGGTGGGATCGGAAATGCTGGCACACACCAACTCGATGGGTGCCAATGGCAGGTTGTGGGGTGGCAGCAGTCCTTGTTGCTCTTGCTGTTGTTGTTTCTGACATTGGGCGACGTTTTCCAATGCCATTTCATGAATGCCCGGCAGAATTTCGATTCCAATGCATTTGGCAAGACGTGGATGCAGCGCGGCGGCTCCAAGGACTAACCGACCGGCTCCACTTCCAATGTCGGCGACAATCTTTCCGTCATAGGTTGTCGATGATGATACGAAGAAGGAAGCGGCTTGATCCAGCAATTGGGCAAAAAAGAGTGCATCGAATTCTCCGTACGTGAATTCCACGGGGGGTTCACTGTCCGCCCCCTTGAGAAAGGGCCAGTAGCCGTCGGTCCGACTCTTGGCATTCCGGGCTGCCAATTCGGTGGGAGGGTACAGGACATCCAAACCTTCCGCTACTTTTTGGTAGGATACTCCCGAAATGGATTCGGAACGGTCGGATGCCGTCGTGGAAGAATCAGTCGGTGGCAAATCATCCCAGGCACTGCCACTGGACGTAAGTGGGGCAGAGTGGCGGTCGAGGTGGGTTTGCAAAGGTGCCGTCAGGGATGCATCTGCAGAGGGCGCTTGGCTCAGACTGCCCAGATAATCGTGTCCAAGTGAATACAACGCAGAAGCAGAAGCACCAACACCAGTAGTAGAAGGGTCGAATGTTCCAATGATAAAGGCGGAACAAAAACCTGGAAAAAGGGTAGCATAGACCAAGAATACCACTGATACTCGCGGAACTAAACACATCCTTGCCTTGAGCTCGCAAAGCATCCTTGCAGCTGATGACACCAGATTGCTTAGCTCTTTCTACGATCGTGTAGTATCGTTGAAGCGGGCTCTTGGCTCGTTGGATATGCCGGGGGTGTTCGAGAGGGACGATTGCTTCGTCTCCTTGCTGATGGCCTTGGTCAAGGTTTAGTCAAGACTGACGTCAGTCACTAGTAATAATGGATCTTCTCAAAATTTAAAAAGTGAAAACACAAGACGAGCACAGTATCGTACGGTGTACGGTATTAGTACCCCGCCCAAAATGTTCACAGCGTACGTTCTGCCGTTTCATCTCATTTTTTGGAGGGACAGAGGCAGGATCGGGGTCACTCTGGCTAAATTGGCAGCACCATGCAAACCAAGGCAACAAAAACTATCAATCGAGTGACAGTCCATCCAACCAGCACCATAATCCCACCAACCATGAACACACCAACCGCCAACACCAGAGGTGAAGCTCAATCGTCCAAGGGGTCAAGAAGTGGCAAGGTGGAACGTAAAGGCAGAGGGAGTGCACTACATGGTCGAACAGCACAGCCAGAAGATGATCCCAACAGGCTTGTGCCCACGGAGTATCACAGCGATGATGGTTTGGAAGAAGAAGAACCCCAAGAGGTCCATGTTGACGAGTTGGAGGACGAGGAAAAGGACATCCCACCTGTAATGCTTTCACGGGAAATAGATGACCTGCCTGCTCAGGCAGCCATGAAACCACCCAGCCTAGCCTTTCAGCCTAGCGGATTTCGATTCGAAAAGGCACTCACTGAAGATATCTACAGTATCATGTACACCGCAGAACCAATGAGCCTTGCATTCTTTTTCGCTGTGCTTGTTTTCTTGATCCAATTCACAATCTTGGTACTGATTTGTAAGTCACCAATTAATTGATGCCAATGAAGTAGTTGCAAACGGGAAAACCAGCAGCTATCTAAGACGTTTTGGATTACATGCATTTGCTTGGCCAAAAAGTCATTGACCTAGTTCATACCACGGATGATCCACCTACCTCAGTGAGTAGTTATTTAGTATTGCTTTGTGGTCATGTGCTTATTGAAGTGGAATATCTGTGTTTCTCACCCACTGGAAATCACACTCGTGATGATGAACAGAGCAACGGAGAAATAAACAGGATAAGCATTCCGGTGGATGTGGATCGCACTGTTCACATTGCACAAGGCTTGTCGGTTATCCTCATCATCAACTTTACCGCCAAAGATGGAGACCTCATCAGGGGCTGTTCTCGCTTCTTCAATGGGTACGATCATGAGCATATCAATGACCACCCTGGTGCCACAAAAATCAAGTGGGTCATGTCATCACTATTGCAGGCATCCTCGGGTGTTTTCATGATTATTGATTTATTCATGTTGCTCATGCAAAGCACAACTGTTGTGGGGTTGTGTCTGAACTTTGCCGCCCTCCATTTCGTACAAGATATTGATGATGTTGCATTCGCAGTTGCAGAAACAGGCTTGACTGGCCGGAGAATTCAACAGGAAGTTAAAGGTGAGTGAGTTTCTGGCTTGTTTTTTTGCTCTTCATTCCCACATCACCATGGTGCACAGTAGGTTTAAATTGTGTGGCACATCCTCTTTGTTCAGGTGTTGGCGACATCATGACTACCGCTGCCAACAAGAAACGAACGCTTTGGATGAGAAGGATTTTGATGGTGACTATAGTGATTGTTCTCTACATATGCTGGGCTGTGCTCACCAGCTGGCAGCTGTTTGGCAAGTTTGCGTGTGATGAACTCTTCATACAATTTGGTGATGCCTATGATCCAGACCTAGCCTTGTACTCTGGCAGGTTTTTGGCACAGGGTCGGCAAAGCAGCCGAACCAAGTATGTTGATCTCAGTGGAACATACAAAATGCGGTACTCTCGGTCCAACAAAGCTTGGGTCCTGGAGCCCAATTCACTTGAGAAAGGTCCAGTTGTGATCATGTCTTCACAAACTGATTCCTTTGATGTCACCACTGTGGCAGATCAAACATGGTTCCATAACACAACAGCAGGTTTCGCGCCTGTGGATTGGTTTGCTCTATCCTGTCATGAATGCGAAAACAGATGTCATCAAGACCGTGGAAAATGTGAAAATCAAGTTTGCATATGCAAAGAAGGATTCTTTGGGATGAGCTGTGAGATAGAAACCCCGGAGTGTCCTCACTATGCTATTGACTTTCGAACCAGGGGTACTTTGGGCAACATTCCAGGAGGATCATTCTTTTTCGACAAACTGTTTGCATCACCAGATTTTGCCCCTGCAAACAACATGTCTCGTCTTGAGTTCAATGGAAGATTCGTTTATCTTCCATATAATCCTAATTGGCTCAGGTTATCGGAAGACTACAAAGTCCAGAACTTTATGCTTTTCACTGGTCGAAGGTAAGGCAGCAACTCTTCTATGGCACAGTACTGTATTGCACAAAGTGCCGCAGGTTCTCACATCAAAGTGTTCTGGCCATTCAAAGATGGATGATCCTGGGTACACAATTGGAATCAGATGCACTTGCCTGGATAGACTTTCTAAACTTTATGAACGCAACAATACTTTCAGACAATCCCTCCCCGGCTGGGAAGTTGCAGCTACTGGCCAAAAGCCCAGATTACCACCCCATCTTCTACAGCTCTCCTGTTGATTTAAGCACCCCGACTTGGGCTTACGATCCTTCTACTGTGACCTGGGTTTTTGTCAAGCCACAAAAGAACCCTGAGGAATCCCTGTTTTTTGGTACCAAACCAGATGACGATGACAGACTCAGTGCACAATTTTTATGTTCTGCTTGCGCATACCAGAATAGAACTGAGGGATTGGGCACTTGCGGAAATGGTGGCAGGTGCACTATTACTTTGCCAGAAAGCGGTCTGGGGTTTTGCGAATGCTCGCCCTTCTACACGCAAGTTCCCAGTTGATTTGGTCCTCTTTGTTTTTGGAGACGTGTCTTTCTCATTCTTCTTTGTGTTCTGTAATATGCAGTGGTTTCCAATGTGAATATGTTTATGATTGCAACGAATTGGGGTGTTTCAATGGTGGGACATGTGACAAGATCACTGGCAGCTGCAAGGTAGGACCACAGTTTATTCTTGAATTGGGTCGGGAAAGGCAACTTTAACTGGACCTTGCGTTTTGTGCATCTCTAGTACTGTTTCAAGGGTGCCCATGGAAACATCTGCCAGAATCCTCCCCCGCCCGCAGTAGAGCAGGAGCCTTTCTTCTGCTCTGATACTGTGTTTAGTTTCAGTGCTTGCAAGAACCATCAAGCATGTGATCCATTCCAATTGAAGTGTACCTGTGAGCCCCCATTTTACGGGGAATATTGTCAGGAATCCACACAGCAAACTTGTGTTAGAGTTTCAGAAGACTACGAAAATTTTGAGCTTGGGGAAAACTGGATCCCTCAGGAAGGTGTCTTTTTGGATCCTTGCTTAAACGGTGGTTTCTGTGACTACTCCTATGTTGACTATCCAGTCTGCCGTTGCCCAGAAGGTTATTCCGGTGATCTTTGTGAATTGAGGGCAGGTTCAGAGAACATTTCCAGTCCAACAAAAAGCCCGGAGGGTTAGTTTTGGCGGTACACGTAACCTAGACAGAATGATCGTTCCCCGCCGTTCGGCCGATCGAAACTGATTTCCCTTCTATGGCCGCCAACGTCTGCTGCGCTCGATGTCTCGCAGAACAACATGTTGCAACGAGATGACAAAGCATTCGGTAGCCACTTAAGCTGTGATAACTTGCGCTCACTTCCGACTCGACGTGTCGTGGAACTTTGGTGGATGAACGAACGTGGACGAAACGCTGGTTGCTTCTAGCCTCTAAAGTAGGATGCTACATGTAGCCGACCAGATTGCGGGCCAGCATCCTGTCAGAATCATTGAATTGCAATGGCTCTACTACGATGCATGGCAATGAGAAGATCAGTGGTCATCTTACTAAATGTGTATTACATGTATCGTTTTGTGTGGAGAACATCGGCTGGACAAGGAAGAGCCAAGAACCAAAGTCTTCTGTGCCCAAACCCTTATTGCTCCTTGGCCATTCCTGCCTTGTCACATCGAATGGAGTTTAGTAGAGGTATCATACATGTTTGGAGGTTACCGTTTTGGCAATCTTTTGTGCTTCTGAACCACCTTCCCACCGCATACATTCTTCACCGTTTTCGTTGTGGTTGTACTTGATCTTACAGTCATAATCTTCACCCAACATGAATCCCAGCTCGCCAAATTCACCATTATTGTAGGCAACGCAGTGTGCATTGGCAATGATGTACACTTCGGCAAAGGCTCCCAACAAGTCGTCTGGCGAAGCGCTCTTGTCATGGTTGTTGGTGGAAAGCCGCTTGGCGGGGATCTTGACACCGCGCAACACACCATAGTTGACCGCGTACATGGCAGCTTCCGTCGTTTCCGTGAACACCAACATGTTGCTGCCTGGAGCGACCTGGGAGAGACAGTTCATTGCCTGTTCGACATGTGTTCGGACATGATGTTTTTGATCATCGGTTCTAGGCACAATCGGGTAATCAACGTGTGCCACCGAATAGTCACCTGGCTCCAATTCGACGTGGTCGAGCATTTCATTGACTCGTTCCTGCAAGAGAACGGTCGGTTGGAAAAAGGCGTGAAAGACATCTCGCAAGATTCGATCGGCCTTGACTTCCTTGTCCGCCAATCGATCGTTGTAAAAGGCTTCGGCATGAGCATCATCGGCAAAGTTAAACAATGCATTGACGACCTTGCGATTGTCTTGCATGGCTTCCGTGGCGAGGATATCCAAGGCATTCTGCTGCTTTGCCTTTCGGACCTTCCACATCATGAATTCCGGGACAATCCAATCGACACCAATAGTCTCTTCTTCTTTTCCCTTGTCGCCTTCGGTTTCCTTTGTCGGTGGTTCGACAAAGAATTCGAGCCGAAATGGTTTGTCCCAGTGCAACAACAAGATGCGCTGCGATTGGGCGGCCAATCGGAGCTGTGCCGGCAGCAATCGCAACCGATGCGTCACGGTTCCACAGTTGGCCTGGTTGTGTCCATAGCACGTCAAGACGAGGTATCGTTGTTCCTTCCAGTTTTCTTCGGTAATCTTGGCCTTTTGGTCCTTGTGCCAGGAAAAGTACGCCTTTAACCAATCGGGCAACGTCGTCGACTTGCTCCACAACTCGTCTGGTTTGGGTGGATTCTGTTGACTGTATTCTTTCAACCACGCTGGCATGCCCTTTTCTTCGTCGGCATTGGCCGCATGCGGCTGGGCATTGCCTTGATGAATGTGTACGGCATCGTCGTCGGTTTCGGGTTTGTAGTCGTTTTCTCCCAATTCTCCCAAAATGGCCGTCTTGTCCATGGTGTCGTGATTGCGTTTTTTCTCTGCTTGTAGATCGTGTCCCGTCTGTACGGCATCCAATGCCGTCGCCGTCCAATTGCACTTGTTGCGGGCATTGTATCCTTCGTATTGAATGCGACAATTGTAATCGTATCCCATCATGTATCCGAATTGTCCATAGGACGTTTCTCCACTGTACGCAATGCATCTCGTGTTGGCCATGAAATAGAATTCCAACCACGAGACAAAGAAATCCTTGGGCAAGAATTTGGAGTCGTGTGCAATTTGTCGTGCTGCCACCACAACATTTTTCTTTTTGGCGTACTTGACCGCTTCCTTGGCAATGGCAAACGTCTCGGCCGCCACCAAATAGGGGCCGCCTGCAATAAAAAGAGAAAATGAAAACACAAAAGTTAGGTTGGCTGGTTTGGTCAGTTTCGTGTCATGACTGTCATTGATTGTATGTGTCACTTACCAGGATGCAAATTGGATCCACAATTCATGGCATTCTCGACCTTTTCCTTCAATGCCTGTTTGGCCGCCGCCGTGAGCGGCTTGTCCTTGTAATCAATATGAATGGTGGCATACCCACCCGGTGGTAGTCCCATGGTATGATGGGTTTCTTGAATTCGTTCTTGCAGTGTAAATGTGGGTTTGAACAGGACATTGTACACATCATGAAAGACTCGATCGGCGGGTTCTTCGGTTCCCTCTAATTTGGAATTATAGTAGGGTTCTCCGTACCATTCATCCTGCACCATGGTCGCCACCATGAGTGTCTCGGCATTATCCGCTTGTTGGGCAATCAGTTCGACCTTTTGGAATTGCGGAACTTGCTTTAGGGTATCCATCATGTACGGCGGCACGGTCCAATTCATCCCGCCATGATGCGGTGGTTCGACATAATCTTCGAGTTGTTCCTTTTCGCGATCGCCCCAATTAATGAGTAACAAGCGTTTCGTGTCGTAGGCAATCCGGAGCATGGCGGGAATGGGGCGCAGTCGATGAGCGACATTGCCACAGGTTTGATCGGCAAAACACGTCATGATGAGATATTTTTGTTGTTTCCAATTGGTCTCGCTCAAAAAGCCGCGTCGTATTTCATGCCAGGAAAAGTAATCCTTCATCCACGGGGGTAATGTCGTCGCGTGTTCCCATCGCGTGCCACCGTGTTGCTCGCGACGGGGAATAATATGGTCTTTCGAATTCGTGTTTTGCTCGACTTTATTATTGTAAGGTGCTTCAAACCATTCTCCACGTTCGACATCTTGTCGGAAATCATCGGGATGATCCATTGTATCCCAGTAATCGCCATGTTGACGATGATGATCATTGTGATGGGCCAATGCGAAACCAATCAATTTTTCTTCTTCGTGTCTCAAATTATTGGTAAAGTGTTTGCTGAATTTTTCCGGAAACATGCGCTTTAGCTCAATGTCTGTCAAGGGATTTCCCATACTGTCGGTATTGGGATCTTTGTTGGGTGGATGATTATTGGCTTGTTGCGCCAAAAAGGCGGCGCGGAATTTGGCGCGTTCGGATTCTTCTTTCGGTTGAACGCGCAATAAGGGATTCTCGTCCGGCGTCAATTGCATCACCGTGTGGACGGATACCTTGTCCGCGGGTGCTGGTGGTGGTGGTGGTGGAGGAGCTTGTGCTTGTGCTGCTTGTGCAGCTTGAACTTGACGAAGTTGGTTATTGTTATTGACATTGTCAGTGATGATTTGTTGCTGTTGTTGTTCTTGTTGCTGATTGGAGTTACTGCTACTGCTACTACTACCTCCACTGCTGCTACTAGTATCACTGGGCATGACATGATGACTGAGTCGCATCACGTTGATACTAGTACCCAAGAGCAGGAAGAACATGCACGCAATGCAAATTTGGATTCGCGCCAACGTCGAACGGACTTGTTGGCCATGGCGCTTGGTAGTGGGAGAGGCAAAGCCATTGCTGCTGCTGTTGGTAGACTTGCTGGCAGACTGAGGACTGCGTAAAAACAGCATCGAAGAAGAAGACGTCGATGACTTTTCGGCACTGTCGCTTCCCATGGTTTATTTGTTTGTTTTGTAGAAGAAGAGAGAGAGAAAATAGAAAGAGTGGACCGCTCAAACGAAAAGAAAATAATGAGCGTGGATCTATCCAAGCCTTCTTCCATGCAAGCAACGTCCAATCATGTCAATGCGATCCGCGGAACCGGTCGCGATTGCCACCAGGACATCATCACCGGTACGTACATAAACATTTGAACCAGTGGTACCAAAAGGTCATACTATACCATTTTCAGTAGTAATCCGTGACTCAACGCTGCGAGCATCCTTCCAACGCACTCCACTGTCCATCAAATGTACACTAAGCAAAGGTCCCCGGTTCACTTACGACTGACTAGATACGAGCAATAGTTAACAGAATGCAATCCTGCATTAGGGACTACATCACTTGGGGAATCATGTTACATAAGTAATTGGTGCATAGCCTTTCAGGGCTGGAGGAAGGAAGTGTGTTCCGATCTGTATAAAAACGGCCCGCTGATTTGAAGATCGACGGCCGCGCGCTATGGACGCGCAATTCCGAGGCGAAGCCGAGTGCGGCGCGTACAGTAGCGCGCAGGCCGGAGATCTTAAGACGAGGACGAGGCAAGAGGCGAGGCGCGAAAGGAAGGCCGAAGGACTGGAAAAGCGCCGAGACTCGCAGACGAGATCCGAGGCTGGCAATGAAGAGGGCCGTCATTTGTGTGTAATCTGTACAGTGATAATCCGAGAGATAGACTGACACATTAGACTGTTGTAACTGCCCATACTGCTCCATTGAAGAAACTCAACAATAGCCCATCATTTGGCTATCGACACAGGAGCAGAAGCCATCTCCATTTTAGTACTCGAGTAGCAGGTCATTCACTCGAAAGATTTACTCCTGTAGGACTCAGTACTGGATCTACGCGAAGATTGACAAGATGCCCGATGATGATGGAGAGTTCGTCCTTCCTCCTGTACCAGCAACGTCTCCTCCCAGTAGTGACGATAGTGACAGTGACGAGGAGAGGAAATGGAAGACGTGGCTCCACCACCTTTGACTCAGGGAACGGCCGCGGCAACACTCCTTGGCTTTGCCTCTGTTGCTCCGCCGCCTCCACCACTGACCCAAGGAACTGCAGCAGCGGCACTCCTTGACTTCGCCAATCCTCCTCCTCCGCCTCCAAAAGATCCAAACGTCTTCCAATCCACGCTCGAATGTACCATCGACTTTGGTGGAAATGAAGGAACTCCTCAAACAAACAACCGACCTGCCAGAGTCTCCCTGGAAATGAAGAAAATCAGGAACCACACAAGAAACTCCACAGGAGCAGCCAACACTCAACTCAGCCGCTGCCATTGCTGGTGCCTTGGAAGCTGGAAATCAATATGAATCCATGGAACTGACTGAGGGACCTCAGTTGTTAGCCGAATCCAAAGACAAAGGGAAAGTGTCCAAGGAACATGCCGCCAAAATCACCCGCTGTGTGAATCGATTCTTCACGACCATCCACGAAAATGGAGGCGACATCTTGGCGAATCTTCTGAAGAAGGAACCAGCCAATTATGCGAATGGAAGATAGTCGATTATGCCTTCTTCAACATTGTGAGTGGAGACAAGAAATCGACAAGCACACATTCTCAATCATTGTCTCGTCTTGTGTGGAATGAAATGGCTTTGTAAGAGTGGAAAAAACAAGGGCAAACCGTTGGCACCAACAGTCTTCGATCAGTACATCCAAGTCTTGTTCCATTTCTTCAAAGCTCGCGGCATCCAATACAAGTACAAAGAAGATTTCAATGAAAAGGGACAGTTCCACGGTTTCATGATCACGAAGTGGTATATGATTCGGAAAAGCGATCCCAAGTTTGGAGTCAAGAATTACAAATCCGCGATTGACTGGGATGCAGATGCGAAGATTCGTGAAGCAATTCGTGACGGAAGACTTCAGCCCTGGACGAACCCGCAGCATCTCCTGTACGTCTTGCTCTATGTGCTTGGTCGCTTTTTCCTTTTCCGTGGAGGCAAGGAGATGGCGAATCTTTTGCACGAAGAGACATATGGAGGCGTTTACGATCGAAGACTTGGAGAGCTGGCCGGCAATGAGTATGAAGCATTCGTTCTCCCGGAAGACAAGACCAACCGACTAAATCTCGTGAATCCATCGGCGTGAACAAAGATGATCGCTGCATTGAGTGTATGGAGAATCCGCATGATGCACTCTGTCCGGTCAAGGTCATCCGTTTCTTCAAGGGAAAGTGTCATCCAGACGCCGTAAAGTTCTTCGCCAAGATTGCCACCGCCAAACAGCGAAAGGAATACACCACAAAGGCGAAACGTGATGTTTGGTTTGTCCAGCCAAGCACGGAGACACCACGAAAAATCTTGGCTACCACAAGCTGAATGGGTTCACCAAGGAATTAGCGAAGATGTGTGGCTTGACCAATTGGGAAGACATTTCCAATCATGGTTGGCGAGCATACGGTATCACAAAACTCCATGCTGCTCGCGTCGATCTCAAGACTCGATTGAAGATGGCACGACACAAGTGCGAGAAAAGTCAACTTCCTTATGCTCGCTTGACAAGTGATGGTCTGTTCAAAGCTCATCAGGCGTTGCGTGGGACAGATGATTCGATCAGCGCTCAAGACGACAGTGATGAGGGAGCCAAGAAACCCGCCGCCAAAAAGCGCAAAACCAAGATTGCCGCCGGTGGAAAGAAGAAGAAGAAGGCCAAGAAGGCAGTAGAGGTTCCAGAGATTGTTTCCACTCAAGAAGAAGAGGAAGATGCGAACTCCCAGTTGACCGAAGGGAGCAAGGACCACAGCAAGATGTCGCGAGATGAGCTTTTAGCAGAGCTTGCTCGACGAGATGCCCCTGGATCGGTTGTAGCCGTTTCAAATGTTGGTGGTGGGTCGGCGAGTTTTGCTGGATCGGCAGTTCAAGGTTGTGGGGCGAATAGTGTTGCTGGGAGTCAGGCAAGTTTCGCTAGTGGACAGATGATGGCGGTCCCCCAGATGCAACCACAGATGGCGACGACGGTCCCTCAACAGCAAATGGCGATGGCCGCCCCTCAACAGCAAATGGCGATGGTGGTTCCACAGCAGCCGATGGCGGTCCAGCAACAGCAGATGGCGATGGCGGTCCCACAACAGATGCCGATGATGCAACCACAGATGCCAATGATGATGCAATACCCCATGATGGGATTCAACCCGGCCATGATGGGAATGGGATTTAGTCAGACATTTCTTCAGCAACAATATGCGAATCAAGTCGGTCCCCAAATCATTGTCCCACAAATGCAACAGCAAGCCATGATGCCACAACCCGCTCCACAACAGCAGGAGATTTGGGTCCGGGACGCAAATGGGAATTTGGTACCGGCAGGAAATCAAAACGGAGTAGGGCCCCAGGGAAATCATCAGGGCTATTGAAACGGTGATAACGCCATGGTCGATGTCTTTTCATTTGCTTTGATGTAGGGCATTTGTACAGAGAATAGGGCATAGTTTTCCTTTTTCGATATTGGGCTGGCTGATTTATGAAGAATGAAGCAAACTGAAAAAGTCGAACTGAATCGCTGACACCTTCCTTCTTGCATCGGTGGAGTGGTTCCGACTGTTGGTCCTCTCTTTACCTTCCGTTGAATAAAAACCCAAAATGATAGAAACAATTACCAATGTCACCTTTTGGTTGCCACCAAATAGTCATACGATTTTTTCAAAATGTGGAAAAAAAGGTTTGTCTCTGAAAGATACGGTATATTTAATTGAATCGTACGATTGATACACATTTTTCGAAATTTTGAACACATGGTCGCTGATGAACGTTGGAAACGCGAAGAAGCATCGAAAACATCTTCAAGATTGCTTTTTCCAGTCAGTATTCTTTTCTTATAGTGATTTCCAAAGATGTTCGATTTTTTTAGCTACTATTTTACTGTGTACACATCATCCTATGACATCCATCTTGGAAAAAAGCGCATGGAAAAGAAACCGTCTTGAGAAACGGTCGATTCTTGCGAATTTTACTATGAAATAAGCAGTAAGATGCAATTCACGACTGATTTTCTGTTAACTCCGGGAAGCACATTCGAAACCGCTGAAACACATGATGTCAAATACGATTCACCCTACTTTAACGCTTACATCTCATCCGGCAAAATAACTGTCACGTAGAAAATGTACCAGCTCTACGAGGATATCACCGGACAGATTACTAAAGAATGACACGGTCGTGAACTGGTCAACTCCCACGCAAGGACGCGATTGTCGATCCGCAACTCTTGCCGTGGCCAATTTTGTTGTTGTTGTTGTCAACGAGGGCGTGCCAAGCTCATACCTTACCTGTGGATCTCCACAGCTAGCTAGCTAGCTAGCTAGACCCAGCGCACATTCAGGTAGCGGCCAAGCTTCAAATCCATCTCTGCATTTAGACTACTTTCTTCAGCTGTGAATGTTCGTTCGATGGGAGCCACTCTGTTGCTCCATCCAGCTACCTATATAGCCAGCTACGTCGCTTCATGCCACACGGTAGGTGCTACAATACCTTGCTAGCTAGATAGATAGATAGATAGATAGATAGATAGATAGATAGATGTGCCTTTCGATGGGCGGGTTAACGTAATTCTTCTTAAAAAGGAGTACCGTACGTGCCAAACGAAAACAAGAAGCAGCCTGAATGACATCAAATCATTCTCATTCGCAAAAGGCAAGTACAGCGCATGCTTGCCAACATGACACGATGCATTCGTAGCTACGGTACGGTATCTGCGAAAGGATACCGATACCCGTGTGCACTTCGGTGTCGATCGGAAGTTCGATTCATCATGCATCCGCCAGGGGCCAGCTATCGCTGCTAACTCGAGCTGGTGGCTATTTGTCCGGGTCGCTTCGCGGCGCGTCGCGTCGAGCCCACACCAAGCAAAATCAAGATGACGATCGACGACATGAAGTCCTCTCACCGTTGGATGGACGTCCCCTTTACAAAATGATAGAGCAACGTGCCCCAGTTCACGTATGGTATGCAGTCATGTTGGAGGGACCTCACCCAGTGCAATGAATGCTCCACTCACAGCCGCACTGAGGAGCACAATGGTGGTTGTAAAGATCCACTTGTCATGAGTGAAGTCCCTCTTCTTTTTACCATCCTGGCCCTTCTCGTGATCGGAAGTGTTAGTCACCGAAAACTCATTACCGTTCTAGTACACGTTTCCAGTAGCGTCGGTAGGAGTATTGTTGTCTTGTGCAATCAGCTCGGCCCATAGCTTTGGCTGTATGTGATGGCTCGGCGCCTGCACCATGCTTTTCCACCGCCGATGAACTTCCCGCCCTCCCGTACGTTAAACGCCAACAGCGGACTAATAATCACCCACCAAAATCGTGCAGCTCAAGTCTCCCAAGCCAAGCAAAGCCAAGCAAAGCCAAGCAAAGCAAACCATGTGCACGGTCGTACGCAAGCAGCTTGGGATAGCTCGCCACCACAAACAGCGGCAGATCTGGAGTACAACTTTTAACTTCACGTTCGAGTTCACGGAGCCGTTACAACGGCCTTTCACCTACAAAGCCGCTGCAAGACGGAAGGAAGACTCATGCACTTGTACGTGCTGATCGAGCACGGTAGCACAGCCAGTAAACAGTCCGACGAACGTTCCATCAAGGAGGCTGGCGGTGCTTCCGAACTTCAGGGACTCTCAAAATGGTTGCTTGCGGCCTTGGGGGTTGGGGGCTACCGTAGGTTGTCGTTTGGGTAGTATTACGGAGCGCCGGGAGCTGTGATGGCTCTGCGGCCGTGCTGGTAGCTTTGCTTGCTGTTTCGTTTTGGATTGCATGCTTTTGGAGTCTTCAGAAACCTTTGTCCGTTCACTTGCTTTTTCCTCTCGCTTGTACGGTAGTACCAACCCTGCAAGGAAGGTATCCAACACGGCAGGATAGCCAAGGCGACAGTCCATGGCTCGCACCTGGAAATGTCGCTTTCCTCAACGCCCCCAGCTTTCGATCGACGTCTCGCAGTATACGTTGTTGAGCGCACCACCAGAGTCAGCTCGCTGCATCTGGCCTCGCGGCGATCAATCCTGTCACACAGCAAGGTACCAGTCCCGATGCCGAACCAGCCATTGTCGCATCGCTTTACCGGGAGCCATGTTATTCCCTCCCGCCGCTCCTTTCGAAGAATCTTTCCGGATCCCAGGCCGAAGCGAGCCACAGACCCGTTCCAGGACTCGAGCCAAGCTCGGATGACAAACAAGCGAGGACGCAAGAAAGAACCAAAAGCAAGGCGTCAAGACTTCGGAAGAGGCAAGACCGGAGTCGTGAAGCTCGAAGATGGCAATCTTGCGAAGGTTGTTGGGCTGTTGTTTGGTGGTGTTGTTCGCGTGTGTTTGTCGATTTGTTATACCCGTCAGCTTGTTGTGGCTTGGTCAACCTCATGGCTAACCAATGGCTCATCAATTTTGTTGCTGGAATGAGAAAGGTCAATAGTGCGAGGTACGGAAGGTACTACCCAGTGTTCTTTTTAATTCGTACTACTAGTGGGTTATCTTTCTAATGTCTACCGCCGCTTGGCAGAGATCTTCGTTTCTTTTTTGTATGTACACACACTGTCAATCACAAGTTCTTACACATAGAGATGAAGAGGTCTTCCTCCGCTGTAGCACCAGTGGGGCGCCTCGTTCATTTTTGGTGGTCGCTTAGTTGTCGAAGCGAGCATCATACTTTTCGTCATCAGTGTCAGAACCTTGAGACTTCAGGCTACTGCGGATGGACTTCTCTGTCTCCATGACAAGGAAGGTGATAACCATGCAGACCAACACAATGACCCACTGCATCCAATCCATGGGTCCCATGCCGAACAAGACGCTGTTGAGACCAGGGATGTAGGTGATCATGAGCTGCAAGATGACAAGAGGGACAAGGGAGTACCACATGAAGGGGTTTCCACGGAAGAGACGGGGGTGCAAGGAAGAAAGGTAGGAGAATCGAGCACTCATGGTGACAGAGATGGCCGAAAAGGTCAAAGTGTTGGAGGCTTGGGAGCGGATTTGAGCCAAATCATATTTCTTGCCATCTTCGTTGTCGCCAGCAACACCACGGACAAGGTAGGAGGCTCCAACAGTCAAACTGACAAGGGTGACGGTGGCGATGAGGATACGGAGAAGAAGGAAGCGTCCGATGAGGCGCTTGCCGGGCTTGCGGGGCTTGTGAAGCATGATTCCATCCTCAGCAGGTTCCACAGCAAGGACAAAACCAAGGGTGACGGCACAGATCAAGTTACAGTAAAGGACCTGGATGGGTGTCAAAAGAGTGTCCTTCATTCCAAAGATCATACCGAAAAGAACAGTGAGACCTTGAGCGTTGTTGATGGGAGTATTAACAAAGAGAATCTTTCGCAAGTTATCCCAGACAACACGGCCTTCTCGGACAGCAGCAACAATGGTGGCAAAGTTATCATCGGCAAGGATCATCTCAGAGGCTTCACGGGCAACATCAGTTCCTTCTTTACCCATGGCAACACCCATATCGGCCTTCTTGAGAGCTGGAGCATCATTGACACCATCACCAGTCATACTGCAGACCTGCTGCTCTGCCTGAAGGGCTTCGACAATCTGGATCTTGTTTTGGGGAGATGCACGGGCGAAGACATTGTAGTTCATGACAGCATGACGCAGCTGCATATCATCCATGTTGTCCAACTCAGGTCCAGTCTTTGCTTCGTTGAATTTCTCATCAACAAGGCCAAGCATTTCTCCAATAGCAAGCGCAGTATCCTTGTGGTCACCGGTGATCATGACAACACGGATTCCAGCCTTGTGGGCAACCTTGATAGCATCAACACACTCAGGACGAGGAGGATCCATGATAGCACAGAGTCCAACAATGGTCAACCAAGCGCCCTTGCCCTTCACGAAATCAGGCTTGAGCTGTTCTCCCTTCTTCACACTGTCCTTGGGAACCATGGTGCGGCACAGAGCAAGACAACGAAGACCGTAGGAACTGAGGATAGAGATTTGCTTGTTCCAGTATTCAGTGTTGACAGGCTCAATATTTTCTTCTCCAACAATACCTCCCTTGAATTGGTGAGAGCACATGGCAACCATCCGATCGGGGGCACCCTTGACATAGACAACATATTCTCCATCATTGCCAGCACCATCAATCTCAGCAACTGGTTCGTGAACAGTGGCCATGAACTTGTACTCGGAGCTGAAAGGAACCTCGGCGACAGTAGGAGACTTGGTTTTCATGCCATCAACATCACAACCAGAGAAGTAGGCAGCACGGACAATGGCAAGCTCGGTTGGGTTTCCAATCTCTCCATCACGTCCACCGTTGACTCCAAGTTTACTGTTACCACAAAGGACACCACAGGCCATGGCAGACTGGAAGTAGGCAGTGTTGGGGGATTGGCCATTGGCAACTGGGGAGCTTCCGACACTTTGGACTGGTGCCTTGTTGTCTTCTCCACTCTTGTAGGCCATGAAAGCATCATTACGGACAAAGTTGGAGGACACACGTTCGGTACTGTCTGTGTTGAATTGGTAGCGGCCTTCGGAGGTGACAAAGGCAGTCAAAGTCATCTCGTTCTTGGTCAAGGTTCCAGTCTTGTCAGAGCAGATCACAGTGACACTACCCAAGGTCTCAACAGCAGGAAGCATGCGCACGATGGCATTCAACTTGGCCATGTTGGAGACAGCATAGGCGTAGGTCAAAGAGACAATGGAGGCAAGACCTTCAGGAATCATGGCAACAGCACAGACCAAGGCGATGGCAACAGAGTCCAGAGGAGCTTGGTCAACATGGAAGTAGGCAACAAAGAAGGTGATCAAACCGCAAAGGACAACAAAGCAAGCAATGACCTTGGAGACATTGTCGATTTGCTCGAGCACAGCAGTCTTCTTTTGTTCGACATTGTTGACAAGGGCGTTGATGGTACCAATCTGGGTGTTGTCTCCAGTGCAGCAAACAATTCCAAGACCACGTCCCTGGGAACACAAGGTAGCAGAGAAGGCCATGTTCTTGCGGTCACCCAAAGGAACCTCAGCAGGGTTGTTGGTTTCAAGGGCTTCAATAACCTTTTCAACAGGGAGGGATTCACCAGTAAGAGCAGCTTCGGTACAGGCCAAGTTGGAGGTCTCCAACATACGGATATCAGCAGGGATACGGTCACCAGTCTTGATGACAACAATGTCACCGGGGACAAGCTCGTTGGCAGGGATTTCCGTGTTCACACCATCACGGACAACCTCAGCATCAGAGGAAAGCATCGACTTGAGGGCATTGGCGGCCTTCTCGGCAGAACCTTCCTGCATGATACCAATCCAGGCATTGAGGGAGATGACGAAGACAATCAAGGCAACTTCGAGCCAGTTGGTAATGGCATCCTCGGTAGACTTGGCAGTAGCAGCTTTGGCAGCAGAGACCACAGCAACAACGGCCAAGATTCCAACCAACACGTTGTTCACTTGACCCCAGATGCGCTCGAGGAGAGTCTTCTTCTTCTTCTCGGTCAACTGATTGTATCCGTGGACCTTGAGCAGCTCTTGAGCTTGGGAAGAGGAGAGACCACGCATGGATGTCTTGAGAGTATCCATGCAGGAGTCAACATCAAGGACGTGCCACACATCAGGAGCTTTTCCGGCGCCATCGGCCGCGCCGTTGTGATCGCGAATAGCTGTAGGAAACAAGCGAGAAGAGAAATGAATAAGATACTGTCCTTTCGTCATTGTCAAACCGAAATCCTCTTCGTATCTTTCGATCTGATCAACTTACGTTCGGGCTTGCACATGTCAAAGAAAAGGAAGTAAGGGAATCGAAGCGAAGAGTATTGATTAGGTTCGAGTCTGAATGTCAACTTGCTTTGCGAGTTGATTCAAACTAAAATTGTGAGAGAAGAGAGAGCGCCTTTGCCGATCTGATCTTCCCATTGGGTTTGACGTGTGGATATTCGTATGATGTCAGCACAAACCGGCGACTATCTAGCCGGCAGTACCACTACAGCACTGTGCTCTATCCTACTTGCGGCGTTGCGATAATACACGAAACGTCAGTGGGGGAAAAAAGCACAGGGACCGTTCCAATGCATTCGCGCTTGCTTGTTTGTGCGTGGCGAAACCCTACGTATGTCCCACGACAATCTTGCATTGTCTTCTCGGATGTCCCGCATCTCATTCCGAGAAAGTTCTACGCTCACCTTTCTTCGTTCGGTTCAACTGGGAGATATGTCATCGACATTGAAGTTTCTGAACTGGGGAGAACAACACGAGTTCTAGATAGGCCGCTTCGAACGAAACTAGATATCAGGACGCAATGAGATCTCGATCGATGGCGCCTTTGTTTGGTTTGTCAACGAAACGTCAGCTAACAAGCTATGTGATTGGAGCCACATCGAAGTCGGATGTTGGGCTATTGAGCAGCGACGTCCACTGGGCGTCAGTGGGATGTTCCGCCAAAGGACTGCCTGACAGATGACTGGTGTCTTTGGACAATCGTCACAAGTCTTCCGACATCAGTTTTCCCACCCGCTCGACGGGCTCGCGGGAAGGAGCTAGAGCGCTTCTGTTGCATGTAGCTAGTCTACATGTAGTCTACTGGCTAGTTCTGAGCTAACGGACTGGCTTCTAGGTTCGAGGCACATTAGTACTAGCCGCAATGCAAGGGCAAACAACGAGTAACCTGGCTGCTCCAAGGCAATCTCTATACTGGTTCTTTACGGAAGTGATCTATCGTGTGTTTTTCCTGCAAAAAAGCAATCCCAACGATGGCGGTGCGTTTGCGCTTCAAATTTGGCTGGGGCCGCCCCACGAGACTTGGTAATGGCGCGCTCCTTGCGAGCTTGGCTTCACACCAAGATGAACAGTACTATTCTCGGACAAGGCGGCGTCGACAGTGTCTCCCCAAGGGATAGATTTGATGGGGGCAAAGATCTGGATCCTGGATCCAGAAGGTCATCTCCTTCCAGGGGCGGTACCGGTACCGAATGGTATGTTTCTTACCAGCCACGTTGATCATCTCCATTCCAAAATCGCTTCGTTGGCTGACTTTCCATCGCGTTGCTTCCACGGTAGCATGCTATAGCCTGCGACTGTCGCTGCCTGCCAGTATTGTTGAAGCAAGAATAGTAGGCTGCCATGACGTTTCCTACCGAAAGAGCTCCGAAAGCAAGTTGCCACATAGGGCTGAGGCTCGAGGAATACTGTACAACGAGACCGCCCTATTGCATATTGGGTTGAGGCCGCTGACAACGAAGGCTGTTGGGCTACGTCCTACGAACACAAGAGACAAACATCCCAAGGATTCCCAAGATATCAAGATACCAGCAAGAGATCGAGCAATAATGGTTGAATGATTGACATGACGTCCCAAGAACTTAGATTCATAAGCCAGCTGCTTGCTCGTGAAGGGTTCAATCCGCCATTCCATTGAAGTGGCCGACGTATTTCCTACGTATTCCAGCCAAACGAAAGAACACGAAAGGTGTACGTTCCTTGCCTTTCCTGGGTGCCCTTAGCGTCAAAGTCGCCCTACCAGACTTAACAGCGCAATTCCTCATCCCGAATTTCGTCACACCTACCGAAATGTTCAAATAACTTTTAAATCACCATTGCGTCATCGCCTCCTCGGGTGGGAAGGGGAAAGCCTTTGAAGTTGAAGCACGACCCGGGCCCACTTTGATCGCTGTGTAATCACATGTGTACCGAATTACAACACCCTGACGTGTCATCGACCAGAGAGCCAATCAAAGCTTAGAATCCAACCACGCATGCAATAGATGACGATATCAGCTTTGCAGGCAAGCAATCGCTGACATCATGGTGATGGTATTTGGGGTTTGCGCGCGCTCTCTCGCTAAGGCACACGTACATTTAATACGTGTAAATCGAATGAGCCCTGGATGCAACCTCACTGGTTCGCCCGTTCACAGGCGAGCAATCGAATGCAAACCTCACGTGTTGCTGGCCACATCCTTTCTTCGTTTCCTTCTTCTTCTTCTGCTTGCTGCATGGGCTTGCTACTGTACGATGCAGCACTCGGCCACTTCCAAACCCTGGCTTCTCTCCGTTGTTGAGATCATGAGACTTTGACCTACCTTCCTCATCTCACAATTTTGACTTCGAGCAACTTCCAACCAGAAGAAGCCCGACAGCCTACTTCCTTCCTTCTCTCGCCCTCTCCAAGTTTTCAACTTCGCTCCTTTCACCATGTCTGATTTCGAGATTACCAAAGACGACCTCAACCGTCCTGGCTTGCCTGCCAACGAGTCCCTTGTCGAGGGTGCCGGAAAGGTGAGAAAATAGCTACCTTGACATCCAAATCCAGGTTGTCTCGTTAGCGGACAACCGTCTGACTTGCTTGTCAAAATCGGATTCATTCTCACAAAAAATCTTTTTGCCATGATACTCGCAGGTTAAACTTGATGAGCCCCAGAGCTGGGGACGCGGTATCATCAATGATCTCCGTCGCACCGTTGGAACTCACTGGTTCCAAGAGATGACCAACTTTAACCAGAAGACTGTCGCTGTCTCCTGTTTGATCTTCATCTCTGTCATCCCTCCTACCTTGGCTTTCGGAGCCAGTTACGGAAAGATGAGTGGTCAGCGTGTTGGAGCCATTGAAACCATCCTTGCCACCTCCTGGGTTGGTGTTGCCTACTCCCTCATTGGTGGTATGCCAATGTGTGTTATTGGATCTACTGGTCCTGCCTTGGCTCTTTCCACTGCTGTCAAGAACATTGCTGAAGGTGCTGGTATGGACTACCTTCCCTTCAATGGATGGGTCAGCATCTGGTTGTTGGGATACTGCTTCACCGCCGCCTTCTTCGATTTGACCCGCTATGTCAAGCTTGCCACCCGCTTTACCGATGAAATCTTTGCCCTCCTCATTGTGGCTATCTTCGTCATGGATGCCGTTGGTGATCCGTTCAGCCCCTCTGGTATCCTCCGATACTTCCAAGAAGACCACAGATCTCATACTACCACTGAGAACGAAGAAAATCCGGACTACGAATACTTGACTGTTGCTCTTCTCAGTACCATCCTCGGTTTCGGAACCACCTGGTTGATCTTCTTCTTCCGTGGCTTCAAGTTCTCCCCATTCTTCTGCAATGATGGTGTCCGTACCTCCATCTCTGATTTCTCTGTCACCATGTCCGTCCTTACCTGGACTCTTGTCAAGGAACTTCTCTTTGCTGATGTACCGACTGAGGGTCTTGCTGTGCCTGATCAGTTCGAACCTTCCTTCAAGTGCTGTACCGAGGCTTGCGACACCTACTGGCCTGATGAATGTATGGATCAACCTGAGGCATATGGAACTCGTTCATGGTTTGTCCCCCTCTTTGACGTTCCAGGATGGGCCCCATTCGCCGCTGCTGGACCTGCTGTCATGGCCTTCCTTCTTTGCTACCTTGATAACGGTATCACTTGGCACTTGATCAACCACAAGCACCACAGATTGACTCACGGAGAAGCATACAACTACGATCTTATGTTGAATGGTTGCTTCAACTGTGTCAATGGTTTGATGGGACTTCCTTGGTTGGTTGCCACTACCGTTCCATGCATCATCCACTTGAACTCTCTTGCTGACAAGGATGCTCAAGGAAACTTCCTCAGTGTACAGGAGACTCGTTTGACCCTGTTCTTCTCCCATGCCCTTCTTGGTTTGACAATGCTTTTCTTGGGTCTCCTCAAGCTTCTTCCTCTTCCTGTCCTTTACGGAGTCTTCCTCTTCATGGGTCTCTCCTCTCTTCCTGGAATCCAGTTCTGGAACCGATTCCTCCTCTTCTTCCAGCAACCCAGCCGATACCCCGAGTCTGTCTTTGTCAAGTACATGGAGAAGAACCGCATCCACAAGTACACTGTTATCCAAATCTGCTTCTTCTGCGGTGTCTTTGTTGTGATGAACATCAAGGCCATCTCTATTGCCTTCCCCTTCATGACCTTCCTCTGTATCCCATCTCGTCTCTTTTTCCTCCCAAAGTTCTTCTCTGGATGGGAATTGGCTTTGTTGGATGGTGAAGAAGATCAAATCAACGAGTGGATCCAGGCCAAGGCTGACTCTATCCGTGGCTTCAAAATGTCCTTTGTTGACATTGAGGATGATTCCGATGATGACGACAAGTCTGCTGCCTACACTCCCAATATCATTGCTGGTGACATGCAACCCATGCCCGTCGTCAACAAGGCTGAAATCAGCGATGACCTTTCGGTCTAAGCAAAAGATAGCCTTGGCATACGCTGACGAGCTTGACTCGTGGATACCACATCCGGGCATGTCGCTCGATTGGTTTGCCAAAGCAATTCACAGTAGAATCAATGTTGCATTTTTGAGGGTCGTCTTCGACTTGAACCCAAAAGATGATTCGAGATACCAAGTCTGTACACATCAACCACACATCACAACACCTGAACATACAAAAGCTAGAACGGAGGCGCCATTGAATAGCTCCATAGTGCCCCTTAAAAACTATAACTGCACCACACATCAAAATTTGCTCTTTCCTCACTATCGAAGTAGGGCAGTTACTTGTAGCAATGCGATTGTCTGTCTACACTCGGACCTGTAGTAGCCACTCCAACCAAGCAAGTCGACTATCTACATTGTGACGCCCGTCATGGTACGTTCTCCAAGAATAGATCACGTAACGTGCACAGAACCAACGTCATCCCCTCGTCCGCCGGAATGATTGTACGAGCAAGCTCGAAGTTTTCAGGAATCTGCTCGAATACGACTCTTCGATCCGTCAAGAGCATCCGGGACACACAGCAGTGAATTCTTATTGGTACTGGTAGGCTCTTTGGACCAGGAGACGGCTTGGTTGAGCGGAATTGACTCGAAGAAACTAGGACAACAACAAAGTTTCGACCCAAACCTTGGTAGCGGACGACATGCATGCAGCTACAGACGACATGCATGCAGCTACAACAGCAGCATCGAACTTCCTTTCACGAACTCCCTCATCCAAGAGCAAGCGGGAGCTGGGAGAGGAAGTCATTGAACCTGACTCTCACTTCAGTCGAGCTCCGTGACGCGAACGCTAGCACGGGGCACGGGGATTGAGAGCGTTGATTTCCCATGCAATGAACCGATTCAGTGTTGTAGTGCGATCATGAAGCAAAACCAGTGGCACTGATTTATTGGTGCAAGTTAGCGTAACGCACCAAGTTGCAACTAACTGCTTCTCGGTGCTGCAGTTGATAGAGACCTGTTTGTTGGGAGATGGTTGGCAACACTATCTTGTCAACTTAAGTCAAAGGGAACGTAAGTTATCGTTCCGAGGGTAGGGAGCCGAAGAAAGGAGTGGCTCGAGCTGCAAAAGGGATCTGTTCTCTTGGTTGCTGGGCATTGCTTGGATCTGAGAGTTGAGTCATATTGCCAACGGCCAACATGTACGAGGAGCACCGGCAAGGTGTCATCGTCGTGCATGTCTTGAAGAGGACGAACAAACCAACCCCAACGATCCAAGAGCAAGCACTGGCTGAGATATCAGAGGAACCTTAATTGCTTACCCCCCACGTGCCTCTCGAGGACAAACCAAAGGAAGAGGTACTCAGCATGATCAGTTGGCAAAACCTCAATTGGCTCCTTGGACGCTGGTCGACCAAAAGGATCTCAGTGCATATCAATCCAGCGAACGAAAGTACATTAGGAGCAAGGCAACGCGATGGATCTGAGTCAAGTCGAAGCGAGCCACCCGCCAAGCAGAAGTAACCGCTTCAACTTGTAGGTTAGGAGCAAGGCAACGCGATGTATCTGAGTCGAGTCGAAGCGAGCCACCCGCCAAGCAGAAGTAACCGCTTCAAGAGTCGAGAGAGAAGAAGTGTGAGGCTTTTAAACTATCTAAGAGTGATCAAGATCTCGATGCCACAACCAGCTTGGGACAAAGGGACCAAGCAAGTGAGTGGCTCGAGGACGAACCTACCCATCGGCGTCTTCTTTGTCGGCATCTGATTCGGCATCTTCATCATTGGCATGCACGTGTTTCCGGCGAGACAGATGATTGAATCATTCACAGCAGGACACGATTCGAGCTTCTTGGAGCAGGACGTTTGGCCTTGAGCTTTCTTCGGCGACCGCCGGCCTTGGAGCTTGACCAGTGGAGTAGTATTGCTTTGTGAAGCTGCGCTGAGGCTGATGCTTTCATTGGATCTCTTGGGTAGCGAATGCTCAAGATATATGCAGGTGTAGAACTGGCTGATGGAGTCCCTATCCGAAAGAGACATGAAGAGCCCCACCCGCCAAACCGACTTCAACTTGCAGGTCAAGAGAGAGAGAGAGAAGAAGTGTGAGGCTATTAAGCTACATTATCTAAGAGCGATCAGGAGATCGACGCCACAACCAACTTGAGACAAAGGGTGCAGAGGCAACCAAGAAAGTGATGACTCGAGGACGAACCAACCCTAGACGCCACACCAGCCTGGGACAGTCAGCCACCGCGCGGAGAGAAGGAACCAGCCATCGATCAACCAACAATGATACCGCATCATGCTACGACCCCCCACACGGAAGAACAGCAAAGCCAACGTAGCCGACGGCGACCCTCCAATCCAACAGTCATTGAACGACCAACGGAAGCACCATTGAGCATCCCAAAGGAAGAGAAAAGGAAACGGCAGCAAACCAACGACCATCCATCATTGGGAACTAAAGAGGATGAGGCTGCAACGATCGGTCGATGACCGTGAAAGTAGCAATGGCACAAAAGACAGGAACAAGTGGACTTACCTTGCACGAGGACGAACCACCCCACAAAGGAACCACCATTGTCAACATGGAGCAGACGTCCTACGTTGGGAACTAAAGAGGATGAGGCGGCAACGGTCGAAGACCGTGAAAGTTGCAATGGCACAAAAAGACAGGAACACATCGACTTACGTTTGCACGAGGACGAACCAACCCACAACAAGAACCACCGCAAGATGACTCTGGATCCGTTCAACCACACAGCGGTCCGCGCGAGGGTTCATCAAAGAAGAACATCTCGAGGCACGTGAACGTGGGACTCTCAATACCATCATTGTCATCGTCATGCGCCCACCCCAACTGGAACCACCGCAAGATGACTCTGGATCCGTTCAACCACACAGCGGTCCGCCGAGGGTTCATCAAAGAAGAACATCTCGAGGTACGTGAACGTGGGACTCTCAATACCGTCATTGTCATCGTCATGCGCCCACCCCAACAGGAACCACCGCAAGATGACTCTGGATCCGTTCAACCACACAGCGGTCCGCCGAGGGTCCATCCGTAGATGCACATCTCGAGGTACGTGAACGTGGGACTCTCAATACCATCATTGTCATCGTCATGCAATTGGAAGAAGAAGCGAGTTGTGTTGTGTTGCTGGGCGAGAAAAAGAGCTTTGCTTTAGGCAAACGAACGACGTTTCACGCATTCAAAGCACGGCGTTTCGTTTCAGCGACGACTTTTTGGCAAGACCAACATCAAAATCGAAAGAGGCGTCAACATCAAAACATCAAAAATAAATCAAAATGGAGTCGTCATGAATTGTCGTTTTATTTCAAACTGAAACGACCGTCGGCAAATGTACGACTGGTGCTTGTCGGAGGCTGCTTCCAAGCTCTCTTCCATGGTACACTAGATATCCGAGTGCTTTCCAATTGAAATCATAGCAGACGCTTCGTGTCATGCCGCTCCCAACGTGGAAGATCGTCAAAGACTCGAAGAAAGAAGTCATTGAACGGAGGAAGACTCTTCATCGGTTCGCTGCCGCTGTTTCCAGCCAATCCAAACAAGAGGAGCCTGTGATGGTGGTGGAGTATGTAATGGTAGTACATGTAGCCATGAAAGAGGCCTAGCCGCTGTAAAGAGGAGAGGTATCACCGTCATCTTGATCTTGATAGAGTACCGTAAGCGTAAAGGTGTCGAAAAAGGCACAAGGAACATGGAACATGAGCGGACCCAGAATTCCGAACACCTGAGTTGAGCATCCCTTAAACCTTTTTTCGGTACATGTTAAACATCCTAAATCTTTTCCGCTCGGAAAACATTGTTTATTGAACCAATTCACCGGCTTAATTAATGCTTGATTCGATTGAGATTCGATTCGATTCGATTCATCATTCCTTTCGGTACGATGTAGTACTGGTAGTATGCAACACAGAAATCCAACACAAGCTTTCAGATCACCGGTGCCTGCACCTTCTGCGAGAAGATGCTCCGCATACTCACAAAGGAACTGCACTCACGAGTTGGATTCTCCCGTCTTCGTTGTTGGGCTGGTACGAACATAATGAAGCGCTCCTCTTTATTAATTTTGTAGAGCCAAAGCAATACATGCGTGATGGTGAAGACCTCCTCGTTCTTGTACCTTCTCCAATCTATCTTTGCCGTACCGTACGGTAGCCCCTAGGTAGCTACTAGTGCCATTGCCATGGAGCAGTGAAGTCGCGCTCATGCAGCCATCATTGCTGAGATGACATCATGTCCTTTTGTTTTTGCGGCGCCGACCCAGCTCCTTCAGGACTTTGCAGCTGCGAGCAATTGACACTGTTGGAGCGATGGATGGCAACTGAAGGTCCCGTGAGTGAACGTGAGCGACGTTGACAAGAAACACCGAAAGCCATCGGTCTATCTTGGCCATTGTGCGCACTATCATCATAGCTAGCTCGAGCCACTTGCTTTCTTCGCCAACAGTTCGACTTGCAGGATCTGATTCCCTTGCGAGGGCGTCCCGTACGCTACACCTTGCGCACGTCTGCTGTTGAGGCCATGCGGCCGGGAAGAACTATCTAACGGATACTGTAATGAGAAAGCAACGATTGCATGGTGGGGGCCAGATGCAATACTGTATCGCTGTCATGTCATGTCATGAGAAACATCCACTACGTTGCTACCGGTACGGTACGATCGATAGCTAGATTTATGTCTGGCGTGTCGCGCCATGGCAGTGACCTCCAAGTGGTTCGATCGAGGAGCGAGGAGAAAGAGGACTACGAGTAAGTGTGTTGGAAAGTGCACAGATCGTTCTCGATCATCATCATTGAATCTATCTATAGAATATCTTCTACACGGTAACAAACAAACAAACGTGGCAGTTGGATGTGGACGTGGGTGAAGTTCTGTTGTTGTTGCCATGTCCACGAAGCCGGGCGTATTGCTTGCCGTCGTCCTTTTGCTGTTGTTTGTTCCATCCATCGGATGAGTGTATTGCTGTGTTGTGTTGCTTGCCCACAGTAGCTACCGTATGCCGTTCGGTTTCCAATGACTCATCCTCCAATCTTTCTTAGCACTCGACAAAGACGGTTCCATCGTCGTCCTTGTAGGTGGTCCACGTATTGTTGTTTTTCTGATGGTCCGATCGCGTTCCAAACGTCTGTTCAAAGAGATCGACAGTGTCGCCGCCATTCTTTTCTTTGACGTAAAACTCCAATGGCTGAAAGTAATCCTCCATGGGTTCGGGCATGTTGATTTGCACGCCGGTCAAAATGGTCAGAGTCGATTCCGGACCTCCAAAATCGAGACTGACAATCTTATCCAGCATTTCCGTAGCGACTTTGTGCATGTGATGGGCCAATCGTGCCTGGACGGCATTATCGGTCGTCTCCGCCAAAATTTCGTGTTTGCATTGATGCACTTTGTGAATAATATAGGACATTTGATAATCGTCTTGGGCGGTGGTCAAATCGGGCAATGGTTTGCAGGCTTTGCAATAACCCAATGCGCCAATGGCCGCTCCACAAGCCGCTCCGGCCGACGCTTGTCCTTCTCGATCGTACATGCCAAAGTTGCATCCACTGTCCAATCCAATATGAGGCGCCAAGAGAATGAAACAATGACCTCCTTCTGGGACATGGTGCGAGTAGGCACCAAAGCCGGTCTTGCCCGTAAAGGGAATGCCACCCAAACCACCCAAGTGAAACACTTCACCCAGATACTCCGTAAACAAGTTGGTAATGTCGCCTGTAGTAAACAAACCATGATAGAAGAAACAGGAGTACCATTGAGTGAGAGACGTCTCAAGCAGCTTGTCAATGACTATCCATGTATGTATGTAGTATCAAGACTTACCAGGCTCATGATTGATTTCATCGGGACAGACACTCTGGGCATAGAGCGTATTCTCGGGTGTCAAACCACGGGCTTCAATCGTCACCGACACCTTGTCCAAAATGCCTTGACTGGGAAGAGCGCCAGGAAAATGTTTTTCCACCTTGGTCTCGATATCACCGAGTAATTCCGTCGTGTCCAATCCGGCCAATGACATTGTTTGCAACGACGATCGACGGTGAGGACCGCCTGGTGCCTTGACGGGTGCCGGTGCCTGAGCACCATTGATAGTACATGTAGGGTTGCTGTCCACAATGCACATGGTGATGATAGAATATTTGATAGCTAGATAGATGTAAGAGAAGGAGGGGTCTTTCTTTCTTTCTTTCTTTCTTTCTTTCACTTGGAGGGAGAGAAAAAGTTGTGTGAGGGACAGCCCAGCATCGTATTCGTCCCAATTGAAGAAAACCGGTACTGTACTCAGACGTCTTACGTGGGGTAGCTTACGTCATCAAAGAAACGTGGTCGAACAGCTGATCAAGCGACGTGGTCGGTGTGCTGGCTGTTGGAATCGAGTCGAATTAATCGAATCTTAATCGAAACTGCGATACTGCATCGTCTCTATTTATGCTGAGGGGATGAACAAAGGGAGGATTTACTGCGGGTTGGGAGGATTTATAAGATTGTTTTGAGAGGATTTATTAAAGAAGTCTGCTCAATTCTGCCCTCTCAAAACAGCTCTCAACAATATTTACCTCATCTAGGACGGGATTGTGCCGCTGGGGAGGGGGAACTTCAGCTACAGAGATGTCCGTCCCCTCTGCATTCAGTGCTCTCCTTCATGGACACGGGGAGAGTGCGGTATATGTAGCTATTCTCGTCTCTTTTTCTCTATTAATAACGAGGATAGCTTCAAACCTTTGAGATGCTATTACATGTATGAAGAAGCAACTTACACCCTTGGGTCAAGGTTTGCTTCCTTCGTGGTCGGATTGCACTTTGCTGTCTTTGCTTGCAGCTAGTGATCTCAATTGTGCTGTCCCGTTCTTTCCTACTACCAGCTAATACCGTAGTGGGGTCTATAGTAGAGAGGTTTTCTTTGGAATATTTATTGCTTGCTTGCTTGGGACGCATTCATAGCTACAGGACAACCTCCCTAATCCAAAACCCCTTGTCTCATTCATGCAGGACAAGCCTTTTGACCCCTTCACAAAGTCGGTCGAGCTGCAAACAGGGCAAGAACACAAGACAAGACAACCAAGCTGCCTGCTTTCTTTTGGAAACAGCAACTTTCCTTCTTTGCTGCAAGTTGTGGAAGATTAGTCATACTTGGGTCTGCAGGCATGCACAATGTACGATGTACATATTTGTGTTGCCTGCAGAAAACTTTTTCTTCAAGCACGGTGCGGCACTATATTATGTAATAGATCAAAAGTCATAGAGTGGAAACCGCGTTGCCTCGGTGTTGTGGTTGCTGCTGCTGCTCGCCAACGTTCCCAAATCCATGAGTAGCAACGCCAACCCACCCGCACCGACATGGACGGAATACGGTTGATCGGGAACATGGTGAAGCTCATCCCAGTGTTCAATGCCAAAGGCGGCAAAGTAGCAAGCTCGTCGTCTCCAATCGTCTGCTTCTGCTGTTCTTGATGCATGTTGCAGTACTGCCAAGAAGCAATAGGCATTGCCCGAGATTCCGTGACACAGTCCGACTCCTTTGCGGAGCAGTCCCCGGGGCCAAATCACCGTATTGGCGAGCGTTTGGGCTTGTTCCAAATAGTTCGTTCCACCAAAGACTTGATGGGCCTTGGCCAACAATAGCACGTGTCCCGGTGCCCCATGACACCAATGAACCAACTTGTCGTGTGTACTGCCAATACTGCTTCGCAAATTGCCCGATTCCGGCCAACAGAGGGAATTCAAGGCGTGGATGGTTTGTGGAATCAAATTATTATTGGTCGCATGCGGCAGTTGTTGTCGTTCGGAGGGTGTGAGACACAACAAGGTGTGTAGTATTCCCACCACGCCATGGGCTGCCCCCAGATAGTGGGATTCGTGCCATTCCCAAAGAAGTGGCAACTGGTTGTGTTTGGCAGCCGTTTGGATTCCTTCTTGGACAATGGCTTGTGCCAGTGCGACCACGACCGAGGATCCCAATTGTGTGTCATGGAGTTGTTGTCGTAAAAACAAAATGGCTTGAATGGCTCCCGCTCGTCCGTACAAGACTTCACATTCGCGAGAGTGCATGGTTGCAGTGTGTGTTTGGAGAAATCCAATCAATTCGTTGGCATGTTGCTGGGCAGACGCCGCGTCTCCCAAGGCTTGATGGAGGGCTGCCAAGAGCGCTTTGGCTCCTACATAGGGACCTGTCAACAAGGTGACTCGTTGCTGTGGTTTTTGGGTTTCCGTCTCTTGAACAACCTGTTGGGCCAATGTTAGTGCGGTTTGAAGTAAGGACGCAATTTCCTTTTGGTCGTCCAGTGATGGCGACTGCTGTTGTTTTTGGAGATGTTGCGCCATGAGGAGTCGCAGATAGACACGTGGACCCAGAGCTCCTTTGTACAGAGATCCCAGTTGTGATGACAACGACGATGACTTGGAGGAGGATCTTCTTTTATTCGTACTGTTGTCCTCGTAAAAGTCCAAGCAAATCTGAAAGTACCGACGGGCAAGAGCCGTGCAAGCTTTTCCATTCTCAAAGAGTTCTTCCTGGCGTTTCTCGGTGGAGGAGGACTTGCCACTGCTGCTAGCCTTGTCAATGGCCTTGTTGCGAAAGTAGCGATCAGATGGCATGGCTATAGCTATGCGAACAGAAACAAGGAGACAGAGACAACAGACAACTGGACATATGTATCGTATATGAAAGCACTTGGTGTACAGTATACGGACTGACACTGTGATGGGTCGGGAAAGTTACTATGGATTACACCGTAGAGAGAGCTAAGATGAAGATGGGGACAGAGCTCGAGGGGTTTTGCATCGTCGTTCCGCTTCGAGGATGGAACCATAATAATAATACACAAACATGTATGTTTCTTCGTTTAAGCCTGCAGAACCGCTAAGATGGTCACCTCTATCGTCACTCATTACCGTACCGGTACCGTGACCTGTTAGGAATGCAGCCATCGAATGGCCACAAAATCGAGATCCCCTTCTACGATCGATCTGTCAGATCTGGTCCCTCTCGTTGTTTCACTACTACTAGCTCCTAGAGTATCTCATTGTTGATCATGTCTTCTGATAGTGTTGCTACTGGCTCTGGTACTGGCACTAGTGATGCTGCTGCCACTGCTGCTGTTGCCGCCGCCGAGGCTGCCACTGCCAATTGCAGTGCTAATCCTACTGCCAATTCTCTTCTGCTGGCTGGCAATGATATTTGGATCGAACTCATTCTGCCGTCTGTTGGTATTGGACAGTACACTTTTGTAGGAGCTGTCAACAAAAAGATGAATCAACTGTACAAAGAGTACTGTGAAATTGAACTCAAGAAAAATCCAACAAGGGTTATCGTTGACGGTGGATGGTTTCCTCCTACTAGTCGCGCTGCAGAAATCACCGACACTTTTTACGGCGAAACATTCTGCAATCAGCCACGCACAGAATACTGGTTCAGGGACAATTCCGACCATAAGAAACCTCGTCATCGTCAGGTTTGCCAAAAAATTGCCAAAGTTGGAAATATTATGGTCATGCAGTGGGCACTCCAACAGGGATTCCCTTGGGAGAAAAGGACATGTGCTGCAGCGGCTCAAATGGTCATTTGGAATTGCTCCAATGGTTAAGACAGAACGATTGTCCATGGAATTTGTGGACATGCCGTGATGCTGCTAAAAATGGACATTTGGAACTTTTGAAGTGGGCTCGTGAAAATGGCTGTCCGTGGGATTGGCAGACATGCTCGGGTGCTGCCTCAAATGGCCATTTGGAAATGTTCCAATGGTTAAGAGAGAATGGTTGTCCATGGATTGCAGGGACATGTGCGAGTGCTGCTAAAGGTGGCCATTTGGAAATCTTGAAGTGGGCTCATGAAAATGGGTGTCCATGGAATGCTAGCACATGCACAGGTGCTGCACAAAATGGCCATTTTGATTTGCTCAAGTGGGCTCGTGAAAACGGCTGTCCATGGAATGCAGATACATGCACCTTTGCTGCCAGAAATGGACATTTTGAATTTTTAAAGTGGGCTCGTGCAAATGGGTGTCCATGGAATGAATATACCTGCTCAAGTGCCGCCGCAGGTGGCCATTTGGAAATCTTGAAGTGGGCTCGTGCAAACGGCTGTCCATGGAATGCAGATACATGCTCAAGTGCTGCAGAAAATGGCCATTTTGATTTGCTCAAGTGGGCTCGTGAAAACGGCTGTCCATGGAATGCAGATACATGCACCTTTGCTGCCAGAAATGGACATTTTGAAGTTTTAAAGTGGGCTCGTGAAAATGGGTGTCCATGGAACGGTTGGACATTTCGAGCCGCACGCCATATCAACGACGACACGGAAGAAATGGTCCAGTGGCTGCGTGACAATGGCTGCCCTGAGGCATGAGTTTGGGGATATTGGTGATCATTATTTATTTAAACAGAAGAATAGCAATAATGCATTTCGTTTATCGTAGCGACTATTAGTATTATGGGGGTTGGCTTGGTAGATATGACTAGACTATACTGGTATGGTTGAATAGAGTCGAGGTCAGGGGCAACAAATACTTTTAGTGGAGTCCGTCAGAAGAAGATGAAAAAGTTCAATGCACCGTGGAGCAAAGCAAAATGGTTCTCCTTTCATGCTTTGGCAGCCACTAGCTAGCTAGTTGCTAGCTAGAGCTCTTCTAGCTGGCTACTGAGAATACAGAAGACTGCAGTGACGGGAGTCCAGTCTAATAAACCCCTGGTTTACATGAGTGGACTTGTGCCCCGTCGAGTTTTGGTCAGAAGTGAGTGAGTTTCCTCCGTGTTACCCACGTCGATCGAGGAAGTCTTTGCATGTGAGGGCAAGATTCGTTGAATTCGTGATTGTTTGGTAGTGGGATTGAGCCAGTCCATCCAATCCTGATTACGCTGAGCATACGGTAAGATACCCAGCACCCCCTTGCTATCATGGGTAGCATTTTGTATTCCGTTTGCTTTTGGATCTGTTCCATTCGCTCATAAAAACAAGCAAAGACAACTACCCAGCACAAGTCAACCCAACGAATAGATAATTATTAAAACAAAGTAGTCAAAGTATCACAATGGACAAGAGATTTCGCAATCTGATCTTGGCGCAAGTAGAGGCGGTGGTATACGACAAGCCACCGTCGCGTCAATCTCTGTACGAACTGCTCAAGATTGCTACCCCCGATTTGAAATTGCACATGGTGGACAATACGAGTCAACGGCAGTCGGCATATAAGGCGCTGAAAGTCTTGATTCATCCCGACAAGCACGCCAAAGCGTTGAAGAATGACAAGAAGGAATTACAGCGCGTCACGAAAATCTTTCAAGAAACATCGGCTTATTACAATGTCTGTTGTTCCCGCTTGGCACTGGAATCCCCCAGTATGGGCGACAACAATTCCTTTGGAGAAACCGAAACGCCCACGAAAAAACGCGAGTCGCGGCATACCAAAGGAAGCAAGAGTAGTAAGAGTCCCATGCGCCGCACCCACTCGGGCTTTGATCAAGACAATATTTCCAACAAGCGCGATTTTCGACCTCCTTCGATTATTAGCGTCAGTGGCAGTGGTCGATTGCCCGTCGAATTTGATTCGTATGAAGAATGGCCCTATTTGACAGACATGGTCAAAGTCAAGGATATGGAATCGGTCTCGGTCAACGAATTGGCATGGATCATGGCCTGTCGTGTGATTAACCTAAGAGGTGGTGTCATTCACGGACAAGCCATTGGACGGGCCTATCAAGTCACCAAAAAGAGTTCCGATTTGGAAAAGTGTGATAGTGTCGACGCTGTCTTGAGACATTTTGGATTTGTCTGTCGTTCCAAACTCTCGCGAGTTCAAGATATCAAGTACGAAATTATGGAACACGGACCCGTCATTTCCACATCGTTTGAATTGCACAAGGCATTTTATCAGTCCAGCGATGCGAGCTCCAATTTCAGTCCCAATCAAGTCTCTCGCATTCATCCATTGCTCCTTGTGGGATGGACCATGACCAGTCAAGGAGAATTGTGGAAAGTACAAGCACTGCAGAGTGGAGAAACCTTTGAAATTGGGACCGGACAATTCAATGTTTCCGCTTCGGTACTAGCACCCCCCGATGCCATTTTGGAAACCATTCCGTGGCAATCCAGTGGTCCGTATTTGGACTTGAACATGCCTTCTGTTGTTGGATTGAGCAAAGATTGGAGAGATTTGCGACACATGAGTATCAGTATCAGTGCCAAGGAACTAGAGACATTTTCCAAAATGCTCGAAGGAGGATTCCAAGCCGCCATTAAAAGCAAACAATCCTTTGTCATTCGCGACAAGCACAAGTTGGCATACAGTCGGCGATACACCTTGCGAGAAATTGCTACAGGCGACAGTGGCAAGTGGAAAATTTCCGTCAGTCAAGCCGAGAGTTAGTTAGTGAACCGGATCGAATCGAAAGCGTCTTGCCCCGATGGTTGTTGGGACGTTCGTTCTCGCAAGAGGTCGTTCACCACGCTCTTTTTGGTATGTATGCATGCATTCATTCACTCCTTTTTAAAATAAGTTTAGTTGAGAAAATTGTGTTATTAAACGTTTACTGTTGATATCTACTTTTTTGTGTCTACTCTGAATCGTTCTAAAGGTTGCCTTGGCTGACCTCGTTCTAGAGGTTACCTTGACTGACCCAAGGGCGTGCTGATGATGTGAAGGACCAGCCATGAAGGGCTGCTGTGTCTACGTTTGTTTGCTTCTTTGATTACCCACCGGTACCGGTAGGTTCAGTCGGACTGAGACGAGTCGGTCCATGTACTGCTGGTACGGGTATGTTTGATCATCATGGTGAAAGGAGAAACCGAGCTTTCATCCGACGTGGTACTGCAATCTTCGGCTGCTTCTAGAGCAGCGGAACCCATAATGTCCATCTTTTTGTCTTGCTGTTCTTGCAGTGCTGCCTTGGCGAGACTTTCGAGATGCAAGTTGTACAAGAGTCTCTCCTTTTTCAACTTTTGCTGTTGTTCCAAGGTTTTCTTGGCATAGATGCGACCCATTTCTTCGTGCGAGATGCGCAGCGTCTCGAGACGTTCTTGGGCGGCCGCCACCAAATGCAGTTTGGCGCGACGTTTGGTACGTGCCATCTGGCGGGCATCTTCGTAGTCTTGACGGGCCTTGGCCATGGCTTGTCGGAACTGCTTCAGTGCCACCTTTTCTTCTTCGGAACGATGACTCTTGATTTCGCGTTGCACGTCTTGGACGCCCTGAAGTCCAGTCTCAATGCGCAACAACTTCTCCACGTTCTGCTTGGCTTTCGTGTGCGTTTCGGTCGCTTCCTGTTCGGCAAACAGAATCCGCGTAGCGGACCGGAGCACTTGATCGTGGAGTTGGGCCACTTCTTCGGAGAGCTCAGGTTTCTTGGTAATCTCGGCAGCCGTGTGATGCCAAGGGTTGTTCGGATCTTCCACGTCCACATCCACGGCCGCCAAGGCACACGAGAGAGCCGCGTGGATTTCTGACGATTCATGCATAACCGCAAACTGCTCGATCATGGAAAGAGGGTCCATGTTCGTCTCGGTGGCCAGGAGAAGAGCGTCCAATTCAGGATCCTCTTCAGTGAAATCAAGGTCGTCATCCAAGGTGGGGTCTTTCATCAGAGTAGACTTCTCGGTGGAAGGGTCCATGGTTGGTTCGTTCATCATCGTGAGTGCATCCATTATTGCAGCAGGGTGAGTAATAATGAGATTAAGTAAGAAAGTTAGTTCTTTTGCGTTCAAAATTCAAATTGTGAGACCTTCCAGGAAAGATATCAATCGTGCATGTCCACGCACTTGTGGCGTCAGCACATTTTCCCAAGACTTATAAGTGACTTTCAAAATCTGAAGGGACTACTAAATCTTGTAAACTGGATCCAATGTAGCTGGGCGAGCTTGCATTGCTCTCCATTTCAATGCCACGGACGATCGACCAGCGCGGTGAAGGAGATCGGTGATTGTCATCGGAATGTTTGGCCCAGCCAATCGTTAGTCCTACCGGTATCTAGATATCTAGGCTAGCTAGAAGAGTTAGTAAACAAAAAAAGTCCAGGAAATGGCCACGCAATGGTCCTGGACTTTGGCTAGCTTGAAGTCCTGCGTGGCATTCTGGACTCGACTCGACTTGCTTCTTGATCCTTGCGTTAAACACACTTTCTAGCTACATCTTTTTGGGCCTGGTCTAGCTAATACGATAGATGGCACTGGGCCGGGAAGCTTCCAAGCCCCATGTCAGTGATTCGATTGATTCCCATCTGCGCTGTGTCACTGATTCGACCGGCAATGATTCTTCCTGGCTGGGTCTAGAAACACTGCAGGCTGCTGGTTCACGTCATGATAACTGGTACCATCATCATACTTACTGTCTGGGTCCACAAGATTCACGGCCAATGCAAGCACGTGCCTCTTTTCGGTCCAGTAGACTACATGTATCTACTAGCTAGACGTGATGTGTCTTGTGGATCTCGCTAGCAACTAGTAAGTGTGCCTCCAATGTTGCTTTGCAAGCTGGTCCATGGAGAGTCTCCGACTGAGCGGGAGAACAACAATCATCCAGCCAGGTTGTAGCTATGGTTGACACTCCGTACCTTCCTAGAGTGCTACATGTAGAAGCAAAATAGTTGGTAGAGGCCAGGCGATAGGGAAACACTACGTACCAAGCGGACAAGGTGCGTCATGATGGTTGTTTCCTTTGTTCACAAAGCCACTCACCTAACTCTGGAACCTGGATGCCGATGGTGCACTTGCACTCTTCCGCTAATTTTGCTCCCTTGTCCTTCCTGGTTTTCCTCCATGCACCCCCCTTCCCTGCCCCCCCTTGTTTTGCCCTGCTCGCGTCCTCATTGCTCTCCCCGTATGCCCACCACACCAGCCACCCACCACCGCAGCCACTGCTTTGCCTAGCCTCGCCCCCCTCGCTCCTTTTAAACGTATCTATTTAGTATTTATTTTACTTTGGTAATAGCCAGAAAATGGAAACAGGTGCGGTTGTACTGATCATCTAGACTACAAAGTCATACTCGAGTATGCCAGCCAGCAGTTCGAAGCACGGCCCTGACTGGCCAACAGTTCGTTTGCTCGCTCTTTGGCCCCAAACAATGCATCGTCGTCGCTAACCTTATGATTGCGTTTCTCCCTTTATAGTCACCCCTCGTACCAGTTCCATCAAGACTGTGGGGTGTGGGGAGGCAATGCTGGGGCTGAAACCAGAGCTGGGACCAACCCTGAAGGGATTGCAGTGCTGGGGCCAACTGTTTTGGTGAGCTTGTGTTGTCTCTAGTAGTGGGGCAAGAATTCGTGGTGGAGGATCCAGTAATGGGGACTGCCATGGTAGACATCATCGCAGTGCTGGGGGCAACTGTTGTGGCGTTACTAGTGCCGAGGCTAACTGTTGTGTGAAATCCAGTGTTGGTCCGAACTGTGTAAGACCCAGTGCTACCAACTGCAGGACTGGGGCTAGCATAGTGGTCGTTGCAAATTTGCTTCTTTGTCTTGGGCTCATTCAGATTGGCAGACATTTATTTTGGTAGCACGAACAATGAGTTTGATGTTGCCTTCGTGTTGTAGCTATGTATTGGATACATGAACCTGTAGACAACCGCCCTTGCAAGTGGCCGAATAGACGCAGCTAAGATGGGTCAGTTGCTCACCAATCTGGATTGCCTGGGAATCGCTTTCATGTGAGATTCAATGACCAAATCATCACCGTATAGACGCATCAACACCTGGTGATGGCCCTGAAGTTTTGTGCCTACTTCACTTCTTTGGTTACAATTATTATTACTGTAGGGCACCAGTCTTTGGGACTTGGCGTCGTGCTTGTCGACGTCCATAGACGATGAATGGGTGCTGATTGATGCCTGGGAGGCCATGCGCTTTGTGGATACTGGCAGGAACCATGGAACCATCATTTCACTGACAGAGAGCACATCGAGCAAGAGGTGCGAGTTGGGTCACTCTCAGTGGAACTCATCAGGGGCGATGTTGCCTGGAAGTCTTTTCATCTCAATGTGATGTACCGGTACCGATTTAGTAGTTTGCTTGCACCACACTTTCCCTACATCTTGAACGATTCTCACGTTGGTGACCTTGCCGCTATCTTCAAGTTTCAACGTTTGGGTGACAAAGGCTGCCGTACCGGTATCCTGGCAGACTGTCACGCCTGTTGGTTTTGAAGCATGGAAGCAACCACTCATGGAATGATCCACGAGCACGAGTCGAGTCCCAATGACGACGAACAAGGCAATAATAGACTCTCTACTAGTACGAAGAAGAAGACACTGCATAACATGCTGATCTTCTGCTCTCTACCCTTTCAAAACCTCAAAACCTGGGATGCTCGTTTTTTGACACATCCCATCTTCAAAACGTTTTATGGCTGCAACGTATATTTCACTCTTTTCGTGCTTTCCTTTCCAATCACTGCACCTACTCCATTGTGTTTTGCTACATTACATTTGCTTCATGATGATTTCAATCTTGACCCCTGCCGGGATGAGTGAAACGCCCATCATTTCATGTACCATGAGTGCTAGAATGCCCATCATGGCGGCGCGTCCTTGATTGAGTTCAATGGCTCTCTTTTTCAGTTTGGTTTCATCGTCAAATGTGTCCCATCCAAAGTCGAGAAGGCCATTTCGAAAATCACCGATAAACTCTCCACCAATGACATCTTTCATGACTTCGGATTCGAGCAATCCAATAAAGACGAGGATTTGTTGAAAGCCCGGTCCGGGAATTGCCCACAGGGCATCAAAACCACAGGGCAAATCGGCAAAAGCCGGAACCCTCCAACCAGCTTGAGTCGCCAAGTACCCCACGACGGCCAACATGGCGATACGACCGTGTTTGAGTTCCACGTAACGCAAACGATCAAATGTGGTCTGATTGCCATCCGCGACGACACCCAAGGGATCCCAAAATCCCAAGGGCTCTTGGGCACCCAGTTCGTTTTCGAACGGACTCACTACTACTACTTCCTCCACACGAACCACGTTGGTTGGTTTTTGGACCAAAGCGGCAAACGGGTTCAAAGCCGCCACGACGGAGGGAAATGCCAAGAGTAGGATCGTGGTAAACGCATTCTTCATTGTGGGTCGATCGTTGTCGTTGTTCCACTCTTGCTTGTTGACATAAGAGAAGACAGCAAACAACCAAATCGGACGGATAGATCAGCAATCGAGTGATCACTTACTCATACGGTACCTACGGTATGCATATGGATCAATTGGCCGTTGTCCGAACAGAAAATGAATGATCCACAGGCCCAGAAGGAAGAAAAGATCTGATCTTCTGCGTCACCACCCGGAAGACAGATTTTGTAACTTGGGTAGATGCGGTACAATATTCAGACAAATTGTGATTATTACATTAGTCTACTTGAGTGAAATATCACCTCAAAGATTACCATAACTACCCTTTCAAAGCTGTCTTCCCATGTTCTGATTCTGGGAGCCACGAAGGCAGAATTTGTTGGAGGCAGGAGGTCGGCTGGAGCATTCATGACCTTGTGCGTCCCGTTTTTCCGATCCCTCACTCTTGACGATGTACCTATCAGTACATGTAGAGTGCTAGATAGCTAGTACCGGTACGAACTGGGATACGGTTCGTCCGTATTAGCTATAGGCCCAATGCAGGTCCTGGACCAATTTCTGGGCCAACTCCAGAGCTACACAATGTCATGCTCCAGGTCCCACATCAGGACCCAATCCAGGCCCAACTCTTCGACCAAATCCTGGCCTATCACCAGACCTCAATGGCGGAGTATCACCCACAAGACTAGGATTTCCCAAACAATGGTGGTGGTAAAATAGATTCAAAAGTGGCTGAGCGAGACTCCACTTAAGCCGCTGAACTTGTTGGAAATGTTTTTTTACTTTGCCAGGTCCAAACAGTACGCCCTCTTTGTTGACTATACTCTGTGCTTTTGTCATGCTGGAGATGTACCGTTCACAATTGTGTCATTGCTTGAGCCAGCGAAGAGCGGTTCCCATGGCCACCATTCCGTCATCGTTGTCGCTATCGTACCCAACAGGCATACGAGATGGCCATTTGTCGTCGGCTGTATCCAATAGAGAATCAAAATCTCCAATAAAGGATGCAAATCCAATCTCATCATTGCGTATACCGTGGGGGATAGCACTTCAACTTTGTATCGGCGAATTTATGTGAAGAAAAGTATGTGAGCTTTCCTCGCACTTCCTTGCGTCACTGTCTCTTGTTCTGTAGCTTACCATTGTCGTTTTGTAACTTGACCTTGTTGGCACTAATCAGAGAGACTTGTGATCCCAGAGCTGTCAATCCTTCTGCTGCGAAACACGCATACCGTAGTCATTGCCGCCCAGAACAACGACTTTGCCAGAAACCATACTATCTTTGGCACCTCCCACACCTTCCACTCTTGGAGCTGTGCAATGAACTCCCGTGAAAGCTGCAATCATGGTGTTGAGTGCATCTTGATCTTGGATCCCTTTGCCAATTTTCACCGCTGAGTGTACGTAGCCTTGAAGATTTTTGGATTCCTTGAGAGAGACTCTCGGTAGATCTTCATCATCATAATTGCCGCTGCTTTTGCCGCCATCACCACTCCCACAATACGGTCACCTGTATCATCTTGCGTTCCGGCCACCACTGTCATGCGACCCAGACTGTCTGTGTTGCTGCTGCTGGTGGGAATTTGCAAGACTTGTCGAATGGATGTCCACTTGGGACCATCATAAACGACATACTTGGTTGTGACAGCGTGCAGTGCCAATGGTGATTTTATTCTCACTGCTTTGTTGGAAGTCACACGCCAAAAACAGGGCTAGGCCTGCCGCCACTGTTGGAAAAATCATTTTAGAAGGCAACCCTTTTGTTCAGCAAAAGTTCACAAGCTAACTGAAGCCAGCAAAAGGCGTCGAATGATCATACAAACAGGGGTGTTCTTGGAAGAAATATTGGATGGATCCAGGCGGCTTCACAGCCAGGGAATATCCAACATCCAACAGATGTGAAAGAAAAAGAAAAAAGCAGTTTGTCCAAACTTCAACTTGGGGTCAAATAAATCTTGAAAAGAGTGTCGAAATGATGACGTGGATACGTTGTAGGGATTATGTCAACCGGTACCCGCTATCCATATCCACGCTCCAATTTCCACGCTGTGGATAGTAAGGTACTTGTACAACTTGTACCAGGTACGCTTTTGCTGCTAACGACAGCTAATAACGAGAACAGTCAGCATCCTCTCGATTGACGTGGAATCAAAACCAATGAGCAGGCCAACAGAAGGAGATGACAGGTAGTGGAGGCCGAAGAGCAAACAGAGCCATGGGAGGGAGAGAGCAGGGGCGTACGAGACTAGCAGTAATGGTCAAGAGCGCCACAATCATCCCAGCGCCTTGAGCTTATTGTAGCCGCAGGAACTAGCTAGGTAGGGGTTGAGCAAACTTGCCGATAGCCCTACGGTACATTGCAAGAAGTTTTGTAAAGTGTTTGGAAAGCGAGTCTTTTGCTTTGGCTGGTGGTTTGGTTGTTTTCTATTGGATTAGATTGGATTGCATAGAAGTGGATTGGATTTGCCATTTACTATACAAAGATCAGTAGAAGTTATGATTGAATGATCAATCAATCATTCCAATTCAATGCCAATGCAAATTTCCAACTAAAATTTGAATTTTGACTTTTCAGAAGTCATTCGGTCACTCCTGAGTACCGGTGTACAGGGTACGACTGTACCGGTTCGTGCTAACACGTACCGTACCCGTACCAGTACACCAGTACCGTACTTACGGCTTCGGAGTGTACCAACCGGTACAGTACATCACAATACATGTTGTAGTATGCGGTGCGCGCCCAGTTCTGAACGGAGCACTCACCCCAAGGTGCACTGATCTACCATACCTGGCTTTAGCTTAGCCCCCTCGCCGATTAACCCACTATTTAGATATTTCTTCTAGTACTTATGTCTTTGTTCCATTGAGTTTTTGGAATGCTACATGGCTGTAGCCCCGCAGAAGTGGACCTTGACTGTCGACACAATGCGTTGGCCGTTGAGAGCGACCCAACACTGGCTCGTCCCCACAAAGAGATTGATTGGGTGGTACAGGTACAGGTACAGGTACAGGTACCATCCTCCATCAATGAAACCAATACCCACAGTTTTTCAGTTGACTACAGGTACTATGAATTGTTTCCGTCTCTTTTTTGTTTCTGCTAACTTTTCGTTGGCTCTCTTCCATTCTGCTGCTGCTGCTGCCAATCCCGGAGAAGAGCAACGTCCATCCTGGTTCCGTGAACACCCTCTGGTCGACGACAAAGAACTAGAAGAGTTCTTGACACGAGATGCCAGCGATGAACACAGGGAACTTCAAGAATCCACTGGAGGTCTCTTTGATGCTTGCAATGATGACAATGCATGTCAAGAGGAGGAGGGCTTCACCTGTGTACTCTGGGTGACCCGAAAGCGGTGTGTTCCCCTGGACTGTCTCCGCGACGAATTGACGAGTTTCCACAACTCCTTTCAACAATCAGAGTATGTTCAAAACCTTCGAGCCGAAGCTGGAATGGAGAGAGGATCATGGCCTGGGGGGTTTCGGAACAGTGACAAACGAGCTTCTATGTTGAGCGCGCTGTCCAACAACACAGACTTCCCAGCGCAGATTGAAAACATTGGCAAAAAGTGCTTCTTTGGTGATGCCGACTACAATACTACAACTGCGGATGGCAAACAATTATCACTGTCGTGGAGTGGGGTTCAAGTTGAAGCTGGCCTCATCCTTCCGGACTTTCAATATGCCGAATATAGATCTCCGGTCGACGACTTCAGCGCCACGATGCAACGATATTGTGTGGGAGCAGAGTTGGGTGCAAGTTGTGGGTTCACGCCTTTGGCTGGTTTTGGATGGACTGCTATTGGTGGATCACCAAAGGAACTTTTGTCCTGTGGCTACTTGATGGCAGACTTGGATGTGGGGCTGTTTTTTGGTGCAGGCATTGCTGTTGGGGTCACTTTCAGTGGAGTCATCTTCTTTGAATACGAAGTTTTTCCAAGTGAAGGTTTCAGCATTGTCCTTGGTGCTGGCGCTGGTGTAGCAGTTTGCGGAGCTTGTATTCCATAATTCTCCACCCGAAAGTCCCCCCTCCCCCCCTGATCAAAGTATTAGCACTAGTTGGAAGCTTGCATACGTGTCACTCTACCTCCACCCCCCTAACACAACCAACAAACCAGAAACAAAACAAAAAAGAGCCCAACAAAATTCAGAAAAACAAACAAACAAGTATTACATGTCTCTCTTTCATGCGACTCTCCCTAAAACGAGCAACCACAGGGCATCTTTAAAATTAATAAATCTAATGGTATACCGTAACCCCCTAGAGGGGGCTGTGTAATTCAGCCCCATAGCTACAGTAGCTAGGCTCCTACTAGTAGTACAGTATGTTTGCTGGTAGCCACAGCCTCAGCTTCCGCTTGTAGATGACATGGACAGAGCATGATAATAAGCTTTATCTACCAAGTACCGGAACCGGTACCGTTACGAGATGGAGACTTACTATTTAAAAAAAGTAGAGTACCGGTACGGTACTTATCGGTTTGGGAGGAGCAGAGAATTTGGCATGGAAAGATTTAATGAAAAGTTCAAGTCTTCAACGACTCATCCATCCACTGATGCGTGTCCACATCAATTATTAATAATTGTTTGGATCAATTATCTTCGATCTCGGCGGGCTCTTTGAGCCCTCCGGAAAAGTTGCATATTTTGATTAGAGAAGGGAGAGCCCTCCGGAAAGGTTGCATATTTTGATTAGATGTGAAAGCGCTCCGGCAACTTCACGTATGCTAGTCAGAAGCGGGAGGCGCTCCCGAAGCGTTAGAAGGGAAAGCGCTCCGGAAATGTTGCATATTTTGATTAGAGAAGAAAGAGCGCTCCGGAAAAGTTGCATATTTTGATTAGAGAAGGGAGAGCGCTCCGGAAATGTTGCATATTTTGATTAGACGGGAAGCGTCTGGCTGCTGCGTTCAATCATCCACCCGAGCCCGTTCTCGATCATTATTCGCCACAAATTTAAACCATCACAATAATGAGTTCAGCACTAATACTGAGCAAGTCGTCCGTATGGTTTCGCATGGCCTCTCTGCCATCAACTGCTGCGCCACTGGCGAGCCCTTTACTATCGGCAATAACAAAGCCCAGTTACGGTAGTCGATTCCTGACGAGTCAAGCAGCGCGAGCTTTGTTGGGGCTTCCCGCCAATAATAAGACTGCTGATACTACCGGTAGTGCTAGTAGTAGTAAAACGACGTCCCCCCTGACTTTGAAAGAACTCCGCCATGCTTATTTTGCAGCCGCCAAACAGTGTCATCCCGACATGATGACGACCCAGCAGGATGATGATGAAGAGGAAGAGACCAACAGCCAGGCCGCCGACGAGTTTCTGCAAGTAACGTTGGCGTATGAACTCCTTCAAGCGGAACTGTCCCCAAAAGAAGAAGATGTCATGAGTAATATCATTACGGAATCGGAAGAAATGGCGTTTCGACGTGCCTGTCAAGTGGAACTGGGAGTGGCTCCCGAGATTGTGGAAGAATGCAAGCAAAATCCCGAGTTTCGTCAATGGCTCCTGGGTCGTACTGATTCGGCCCATTTATGGAGGACCTTTTTGATGCAACATGGAGGATTGGCCCCGAAATTACGCCCACCACAGTTGTTGCAGGCGGGTGCACATGCCAAAATGCCATCTCATCGAACACGACGACGGCGAAAATAGAACGTACATGTAGTATAGTACAAGCAACAATCAATTCAATTGGCCAGAAACTTGTTTCCTTCCAAGTTGAGGTACCAGGTACTGCTATACAGGACGTCTGCAGACTTGTTCGACCTGACCTGATCCAATAATACACAAAGTCTGCAACCGAGATCAATCTCCAGCGACCCTGCAGAAAGAAGTGATATACTCAAGTCTGTAGTATGGTACCGGAGGTAACACTATTTGCCCGATCCGAATTGAACGGAACACTATAGCCCTCGGCTTTTGCCCCATGGTATCAAATTGCAAGAGACTTGGTTAGTAACAGCTAGCTAGCTAGCTAGCTAGATAAACTGAGTACGTGGAGGAAAGTTCGGTCCGGTCTCATGAGATTTGTGTGCAACGAATGATCATTGAATCAATCACCCAAAGATTCCAACGTTAGGTGTTGACTCGATGGCACCGTATATCGATGTCATACAACAAGTACGAGGACATGGTTTTAAAGTACCTTATATGCAAGCTTCATCATAACTACAAATAAGTAATTGTACTACTACTGGTATTTATCTTGTCGTCTTTCAAGTACGGTACGCAATTACAACTCATCCCCCATGGTTCGTTTGACTTCACCCTTTTCATAGTCGCTGGGACATTCTTCTTTGCACAATTTACAGAATTTGTATCCTTCCTTGCAGTGTTCCATATTGTCTTTGCATTTGCGGCAATGATAACAGTACGGACGAGTCGTTTCGTGACTGGCGTGATGACACTGTGGCAAACTGCACGATCCTCCACAACGATCATTGAGAATGGCATGACGCAATTGCGCAGCGGCATTCTGGACGTAATTACCCGCACACATTTGCGTCCGTTCCGTTTCATCCCAATGTCGATAATCCATTTTTTGATAGCCACACTTGCCCTTGCCGTCGGGGTGGTAGACACAGCCGCGTCCTCGATCTTCAAATGTCCGCGGCCAGCCGTCGTAGCCGGTGGTAGCGGATGGTTCGGCGACGACGTAGTAATCGCACGATGCCGACGGACTGTTCTTGATGCGACAGTGGTCTCCAATACGACGACCTTCGGACGCCGAGAAAAACAAATCTTCGTCACTCATGTCCAAGTACTTTTGACATGGTTGCGGAGGAGGACCATCTCCAGTCTTTTTGCTGCTGGAAGAAGAGGGTTTCTTGGCAAGCACTACTGACACATTGCAGACTAGCAACAGCAGTGCCAACGACATTAACACGACGGGCTTGATCATCTTGGCCTGGTTGGTACTACTATTTTGATGCTTCTATGGTTGTGTCTGTCTCGACGAAAGATGAAGAAGGATGTGTGAAGAGTGAAGGCTTGGCTTGGGAAGCCCAATCTTCTTTGCAAGGTTGCGATAGCCATCGAGTGAGAAAGATCCAATCAAAGGGTCACTGACATAGACATTATCCTTCACCTTACAAAAGATACGATGTTAACCCTCAAAAGATACGATGTTAACCCTAATTTGACCGTTTCATTTCTTTCTCTCGCCTCTGACTCAAACACGCTTTCTCCCTTTTCCATCTTATTCTGTTCCTTCGCTCGGGCTGAGGCAATCGCTCTCTGCTATAACAGACTTGCTCAGTCATCTCCTCCATAACACACAAGCAGACCTCCTCTGTACATCCATCTATACTGAAGGAAAAAGAAAGAAGAAGAAAACCATGATGCAGTGGGTACATGTACTGCTGTCACTCGTGTCGTCTCTGCTCTTGCTAACAGGGTCGACCACCAATGCGTTTTCCACTCCTGCTGTTACTACTACTACTACTAAAAGTACAGATCGTTTGACCTTTCCCAATTTGGATGCCTCCTTGTTCCGTCATCCTTTGGATCGAAACTTGACCGGGCTCGTCACAAAATTGCCAGGAATTCAAATTGCCGAACAAGGCATTCGCCGCACATTTCCATTGGTCGAACAAACCGTCCGGTTGGATCTCCTCTCGTCGGCCGTCAAGGTATCGCCTCAACAATTGCCACACATTTACGACCTACTCGTCGAAGCTTGCGAAATTCTCGATCTTACGGACACTCACAATAATTGCAGTATTCCCGAACTCTACGTGCAATCCAATACGCAAGCCAATGCCTACACATTGGCGTGGCAAGGCAGCAGCACACCCATCCTAGTCGTCACGTCGGCATTGTTGGATCGCTGTACTCCCGCCGAATTGCAGGCGGTCATTGGTCATGAATTGGGACATGTCAAGTGCGAGCATTCTCTGTATTTGACATTGGGAGGACTCGCATCGGCACCGCTCCGCACTCTCCCGTTTGCCGGCCAAAAAATCGACCAGGCACTGACACAATGGCGATTGGCGGCCGAATACACGTGCGATCGGGCCGCATTGATGGTGGCACAAGATGTGCACGTCGTTCAAAGTGCCCTCCTGAAACTCGTGTCGGGGACATCCAATGTGAATGTTCAAGAATTTGTTCAGCAATGTCAAGAATACAATACGCTCCTTAAAAGTGCCAATCCGTTGGTCCGGGCGTCCATTCGACGACAAGTACGGACGCATCCCTTGCCCGTACGACGTGTCGCCAAATTGCAAGAATGGGCCCAGTCGGACGAGTACAACCAGTTGTTGCGTGAGAATGGAGTGGCGATTGTCAAAATGAAAACAGGAGAGGAGCCAAAGGAAACACAACTGGCCACGGAAGAAGAAGAAGAGCAAGATCAAGAAGCGAAGGAGGATTTGGACCAATGATCATGCATACACTAGTAGTGTAAGTTTCGAAATGTTAGATCTATAGATAGAAAAAGCAACCCAGATCACGATGGTGGTCTTCAGCGTACGGCCAATAAGCTGTAGTAGCTAGACCGAAGTTTGGGCTGATCGTACCGTAGAATGTTCAATGTCAAACATGCGGCTAATTTTCCAATGTAAAGAAACTGAAGACATCTTTAATCGCGATGCCGTACTGGTAGTAGCCACTGAAGCAGCCAACTTTTGTACTGACAAGAGGTTGCCTAGTAGGCCGGGCAGAGATGGAGTACAATGGTTGGTTCAAGCTATGGTATGGATATACCACCAAAAAAACTCAGCAATGCAATCTCTACGATGGCTGGCCCCGAGATTCCACAAGCCTACGACTAAACTTCACACAGCTGCTAGTCCCAGCACTGGAATACTCAGGTTGGTTGGCCCCAGCACGAGATGCACCACAAAAGTTGCCTTCAGCACTGCCGTGTCTACCATATTGGCAAGTCCCAGCACTGGATTTTCCCCCAGAACTGGCCCCAGCACTTATTGGAGACACCACAAAAGTTGGCCCCAGCACTTCAATGCCTACATGCCTACCACCACTTCCCCAGCACCGGATTTCCAACAAACAGCTTTCCCCATCACTAATAGAGACACAACAAAAGTTGCCCCCCCAGCACTACCATGTCTACCATGGCCAGCCCCAGCACTAGGGACTGGCCCCAGCACTAGAGATTTCCTCCAATATAATCCAGCCCTACTTCATTCTTTTACTTGTCTGTCTAGCAATGCTCATCTTATCTTTTGTTTTGGGGTTCAATACTAAGCTGCAAAATTAGGAGGGGCAGTTGTCTGGGCGGTCAGACTCGTCAGCAAAAGAGCAGCAGCCACATTTAGCATCTGCATCAAGGATGAGAGATGCTGCAGCTTGAAATGGCACACACAAGGTTTTGAGATTGGTTGTCTTGATCCGGCAAACAGGAACTTTATTGTCAGCACACAGAATTTGGCTGTCACTGCAGTCTTCAGCAGACGGAGAGCTGGAGGGGAGTGTGGATGGTCCAACAGAAGGTGAAGTGCTTGGCCAGTGAGAAGGTGCCACACTTGGTGTAGTACTTGGCACAACACTTGGCGTAACTGAGGGGACTACACTTGGGGCAGTACTTGGCTTGGAGCTGGGAGATCCTGAGGGTCTACCACTGGGGGCACTGCTTGGGTCTTCACTTGGGCTCTGGGAAGGACTCGCCGAGGGTGACTTACTTGGCTGGATTGAAGGAAAATGACTAGGATTCTGAGAAGGCGAGTCACTTGGTTTATCTGTTGGGGCAATACTTGGTGAATCTGATGGAAGCGAGCTAGGGGCATTGCTTGGCTTTGAACTTGGTGCAATTCTGGGTGATATTGAAGGTGCCAGACTTGGTGCAATACTTGGCAGTGAGCTGGGGAATGCTGAGGGGTTTTCGCTTAGGGGCTCAGTTGGATCTATGCTGGGATGCTGAGTGGGAGCAACAGATGGCATCTTGCTTGGGTTAACTGAAGGAGAACTGCTGGGTGCTTGTGTTGGGGTTCCTGTGGGGTGCTTGGTTGGTGTTTCAGTGGGAGAAGTGGTGGGGGAAATAGTAGGAGATTTTGTAGCAACATCGCAATGCAGAGTGACGGGAAAGGTGGAAGTAGCTGGCATCTCTGCTGCAGTTGCAGTAATGAGAACATCGGCAGATGTTGTCATCTCTATGGAACATTCTTCTACACCAGTGCTGGAAGATGAGCTGCTGCATTGGTCGCTTCCTGTGCCACGAGACTGAACCTTCAGGTCAATATCAACAGTGTCTCCTTCGTCATTTCCAGCCTCAGAGACAGAACAAGTAACCACCATACCAGCATCAGTTCCAGGCAAGAGGAAGTACTTGACTTGTTCAGAAAGGTATTCCAATGTAAAATCAAAGTCTGTACCGGAAGAAATTTCAGTTAAAGTGTCAGCAGCACAGGATACAGTGGTTGAGGTACCAGAGTCGGTAGAAGAACCACGAACACAGTCTGGGTCCAGTTCAAGCTCGAGGTGAGCCTCATTGGAAACTGTAAAGCTGCAGTATCTTTCAAAGGCACCTTCTCCTTCACCAACCCTCACTGAACAGCGTTCTTCGCCGTTGCCTGATCCTACATCTGCAGCAAAATCACATCCTCCTGTTGCCTCCCCAACAAAGGCGCAAATGACGAAGCTGTCGGATGGGGCTGCTGGGTAGTCATCGAGCTCGGCATCAAAGAATCCACCTCGGTTGCCCCACTGCCAGCTTCTTTCAAACAATTGCGTCACGAGATGACGGTGTTGATATTTGTTTCCAGTCGTCTCCTTAGGGTTATTCTGGTTTGTTGTCTGCATCCCCCCACGCAGGGCTTTCAATGTCAAGCCTTCACTTCCCGAAGAAGCAGCAATGGAAAAAGCTTGAACAAGTGCGAAAATGGTACCTTTGGCAAACAACATGTTGTCAGGAGTGTTCCTCAATCGTGCATGACTTTAAATCGGACCCTAATTTAGGGTCGGTTTGGGGAATCCGTCCCTAAATATAGGGACGGTTTCGAAACCCGACCCTAAATCGAAACACGTCCCTAAATTAGGGACGTTTTTTCAGAAACCGTCCCTATTTTTCAGAAAACGTCCCTATTTTTAGGGTCGGTTTCGAAACCCGACCCTAATATTAGTGCGTTTTCAATGTATTTACCAGGCAGTCCCGTTTCTATTTAGGGACGTTTTTCAAACCGAACCCTAAAACGAAACCCGACCCTAAATTAGGGACGGTTTTTCAGAAACCGTCCCTATTTTTCAGAAAACGTCCCTATTTTTAGGGTGGGTTTCGAAACCCGACCCTAAAGGGAATCCGACCCTAAATCCGACCCTATTTTAGGGTCGGTTTCATGCACGATTGAGGAACGCTCCAGTGTTGCGAGAAGTTGATTGGATGGTTGATTGTTTGTGAGCTTTGTCAGAGATTGTGATTTCGATTTTGTGTGCCTGTTGTTGAGTGCTTTTGGGCCGTTGCCGAGCATTCCAGGTCTCGCGTGTTCACGTAGATTTTTCGTGTGCTGGAAGAGCTATGCACTTTTGCGCAATCTTGTCAGGCAAAAAAAGACGCAAGGAACGCGCGGTGGACACCGCCCTTAAATAATGCTCTCTCCGGTCACAAGGCTTGCTACGCGTTGTACACCACCCTTAAATGCACTCATCCCACCCCATACTTGTGGTACCGTAGCCTGCATTTGGTTTGGAACATGCTCGATTACGAGGACTGCATTCCGCGCCAAAGACTAAAGCACCTACCGGTAGCTAGTGCATGAGAAAGCTTTGCCACCTTCGAGAAGGTGGCGGACGAAGAAGAAGGCACGACGATGACATTCTGGTGGATGTGGTGGCAGGAAGGAGTGGTGGTAGAGCCTGAGTTGGGAGCAGGCGGTCAAGACTCAGCAGCCAATCATGAGGCGTGCTGGTGCCCCCCTTTGGCTCATCGATACTGGTACTCTTGCTTCAGCTTCACAAAACAGGATAGTCAGACTTTCCTACCATCCCTTTTCCTTACCCCTCCTACCCCTTCAAACTTCTTTACCAACCCCAACTCTCTTCAACAAAGAGCTCGTGATTTGTGGTGAATCATGGCTCCGACCTCAGTGTACAAATCCTTAGATAGCTAACAGGCGTCGCACCCTCTCAGGAGGCCAGTGTAGCCGGTGAGCAGACTTGACTGTGGGAAATACCCGGGCCTCGGCTCGTGGGTCGTCCTCAAGCACATCTTGTCTGAATCCGTTATTAGACGTTCAGTTTTTTGCTTCAGCTTCACAAGACATCGAGCATCCAAAGCCAGATGAGGAGGGTAAAATAGATGGAACAGTGGGCAACAACTGGCTGAACAAGTTGTCAGGGGGTGATCCTCATAAAGCATTGCCATCAAAGCAGCACGATCTTTGGTTGTCCTAGCCAGCACAAGCGAACACCACAATTGTTGCCCCCTGTCCTGCCTCGAACCTCTGTTTTGCAGCCTTGCAAGCTAAGGAAAATACTGTCTCAAAGTGTCCTCTTTTAGCTAACGGTACGGTGCAGCTTAACTACTGGGCTTCTTTGGCCTACTTCTTTTCCAAAGGATTCGATGTCGCCAGTGGGTGTCATAATTAACCGTACTCAGTTTTCCCAAAATACCCTTTAATTACTAGTACAGAAGATTGGATGACTGCTTCAAGGGCATAATAGCCCTCAACTGGTTAGGGCCCTTGTGAATTTTGTTTGGATGTTTGTCTGTTTGTCTGTTTGTCCGTTTGTCCGTTTGTCCGTTTGTCCGTTTGTCCGTTTGTCCGTTTGTCCGTTTGTCCGTTTGTGTGTCACAGTTTTTAGCCATAACCCTAATAGAAATAGACTACCAAAAGATAAATTCGGCTTTTTTTCAGCGTTGGTCTCCTGTTTCCTCAGTTTGCTCGCTACTTGGATCCATATGACGAATAGATGCAATCCAGCCATTGTATAGCCAGCTACGGTACCTACCGTAGGCAGAGAGCTACATCGATCCATGACAGTGGCAACAGTACCGAACACACTCAGGTTCCGCTTTACTGGCTACACTCCGTTACCGGTACCTTGCATTGGATCCTTATGACAAATACATGCACAACCGAACATTGTCAATCCAGCCATCGTAGCCAGTTACAGTAGAGTTCATCGATCAGTGATAGTGGCAACAGTACCGAACACACTCAGGTTCGACTTTGCTCGCTACACTCGGTTACCTCACATTGGATCCCTATGACGAATACATGCACAAAACCGACTATTGTTAATCCAGCCATTGTAGTCGGCTACCGTACAGTTACATCGGTGACAGTGTCAACAGTACCGAACACACTCAGGTTCGGTTTTGCAGGCTACACTCCGTTGCCGGTATCTTGCATTGGATCCTTATAACGAATAGACTACATGCACAACCGAACATTATGAATCCACCCATTGTAGCCGGCTGCGGTATAGCTACATCGACGACAGTGGCAACAGTACCAAAAGTTCGGCTTTGCTCGCTACGGTTACCGGTACCTCGCATTGGATCCTTTTGACGAATACATGCACAACAGAATATTGTCAATCCAGCCATTGTAGCCATTTACCGTAGAGTTACATCAATCGGTGACAGTGGCAACAGTACCGAACACACTCAGGTTCCGTTTTACTGGCTACACTCCTTTACCGGTACCTTGCATTGGATCCTTATGACGAATACATACACAACCAAACATTGTCGATTCAGCCATCGTAGCCAGCTATCGTAGAGTTCATCGATCGGTGACAGTGGCAACAGTGCCGAACACACTCAGGTTCGACTTTGCTCACTGCACTCGGTTACCTCGCATGGGATCTTTATGACGAATACACACACAACCGAATATTGTCAATCCAGCCATTGTAGCCAGCTGCCGTATAGCCGTATAGCTAGTGGCAACAGTACTTGACTTGCGCATAAAGGAAAATGGGTACCGACACAGAAATCACCACCAAAACAGTAGGAAATAACAAGAAGGGATGAATCCGGTAGGAGGATCCACTCTCTTGTGTGTTGTTGCCTCTTCCGGTGGCTGATAGGCTCCTCTGTTCAGGCTGTTGGTAGGGCTGGAGTTAACAGAGCCTCCTCCTCCGTAGCGGTAGCCTCTCCTCTTGTTATCCGGAGCGATCAATCGTCGACAATGGTAGTTCCTCGGCCGTCAGCAGTAAGAGAACAGAAAGTAAGATATAGATATGGTTTTCTCTTCTATTCTGATACTGTGGACGACCGGAGACTTACCCTTGTTTTTCAACTTGCACCAACTTGGCCGTCATGGGCCGAGAAATGATTGCCATCCCATGGTCCATAGGATTCAATGAGGGATGGCTTTCGCTTCTGTACCAGAGTCAATCGGCTTGAGTGAGGCTTGGATAACAGAGATAATAGAGATGCGATCGATCGATTCGAATAATTAAAACAACTCACCTGTTGACGGCCGAGCTCGGAATTCTCTCCTGTTTACCATAGAAATTCAATGAGGGAGAGAAGTCAGCGCTGTACCTTCAATTAACACTCTTGATAATACCGCATGCTTACCTCATTGCGATGGATTCGATCGATCTGCCGATTGGATAAAGCACTCACCATGCATTATTGTTGTCGGCCAAGCTTGGATTTACCTCCTGTTTACCATACGAATTCAATGAGGGAGAGCAGTCAGTGCTGCGCCTTTAATAATAGACCTGATCGTAATGGACTTTCGCTCCGATCGGTTTATCCTTAACCTTAGTAACTTCAACGGTTCTTTTTATCCACGAATCGATCTAAATGTTTCGAGAGGGTACTTGTTACTTAACGATACACATGACCGTTGATTCTGCAACTGAAGTGCGACTACTCAATTTTACACAGTAAACGCGGGCAAATCGATTTTGGAGTGCAACTGAGGGGGAAACCAAAAGGAGCGTGGTCTGGGAGACCAAACAGATGGCTGGCTAGCTAGCTAGGTCTACAGCTGCAGCCAGCTAGCCTGGCTTGCCTACGATGTAGCCACTGCCAATCAAAATCAAACTCGTTGAGGGCTCATGCCTTGGGCAGCCTGAATCAATTGGAAAGAGGGAACCCAGAACCTCCGCCCAATACAGTCACGCGTGAAGTTACGAACCCCATTAACCTCTCCAATCCTCTCCAATGCCCACCTTTTGCCCTGCTCCCGTCCTCGGCCTTCTGGATCCTTGTCCTCCCCACTACCGCTACCACCACTCTGCCTAGCTTAGCCCCCCCCCTCGCTCCTTAACGTATATTTGTTTTTCTCTCCATGTATAGACAGACAGCGGCCACAGCTAACAAATTGGCTCCTCTATCCTACACTCCGCGTAAGCTTATCTATTTGGAAGACGAGTACCATGAAGCGACAGCACGAAGTGCACCAGAAAACGTTTGCCGCCTTTGGGAAGGTAGAGGAAGAAGAGGACAACTTTGACATTCTGACGGATGTGGTGGCAGCAAGGTGTGGGGTTGTGGTAGAGCCTGAGCATCAGAAGCAGGAGGTCAAGACTCAGCAATCTGGAGATGTGCTGGTGCCCACATTGGCTCATGGATATGCATACGGGTGCTCTTCGGTGTCACAAGACACTGAGCCTAGAAACCAAAAAGAGGGTAAAACAGATGGAGCGGGGGGCACCAATCAGTTGAACAAGTCAATAAAAGAGGGGTCAGGGGCTCCTCGTGTAGCATTGCCATCTAAGCAGCATGGCACCGCCAAGATTAGAAACAAGAAATGGGGAGATCCTGGTGCTTTTTCCGTTTCACCAACAACCAAGGAGTTTCACACAGCCACAACCACCCTTCCCCAATCGATAGCACCACCAAGTCGGCAATCGTCAAATGAGACAGATATCCAGACACCACCACCACCCAATCATCCTCAGCCAGGGCTCCAACCCTGTCCCCCCCAGCCAGCGCTTCAATTGACAGAAAATGTGGCAATAGGGCAAACTCTCCCCGGAGCAGTCCACTGTGAAGGACCTTCATTTCGGGAAAACTCTGCTGCGACACCGATGGAGCTGAGTAGCTCAGAGGGTAGCCCCACTCCTCAAATGAACGACTATGGTGTTGGGGTTGCTCTCTTTGATTCAGGTTTGGCAGTGGCCAATTTGGTTTCCAATGAGCCATCTCCCCTGGAACTACCACAGGCACAGAACTTTGACGAACGCGATGAATCTAGGAGAAGAAAGGAAAGAAAGGCCAGACAACTACAGACCTGCATCACCTCAAATGTAATCCTGGTGATTGCAGTCATTGTCGTCGCAGTGTGCGTTCTGGTTCCTGTGCTATCCTTAAGAGAAACAGACGCTAATGATGATGGCAACATAATAATGGAGCCAACCAACCAAGACATTCCATCTCAAGCTCCAACCCCTGTGGAAGAATCCATCTTGTCGCTCCTGCCAGAAGAAACTGTTCAAGCAATCACAGAGGAATCCATGTCTCCCCAGGCCGAAGCATTCTCATGGCTGGTGGAGGACGCAGAAAATATTCTGCAACTTCCACATCGCCAAATCCAACAACGATTTGCCTTGGCAACTTTGTACTTTGCAACGGGGGGAGACATGTGGATCAGCAATGACAACTGGCTCAACCATTCGGTCGATGAGTGTGACTGGTTTCAACAAGCAGAATTTGGGATAAAGTCAATCCAAGGGAGACGGTATCCTGGGTGGCTCTCGGAATTCTTCCCTCCAACACAACCACAACCCACCACCTGCGATCAAAATGGCACAATCCAACATCTTTGGCTGGACCGAAACCATCTTGTTGGCTCCTTGCCAGAGGAGCTCTATCTCTTGACTTCTCTTCAGACATTGTCTCTTGGGTTGAATCAATTCCAGGGCTCTATCTCAACACGATTTGGGCAACTCACACAACTGGAAGGATTAGAGATCCTGGATCAACCACCAGATGGGAGCATTCCTTCGGAGATTGGAATTTTGACTAGTTTGAGAGGGCTTGTGCTGAGCGATAGCAACCATCAAGGCCCGATTCCCAGAGAGATTTGGCAATTGACCGATTTGGAGAGTTTGATTCTTTTGAATCACCAACAAATGGAAGGGAGCATCCCTTCTGAGGTTGGGCTTTTTCCAATGTTGAGGTGGCTTGTGTTGGATAACTGCAATCGATCAGGTATGACCCATGTCTGCTCGACCTTGTCGCCAGAGTCACAATTGCTCTTGTCTAATGTGAAGCGGCTATCCTTATCCAATTTTAATTGGTATAGGCAGCATACCTACAGAGATTGGACAAATCAGCACCATTGAATGGTTTGTTGTGACAGCCAATGTGACTGGGACACTCCCAACAGAGTTAGGACTCCTATCCAATCTGCACTTTCTGTCACTTTTTCGGAATTCCCTGGTGGGGAGTATTCCCAGCGAACTGGGTCAACTGACTTCGCTCTTCTTTTTGACGCTACGAGAAAATGCACTTGGTGGCCCCGTTCCAAGTGAGATGGGCCTCTTACAGAGCCTTACTTGGAGATTCAGCCTGAGAGGCAACCAATTCTCAGGAAATATTCCGACAGAGCTTGGGCTGTTGACAGGGCTTGTGGATTTGCATCTTCAGGAGAACAGATTTACTGGAAAAATTCCCAGCGAGCTAGGTGGACTCTCTTCTGCTGGCATGCTGAGGCTTGGTGAAAACTCTCTGTCGGGGCATTTCCCACCAGAGCTGTCAAACCTTCAATCGTCTCTGTATGAATTGACAGTGCAAGGAAATCCATTGCTTTCCGGGACGATTCCAACATCTCTTTGCCATTTAAATGGCACATGTGTTCGAAGTGGTGTTGCCTCCTGTGACGAACACCAGGGCTTGGTTTTTGACTGTACAGGGGTGTTGTGTGGATGTGATTGCACATGTGGGGCTGGAAATGAATCTTCAAACTTGAGCATGCAACCATAGCCATAGCTGCGTGGATTGCTACCATCGCAATATGATATCGAACAAGGAAGGGGTTTTAGAGCGGGGAGGTTATCTCCGGAAGCCAGCGATGGCAAGGCTTTGGCAAAGAAGAGGCCGAATTCAGGACTGGGTTCCATGGGCTCGGGGGGGATCTTCCATTTTACCCCCGACGTTCTGCCCTCCTGAGCACCCGTTGTGATGCTCGGCTTGGGAAAGGATACTGCGTTTCTAATAGAGTTCGAGCTAGCTCGTAGATGCTATGCTGCCGTATGCTATTCTAACATGTTTGTCTCTGGTTGACTTTTGACTAGTCTGTTTATGGTGTACGATAGTCCCGTTGCAGGAGATGCAACAACGAGCTCTCTCTCTCTCTCTCTCTCTCTGTTTGCCTCGTGCTTTTCTTCTTCAGTATCTATCTATCGCGCCGTCCCCCACCGACTGGTGGATGGATGAAGGCAATCATTTTCGGAAAAGCTCAAGGATCGTTGCACACTGCTGACATTGCTGCTACTGACACTGTACCGTCGCTGGGGAACAATGGGGAGCGAATCGGCGGTGCGCATGCGTCGAAACGAAGGAGGAGGTGTATCGTCCTTATCCTGTACTTCTCGTACGAGCACACTACTAGTATTTGGCTGCCAATACTCGTCGTCGTGATCGGTGACGGAAGTCTCGGAATCCAAATCGGGGCGCTGCGTTTGCTGTCGTCCTGTCGCCGCCGTTCCTCCTGTAAGAATACTGGCACGACGCTGGGGTTTGGCGGGTGCCTGACGTTGCCGGGGGTTATTGGAAAAGTCCGTGGAAGATCGTCGCAAGAGCATTGGTTCGGGAATGGAAACGATGGGGCGTCGCAAACTGAGGGGTGTATCAATGGTGGATCGTCGCTGCAAGGACGGGGTGGTGCTGATGGTGCTATTATCATTGCAGCAGGAGATACTGGCATGAGATGAATTGCGGTCCAAGCCTTGTTGACTCTTTCTACGAGGACGACGACGTCGCTCTACGGTAATGTTGATCGTGATGGACTTGGTGGTGATGCTGTCCGATGTGGCACGTCGTTGGAGAGGTGGTCCATGGTTGCTGCTGATGTTGCTGTTGCTGCGGACAATGGTGGTGGTGCTCTGATGATGATGATGCCGCAGGTTGATGGGCGTATCCAAGGTGGATCGGCGCATCAGAGCGGGAGGAGCACAATCGGAAGGACGCCACTCCTCCTGTACCGTTTGAATGGTACTGGTGGTCTTTGGTGACCTGCGGCGGCCCTTTCTGCGGTCCTTGCGGGAGATTCGTACATTGCTGGAAGCCGCACTAACGGAGTCATCACCTTTCTGCTGTGTTCTGTCTCTACGAGAGATTCTCTTGGCGGCCGAGGGCACACTGTCCGCAGCAGACTCCTTGATGCGGTCTCTGCGAGAGATTCGCTTGTGTGTACTCGTACTGACGCTGCTAAAGGACTCGGAGGCACTGAGGTCGCTGACCTCCATGGGACAGTAGTCGACATTCATGGTCCTCATGTTTCCAGATGATGTGCTTGTACTTGTGGTCAAGGCTCGTCGTGGGGCAGTTGTTGTGGGGCCGGATGGACCTGAGCCGCGATGCATCTTCTCACCAAACTGAATTGTGGATCCAGCAAAAGGTGCGAAAGGATTGAGCAGATGGCACTGTTGTGGCCTTCAGTCTCGACTCAGTACCGTCGAGAGCTTGCTTACTTCACTCTTCACTCTGTGGACACTGAAGATGTATGTGTAGGACTGCAATGAGTTATCGTATCGTAGACAGTACCGAGCTCGATCAGAGACACGCTCTCCAAACTAACTGTGAGGATTTCTGTGAGGCTTGTGCACCATGCAGTCCTCCTGAGATTGCGGAGCTTTCAAGACCAGTTCCCTCCTGAGCAACCTTGCCTTATCAATGCTGACTGGCTGGCAGGTAGCTAGCTAGTACCGGTACGATTAGTGGCACTGTTGTCACAGTACCGATTGGTGCAAAACTCAATGGCGGATGCTGCTGAGATGGCCGCTTCATCCGCGTGTATTGGACTTGGACTGTCAATTGAAACTGAATGAAAGCGGTACCAGTACATCATGTGCCTGGTACTAGTACTATAAATTGTTCATGGCAAGACAATGAGGAGAGGGCACGCGGCTTCCGCTTGCTCTTTTGAAAAGGCTAAAATCGTACTCCTCGTAAAAGATTCATTACAGAGCCGAACAGGAAGACTCCAGGGAGATCTTAGTATAATATGTTTTGTACCCCATTCCAAGTCACTTTCCATCCTTGGAGTTCGAGCGACACACAGGAATGGATAACAACAGAAGCTTTCTACCTGGCGTGATTAATAGAAATAAATGACAAGACCCCATCCTTTCCTACAGTGAAACGGCGGGATTGTTTCTTTAAATCAGAGAATGTCTGGAGGAAGCCAAGAAATGAGGAGAGCTTCCCAGTGTCGAAACAAAGTACTGTAATTCTGGTTCGTACTAGTAAAGTTCTACTAGAGTACAGTACAACAGCTTCGAGAACTTCTCCGTAGAAGCGACCAAGAGTGGACACTTTTGATGACGGGCAAGACCCCATTCTTTGCTTCTTTCAAGATTCTAGTAGTCAAGATATCGGTACCACCCAAGAGCTCACCCAAGCTACTCGAGATATATCTGGCCTTTGTTACGAGCACTGGTGGACGCTGATATGCTTATATTATCATCTTTAAAGGTACATGTAGCTCAGACGCAGGGGCTTCGATTCGATTCCGACCTGCTATCAGCAGATAGCAGATAGATGGTTGCCCTGAAGCCTGAAGCACTATGGCCTATGGCCTATGGCGTCAATTGCCGCATCTTTGATCTTGTCTCGTGCAGAATGACGAATCTGACTCGATTCGGTCGTTCTTCTTTTGGAGTGAGTAACTGTAATGAGCGAATGCCTGAGTTGGTCCAAAAGCATAAAACCTGCCTGGGAACGAGGCGGGGGAAAGACACTCATAACAAGCGGGCGGGCTCCCAGAGCACGTTCGTGCTCTGCAAGCCGTCCAACAGAACCCCGACCAAGCTCAGCTTTTTTGTCGTCTGGTCCGCGGATTGAGTCAAAAAGGAAGCACAGAAAATGCATGAAGCTGGAGAGATACACTGAAAGACTCGACTCAGATGAATAGCTAGACTAGTAGCCAAATCATGCTGATCAGCCCAAGCCTGGGATCGCCAAGGAATGTAATAACTCCCCGCCGGCCGTTGTCGTCCAGCCAGCAGAAAAGGTTCCCCCGACGTCCACAAGCCAGATACATTGGGTGGGGTAGAACCACTGGCCAGAAGAGATGCCGGGTCCATGGCAAGGGAAGGGTGTCTACTGGCGGGCTGGGTAGATGGGTACAGCCATAGTACGAAGCTGTCACTGACCGAGCTGGCTTCAGTGCTGTAGACTGTAGAATCCGCTAACTCCCTTTAACATAGTCTCATGAGAAGGTGCGGTGTGGAGACTCTGACTCGACTCCCGTGCGCCTGACAATCCCACCCCAACATTGCCCCCAACAAAAACCCTTTGTGGAAGTCAAGAAAGTGCTGCTTGGTATGCGATTTGGAAAGGCTGCCGCCACACAAAACAAAGCTAGCTGTGGGCTGTGGCGATGTCCAGTGACAATAGACATGGAAGCCAAATATCTATGCAACAGGCCACCAGTAGGCTGTGTTCATCACACAAATTAATGTCTAATTACATAGCTGCTGCAGCTTGCTACCAGTTGGTTGCTCTACTTTCCAGCATTCAGGAAACATGACATGTCGTAGTCTTCTGGATTCTTCAAAGCCTTCAAGATGTGCTTCATCACGACGCTGTCTTCGAGAGTGCTGCCCATATTGGGATCGATTTCATCTACTGGGAGGTCATCATGCCCAACAATCACCATGCGAGGTTGAAAGGAGCCGTCTGGTGCTTCGATCAATGTGACTGTCAGAACATGCTTGCGAATGGCACCGCTGTCTTCACTCTTTTTCTTGGTCTTGCTGTGATTGCTTGCCTTGGACATGTCACTGACCGTTCGCTTGGTTGGCTGCTTTTTTGCATTCAATTCCACGCTTTCGGGTAAGGGGCGTGCTGGCTTGGGCTTCTCGCCCTTTTTGCTCTTGGTGGGTGGTTCGACAGGAGCTGCTTTTAGATCGGGCTTCTTTGCTGGCATGGGCATCGCTGTGGGGACGTCGGCGTCGTCTTCCTCCTCGGGCCAAGCTGCTGCTTCTGGGGGAGTGGTGTTGGAGCGACGGAACATGTTCTTGAACAACTTTTTGTTACGCCGACTGGTTCTTGCAGACCGTTCCGAAACAGCATCAGTCATGACGTCGTTGCCATCGTTGCCATTTTCATCGACGGGGTCCACTGCAGCAGCATCCTTTTTCTTCCGACCGAGCCGTTTGGTCAGGGCTCGCGCAAGGCTTCGCTTGCCGGTGCCGCGTTCGGGTGCATCCATCGAATCCTCGCTGTGATCTTCGTTGTCATTGTTGCTGTTGGTGTCGTCGTCATCGTTCATGGGTCTTCGGACAGAGCCCAACAAGGGATCATTCGGTTCTTCCTCTTCTTCCACGGCTGGTTCCATGAGGTCGAAGGGAAGAGGCTTGACATTGCGTCGGCGCGTTGAAGTGTATCGCTCGGATTGACTCCCCATCAAGTCCCTTGCCTCTGCCGCGGCTGCTGCTGCGGCAAAATCATCGTCATTATCCAGACAAACTTTTGGGGTCATGCTGGCTCGTCGTCCGCGGGTTGACCTGGTACTTCGCTCCGATCTGTCCTCCATCAACTCCACCGGTTTCTCATCGGTAGCATTCTCCGGAGCTGCAATGGTGACATTGCGGCGAAGGCCCCGTTCGGGCTTCTTCTGGGCTTCGTTCGAAAGCTTGGGACTAGCGGTTGCGGCTCTCTTCAACGGCGCATCTGCCGCGCTCTTCTTGGGAGTCTTGGGAGGCGACTTGGCCTTTGTATTCAACTTTGGCATGGTACTACTTCGTTTGGGGGTGGTTGGTGTCCTTGGTTTGGTGGTGGGCAGCATAGTGTTGCGCTTGGCCATGGGGCTCTTCTTTGGCGAGAGTGGTGTTGGGTCTGAGACACGCTTCGGAGATGTTGGTGCTGGGGCACTCTTGGGACTCTCCTTGGGCGAGAGTGGAGCAGGGTCAGAGACGCGTTTGGGTGAAGTTGGTTCTTGGGCCGCACTCTTGGGAGTCTCCTTTGGTGAGACCGGAGACGTTGGTGCTGGGGCACTCTTGGGACTTCTCCTGGGCGAGAGAGGAGTTGGATCCGAGACACGCTTGGGTGATGTAGGCTGATGGTCACTCTTTTGCTCAATCGCAGCAGAAGGCGGGGCACTGCCCGTTGATGCCCTCAATGAAGCGGGGGGTTGCGGCGACTTGACTGGAGTCCTCGGAGCAGCGACTGGCATGGAGAGTCTCTTGGAAGCCTTGACTGGTTTTGGTGCGGTTGGTTCAGCAGCTTTGGCCGGTGGTGGTGTCGCAGGCTTGGTTGGCTCGACAGCAGCGTCGACCGGTGTTGCTGTTGTCGGTTCAGCAGCCTCAACCGGTGTTGGTGTTGTGGGTTCAGCAGCCTTGACTGGTGTTGTTGTTGCAGGCTTGGCCGGCTCAGCAGCCTTGACAGGCGTTGGTGTGGTTGAACCAACCACAGCCTCGTCCGGTGTTGGTGTGGTTGGTTCAGCAGCCTTGACAGGCGTTGGCTCGTTTACTTCAACAGCCTCGACCGGTGTTGGTGTGGTTGGTTCAACAGCCTTTGTGGCGCTTGCTGCTGCCTCGGCCAAATTCTCTGGCGCCGAGATACGTTTGGGTGAAGTTGGGCAAGCAGGCTTGCGTCTTGGAGCAGCAGCAATGGTATTGCGCTTGATGCGTCCTCCTGGTCGCGGCCTGGCTGGAGCCGTATTGGTGCGCTTGAAGGCTGGCGCCGTTCGTTTCTTGGCAGCCGCCACGGCTTGGTCGAAGCGATCCTCGTCGTCTATCAGGTCGTCATCGTCCAGGTCGTCATCGAGCAAGGCGTTGGCCAACTCTTCTGCTTGCGTTGTACTGAAGCGGAGGACAGCCGATTTTCGGGCCGGTCTGGCCATACCAGGCAACTGAGGCTTGGGTCTGGCACTGCGTCTTGGTACTGGGGCAAGGGCCGGAGCCTCTACCTTTTCTGGTTCTGGTTCTTCTTCCTCGACAACAGCAGGAAAGAGTTGGTCCAGTTCTTCCTCCGAGGGAAAGTTGCCCGCTTCTTCTTCATCGGTAGTGTCCGTGCCATCTTCATCAGGTTCTTGTTCCTTTTCAGGCGGCAGCGAGAGGATCTCTTGTGCTTTCATCATGACATTGTAGAGTCCCAGGTCGGCCATGACCTCGCAAAAGACCTGAAGCTTGTGATGGTAGTTTGCAATGACATCCAAGATTTGTCGGTCGGCCACTTCTGCCAGCAAACGCTTGTATTCCATGAGAATGTCATCGCACGCCTTGAGGTTGCCATAGAGACAAAAGCCGTTGGAGATCAAGATGGCTCCCATGTGATAGTTGGTGTATCCAAACGTCTTGATCTTGTCCGAACCGGATCCGGGCAAAAAGGTAGCCAAACCATCGCTGGCGTCGGTGGCATCGGCCTTGAGTTCGGACAAGCAACGGCGTGCTTTGACCGTGGCAGCGTCTTCGGAAAGTTCTCCTCGTGTAATGTGACCTTGCAGTTGATGAATAACCTTGTTCAGCTTGTGAATGGTTCCGCCGAACTCGTTGTACACGCGATCGGCTTGCTGTTGAGCATCAGAGCGGTCCAAGAAGGAGTCAAAGGCACTCAGAAAGGAAGACTTCCAACGGTCAAAGCCCTTGTGTGTGTTGACATTGTCCAATTCACCAAGGAGACGCTTCAGTTCAGGTTCGTCCTTGATGGGATTCCAAGAAGAGCCAGAATCAGGTGAAGCCATGGAGTCAGAGGGAATGGCAGTGCTCAGACGAAGCATGGTGGCTTTTTGCAATTTTATAAAGATATCGGTGGGGTTACTTGGGTTCTAGCTAGCTAGTTGGAGTGGCTGTTGAAGTGCCAACAAATGGAAATTATGAGCCAAAAGGAGAGGAGGAGGAGATCCGAGGGAGTCAAGTCTGTGAAAGTCGCAGCCAGCGGTACCACCGGCGCCGTACGGTACTAGAAGTCCTTCGTGACATACGGAGTCATGGACAGAGAAATTTGGGTCATTGGCTCCATGAGTTGTCTGGGATTCGTTTAATACAATGTCCTGGATAAGAAATGATCACATCCAAAAGTAACATGGCGCTAAATCTTGTCGTCATTGCAGGGACTCAGTATGTTCGGTGTATTCTGAAGTGCCTTTATCAGATTTAATGAAGTGGTTCCTCATGATGCGTTGTGGTCATTGATTTGGTACAGAACGTTCTATACATACCGTTTTTCAGGTTTTTGCGTTCCGAGCTGGTGTGTCTTGAGATCGTGGACAAAGGATGATACCGCTACACTATATTAATAAAATTAATAGCTAGTTAGCTAGCCACAGCAGCAGGCTAGCTAGCTAGCTCTGGCTATGCTCCACTTTGATGGTCAAACAAGCTGCTTAGCATCCATTTTCCTCCATCAATCCGTCAATAATATACCCAAAGATCACAACCATCACAGGCTTTTCTTTTTACTACATGACTGTCCAGGATTTCGAAAAGGCCAACATCCGTTCAACCAAGACTGTAAAAGAGCCATCGGAAAGATACAAGGCATCAAGGCAAGCCCTGATCCCGTTTTTCGCTGAGGCTAAGGGTGCTGCAATTTGTGATCTACTACATATGCATCTAGCTAGCGGCTAGCTAGCCCGAAGCTAGCTGTATCGTGGTCAAGGGCTGCGACGGCTGAATGTACAAGTGCTCTTTGTCTTGAGAAAGTCGGGCTACTGCTAGCTAGAGTTTCTGAAACGGGATCACACATTGCCTTCTGGAGGATACGGTAGACCTCAGCAGCATATGGTAGAGATACATGTACAGTAGATAATGCCTACTAAAAACCATTCAACTTTACTAAAACATAAAAGTAAGTCAAAGAGCTGTTCCCGGTCTGCTTTGTACATCCTCATCTGAGAAAGAGTTGTCACCCCACAGATCGCTCTATAGTGGGACGAATTCGAATCTGCAGGCAATTGAGGCGGCAGTTACCTCTGGTTGTCCAGGTAATACCCAATGATGAGAAATGCGCCATTTTGATTCTGGTGGGTTCCTCCTCCAATCGTTCTTAACGTCACAACCTAACCTGACCTGACCTGACATGTTCACTACCGGTACGGTACCATACAACCCCTCGAATGATTGATTCAATCATCAAACTGCGGGGAGCTCGTACAACTCAAACCACGACGTCAAGTGCGTCTTTCTCCTTGTCTTTTCACAAGCATGCATACGAAAGACCTCTCCTGGCTTGGGGTGGTGGTCTTGATTGACACATCTCTGCGATTGCGTCTTTTGACTCAGTTCAAATCGTCGTTCGTTAAAGCCACCACGAATGGAAAACCAGCGCTGCGTATGCAATGTTTCGTCACAGGTCTCCAAGGTAATGCGTAGATTGGTCCGTTGCAGACACCGTCCTTCGTGGAAGGCTTCGACCAAAACTTCGTCACTCGAGACGGGCAGAAATCGGAATCGTTGTCTTGGATTTTCCCGGCTGCACCCACCCACATAGAGTTCTTTGGGATCGCAATCCATTTCCTCCGTGCCCATCCAACAACGTCCCGTAATGGGGCTTCCTTCGTAGTCACGAGTCATGCACCCTAATAATGATGGAAGAATTTTAAAAAAGCAAGTAGCACAGGCAGCAACTTGTTAGTTAGCCAACAAGGGCATGCATGTCCAGAACAACATCAGACACCAATATTATGGTATCAAGAGTAGTATCGGTATACGTACAATACCGTTCAATAGTTTCATTCTGCCAGTTGTATCCTTCTTCCCAGTACACTTTGAGTGCAAATCCTTCATTGACCCAATCGTAGGGGATGGGCATGCCATTTTGGTAATTGAGCGGCCACACACAGTAATCGTCTCCGGACGGATCATTCCCCAAACATCCCGGGACGGGTGCTCCTCCCGCATCGCGTCGATAACAGCGCAATGGTCCCGCACAATCGCTACTGGAATCGCAGTCGGCTTGACAAGGACCGAGTGGAAATGCTTCGGGAGGATTGAAATTGTTGCCAACTTGTTCCAACGGTCGTGGTTGGGTATATTCCGGTGTCCAGAGCCATTCCAGACCGGGTTCAATGGGCGGTAACAATGGAGGTGGACCGACAAATTGAAAGGGTTCCGTCATGCCGTAGGTTTGAGCCCAAGAATTGGTGCCATTGGGTGTGGGAGAAAATGTGACTTGGGGTTGTGGAGTGGGTCGCAGCCGTGTGGGTTGTGGAGTATCCACAACAGTCGGCCATGGACTTGGTTGGGGGAGATTGGTGGGTTGTGGGGTATCCACAACAGTACTAGTAGCAGTAGGCCATGGTGTTGGTTCGGGGGGATAGGTGGGTGTGAGTGTTGGATCTTCTGTGGGACTCCTGGTGGGTTGCGGTGCATTGATGATGTTGAGCTGCGGTTTTGGAGTTGGGTTGGGAGTAGTGTCCGAGTCAAAATTGAAGTCCTCCTCCTTCTGATTGCTGTTGGTGGTGGTGGCAATGATAGAAGGAGGATCCGTGGGGGTTGGAATGTCGTGAATGCTCTCAAGGTCATTAAAATTGGTGTTTTCCTGAACAGTTGGAGCTGCCATGGGAGGCAAACCGACAAAGGTGGGAGACTGGGTGATTGGAATTATGGTTGGAGGTGGCGTATTATTGCCCGTGATTTGAGGATCCAGGATGCAGATATCCATGCTTCGGAATCGGTTTCCGTCGGCAGGAAACGTACAGCCAGGCACAGGCTCGGCGTCTCTTCTCTGGAAACAGATCAATCCTGGTATGCACTGTTTGAATTAAAAATAAAGAACCAATTCATAAAAAGGAAAAGGTGAGAAAAACAGTAGATAATGGAAGAATGGGTATATACCCTTTTTTAAAATGAAAACATCCTTGTATGTGTGGCACTTACACCACCATCGTCATCGCAGTCTCCCTCGCACAAACCAAGAGGAACACTAGGATCTCGTCCAACGGGGAAAATCTCCAACAGTTGTCTGTCGTCTCGTCGACGCACCCCAGAAACCGTACTTTCACTACTACCAAAAGTAGTAGTAGTGGAGGAGGCTGTCGCAGAAAAGGATCGACCAGCGAGAACTACTAGTAGTGCCAACGACAACAAACCAAAGCCTGTGACCCAGAAGACTCGACCAGATCCCATTCGTTTATTTCGTTGTTCTTCCATGGTCAATACTCGTGATGATGAATGGCTAATAGTAACTGTATCAATGGCCGACTGCACACTCTTCTTGTTTTGGAAAGTGCCGCCAAGCAGTCGAGCCAAAAAAATGAGGGCACGTTCCCATTGTTTTCAAAGGACGGTTCGGAGAATGGCTGGCTTGAAAGAGGAGGGCGGCTTGATTCCCGCATTGGATCCATTATCATGGTACGCTTTAGATCGAGACCCACAAGTAGCGGTGCCGGTATGGTAGCAAGGGAGCGGACATTACACATTGCTGCGGCAGAACTAGACTACTAGTACCGGTACCGATAGACCGATACATGTACCCTTTTGGTACCACCGTACAGGAAGCTGTACAGAAACAGAGCTGGATAGACGGATAGGTTCACACCGATGATGCCAAGAATGGCCGGTTTGGAGTGACAGTGGTTGACAATATGTCAATGTGTGTGTGGCTAGTCACAGAGTGGATGGTCAGTCCAGAGGAGGGTATATTGTTCTTCCTGGAGGACTTCAGGATGCTGCCAAGAGAAGCTATGGTGACCCAAGAGGCAGCTGAAGAAGCATGTGTGCATTGGGATGATGACACCAATGCCATGTGCACATGGCAGCTGTCTACAATGTGCTTTGTGCTTGCTGTAAATGAGGATTTGAAGATAGCCCATGCTTGTCCATTGTAATTCCACTGGGTTGCTAGCTAGTCAACAGGTAGGGTAGCCACTTTTCAGCGGGGGCGGGGGCGTCAACGTCCTTCTGGGCATGCACACGGAGCTTCACACGGCAGGTCAGGTTATCAGGAAGCACAATGCAATTGTCATGACATGAGCGTCGCGGTGGTGATCAAGATTGGCAACAGCACTCCAAAGAACGGAGCGAGGCAGTACCAGGTGCCAGTACATGCAGCTCGACTTTTACTTCCAGCTCTCAACAGCCCCCTTGAGTTAAGCTTGCTGGCTGTGGCACTCGAATTCTGCTTCACCCTACTAATTCGTCAATTTGAAAGGAAGCTGGAGCTTATATATCAGCAGATCACTTTTTGGACAGCTGAAAACGAGCGAAGGAGTATGAAACAGCTATATGACACCATCTTGAGATGAAGTACAGATCATAGCTGACGAAGCTATCTTTCATTGACTCAACATGTAGATCTCTATCATCGGTTACTCTTTCCATATGTATGGACTGACCACACTGAAGGCTGGTAGCAAGGGAAGATTCTTCAAGACCAGCAGGTGTAGCTACTACATAGTACAAACATCGCTCTGGGTGCGGGCTGTCTTGTAGCTTAGGGAGGAAAGCAGCTAAGTAATAGCCTGTCCATGGCGGCCAGCATGAGATCTCTCCAGCACAAGGACCCATGAACAGCCCCGTAGAAGCTCGAATAGCTCGCTCGCTCTGCATCAAAGAGAGGAACCAGGCTGTGCGTCGTGAAAGCAGAAACATCACGATCAAGAATATCCACCTTTGCACTCGCTCCAACGTTCAAACAAAGAAGCAAGAAGTGGCTCCACAAGGCCAAACAAGTCTCGAGGGTCTATACTCTGAGTAGTGGGTACCAACTGGTACGGAGTATCGTTTCTTTTCTTTAGTTAGTTGTTCCGTTGGTTGCCATGGTATGGGTTCGCTTTTGGCCACCTGAAGTGGTGAAAGTCCTCCTTCTGAGCATGGGCAAGGTCAGATTGCTTGTCAGGCAGGAAGCACATGACATGTCATGAGCATCGCTGTGCTGATGGGGGGAACGTATCAGCCCGGGTCCTCCTTTTTGCTGGCTGCACAAAGCAACCACGCATCAAAGGGAGGAGCGAGGCAGCTCTGCGCTTGCTGCCTGTTGTCAAGCTCATCTCTCTGCAGTGAGTGTACTTCCAGCTGAAGTCAAGAAGGGTTTTCCGTCCACAGTGGCTGTAGTCCATAAAGCACTTTGAAGTCGAGGAAGCTCCTGGAGCCAATCAGCGGATCACTTACTTTTTGGACAGCTCCTGAAAACGAGCGCGTGAAGAACTATGAAGGGCACTAGCTACTCGTAAGCAGTACCATGGTACCTTAAAACAATCTTTCATTGACTCAACATGTAGTTCTCTATCATCAGTTACTGTGTTCTATAAATGTATGGGATGACCGTGCTGAAGGCTGGAAGCAAGGGAAGTTTCTTCAAGACGGGCATGTGTAATGGTACAAACATTGGGGAGGTGCTGGCTGCGCTGCCTTGTAGCTAGCTTAGGCAGCATTGGGGAAGCAAATTTCGCCAATGGGCGCTCCTTCTTGGTCTTCGTCGTCTTCGGCCGTGCATCCCATTTTGAGACGATTCCAGTATTCTTGTGCCGCATCCGCATTCACATACGCGACATGATCGGTTTCGTCCCTCTTCATGCGATCCCAGTACTTGCCCGCCTTGTGGCCATCGACAAATGTCATTTCTTGCATCATGTCCATGACAAGGTCAGGGTTCATTTCCGACATGAGACCCATGATCTGAGGACTGCTTTTGCCACGCTTTCCTCGCATTTTCTTGGAAGCAGATCGCTTCTTCATCTTGCTTTCGTGAATGTCCTTGCTGTCCTTGCTCATGTTGCGGCGCAGCTTGAGTTGGGAGCTGTCATTGCTCGCGTCCATGCGGGCGCTGCTTTGGTCCATGGAGGTACTCTTGTTCTTGTTGAAAAGTCCAAACTTCATTGTGATGGTTGTGTGTTTTTAAAATAAAACTTGTGTGTTGCTTTTTGTGTTGGAGGCTTTTTGTGTTGCTCGAGTTGAGAATTGTGAGAAGATTTGAAGTGGATGAAAAATCGATTGAAGTGGTATTCTGACTGGATGGCAGAGCTCGGTCGCATTGCTGAGCTCATTGCTGTACTGTAAGCGGCAACTGTAGATACCAGTTCGCCGTTCGCCAGTTTGCTACCGTAAGACACCCTTCGGTCACTCACCTGTTGAGAACCGTGTCAGCGAACTCCTGATATTGAAGTCCACGAGCTGTCCAAGTCTCCAAGTACGCAGTTCTGGTACTACATAATAATATGTACATCAGTTACTGAGCTCTTACAGTAAAATTCCTAACTAGTCTACGCAGCTGGTACATCACAGCTGGTACCGTACTAGTAGTACATAATGTGTAAGACGACTTTCGTGTTCGTCCAAGACTACAATGACTACATTCACCTCTGAACTAGCCTCTGAACTTCAAGTTCTGCCAGAAACAGTCATTCTTGGACAAAAAGGTCCTTATTCATCCTGTAACTGCAGAGATAAGGGTAACACATGATAGTACACCAGAACTACTCCAGTATGCAAACACTGTAGATGACGTGCTCGATGTTGAATCAGAACAGAAAGGAGCCAATTCTATCGATCGAGAATGAGTTATTGGCAGTATTGGGTTGCTTCTGATGATTCAATAACTCTGAAAGCAGGACATAGAGAACACCAACAGATACCATCACCAGTTGGCTGGAAATGCTTTTAGCTTGAATCCGGACTTATAGACATGTACGCCAGAATGTTCAATTCATCAACCGTGGTGCGACGGAACTGTAGGTGGAGTAAAACAAAAGCAATTTGCGTATGTAAAAATACCTCGTCTTCTATGGACTCACCGGTAAACATCTCCCCACTGGTATAGACTTCGGCCCACAACCCACATCGTATCATGGACCAGCTCATGGACCGAAGACTGGCACGGATACCTCTAGTCTCATGTACGCGGACGTGGTGCAACAGGAAAGGAACTCATCAACCATTATTTCAAGCCTTTTTTCAGCATGCAATAAGCAATAAGCTATGTACCGAATGCGTAGTTCGAGCATTCTGCTTGCAATCTTAGCTCGATGATGTGGTGGCAAGTGAGTGTGTGGCTGATGTTGCAAATCAAGCAAAATCATTCTGGACCGAATTAGGCTGCTCAATGGTGCAAAGCCAGCTTCCAACCTCAGGACAACCGTGATAGCTACTAGCTAGCTAGTGTCTTCTTGTTTTAGTAAAGTGCTACATGTAGCTAGCGGCCGCAGGTAGAGAATGCAGCTGAAGCAACCACGGAGTCCCTTGCATGTACAGTAGTTGCCGTGTTTTTGCCGCCGCCCCTCAGGCTACTATAACTTAGTCGCAGCTTCAGTTGCTGAAGGCAGCCATTCCCCAAACCGAAAGCTCAACGAAACATCAGAGAGTGGTTGTCGGCAGTCGGCAGCCAACATTCATCGAGTCTCGAGGAATGCAAACAGTCACGATGATGTACAGACAAGGAGGCCAAAAAAAAAAAGCAAGCAACTGATTACGAACATGCACATAATTCACCCTTTCTCCGTTTGGTAGAATGGGAGCGGTTCACGGAGAAAGAGCGAGCAGTTCATGGAGGAACGAGAACGCCCGGTGGTTTCGAAAGCCAGGTGGCCAATCACCTCCTCACCACTGGCCGCGATAGTGACTTCAACAAGCCTCAGTAGTTTGAGCTATAGCTAGCTCGTGCGTCTGCGTGGGGTAGAGTAATAGCTACTAGCTATCGGCAGGTGCTGAGTTCGCTCCAAGCTAGCAAGCCAGTTTCCTGGCTTCTACCAGCTACAATCGTAGTAGCTAGTACAATGATTCGATTCCAATCGGGTGAGGAAGATGGATGAGTTGAAAATTGCGAATGGATCCAAAAGGCTGCCTGAGCAAATTGAAGGTGTTGTATGTAACCTGTAGTAGCTACAGTACCAGGTTCGTACCAGCCCCTCACTCTTTCCCTTGCTCCTGGACCAACTCTGGTGGGGAACCCCACCAAGAGTCGGACCACCAACGCCGAGCTCCTCGCCACCAAGACCAACCCTGGCCAATGGCTGACCAATCATCCCGGACACCCTTGGCCTGCCCCAGGAGGGCCCTTGACCTGCCCCAGGAGGCACCAAGATCGATCACTGTTGCATCATTGCATCGACAGACCCACAAGATTCTTGTCCCTGCATCTGGACCTGCACACTGCACACTCCCCACACTCACACAGAGAACCATGGGGTTCCACTTGATATCGGGAGTTTTGAGTCATGCATAAAGGTGCAAATTACACAAACTGTTTCTATTTCTACAGATTTCTTGAAACTCTCTTTTAGAAAACGCTTACACTCCTCCCTTGATATTAAGATAGTCCGAGATAAGATGTTGAGTGCTGAGTTTTGCTAGAATGTTAAGATATTTAGGCACTCAGATCTGCACTAGAGCTAAGATACCCAGCAAGCACTATCCCTTGGGCACATAAGAGATTGACAGATGATACAATGACAATTTTCTACAGCAAAATGCCTTGCAAACAGGTGCCAAAAGTCAAAAATTTTGCCTCCGGCAGATGATACACTGCTCTTTCCTCTCTTCACACAAGGGGTATGTTTAATAAGGTGCGAAGCAGAGTATAAATGTTGCTATGTACCATACTACTAGTATGATCAATAGAAATGGCAAGAAAGCTAAGATGTTGCCTTTGCACCCTGAATTTAAACAAAATGCTAAGAAGATTCTCAGTACAGATATTTGAGTGCTTGCTAAGATGGCTTCAGGGTTCAGGCGAACTTAGAGATATCTTAATAACAAGGTAATGGTGTACAATATGGCAGAATCGGCCAATCGGCCAATTCCTCTATTGGTCTTTCCAGTATTCTGTGAAATTTCTACGTTTTGGGTCTTTTCGGCAATTCCGGTCTTGAGCAGCTCGAAGGGCACTTTTGGTGGTGGCGAGCGCCTCTTCCCACTGCACCTCTATCTCAGTGCAACAATACACTTTCTGACAGTGGTGACAGTGGCAGCATCATTTCCCAGGGCACATACCATACAGACATCAAAAAGATGCACAGGGTGGTGCATCGGTACCTTTCCAATTTCCAAGTCGCGTTGGCGACATTGTATTCTCGTCAATCTTTCCTCCAATGCGTGCGTGGCATTGATCCAAAGTGAGTTCAAGCACAGGAGAGGAGATGGATTCTGTTTTAGCATGGTTGAGTATGGATACTTTGATTCCAATGTAGAGACAGAAAAATGTTTCGACCGTTAATACCCAAAAGTCTTGGTGAGTTTTGGAGCCAGGCATTGGCTTTTCCATTGCCCACTGGCTGCTTCATCCGTTTGACATGACCACGAGGTTCAGAGGCAGCTTCAGGTCGAGGTGCATCACCACCAGAAGGATGAGGTACAGTACCGGCAAGAGGATCAGAAGGTTAAAGTGTAGTACGATCGGCGGAAGAATCGAGAAGAGGTTGGAGATTCTTGGGTTGAAACATCAGTTGCCCGAGGCAGTTCTTGTTTAGTAGTACCGTCGGCATTGGAATCAGTACCGTACTGGATGTTGCAAACACTTCAAAAACAGATGCAAGTTCAAGCATCCCTTCAATTCGGCAGTCTCCAGTTTTCTACGGTGCGTGGATGGTGGTTTGTTTTGAAGTCGAGCATGTGTACCGATGCACTTTGGTAGGAATGATTCAATCACTTCCGCGGCGAAGAAAAATCTCTTATTGCACCGGTCCGGGATACATTTCGTCCAGCTGAAACACATATGGCAGCTAGCTTGCCAGCCAGAGGCGTCAAGAAGGGCTCAACAAATATGTAGAGCGAGTTGAAAATCCCCGTTTTATGTTGCAATCGGAGGAGTCTGCATGCGTCCGGGCTGATCCAAAACCAATTCACGGCCCGACAACAGGACCTACCGGTATGCATCCGCACCTCCTGGGTCAACACCATGCCCCCACTCCTGTCCTGAATCGAATCGGCACCAGAACCATCACCATGCCCCCATGATCTTAAATTGGAGCTGCACATGGGCCGTCAATCCCCTTGCCTTAAGTCACGACAAAACACAGGACAAAACACAGGCCCAGATCCAACATTCCGATTGGATTCACGTGAAGTCAAGGCTCGTTTTGCCCCGAAGCACCCTTCCGGTACATTGTATAACAACGCTGCATGCCTGGCATGGCCTCTGCGTTCTTGCGCAGCGGACTGGCCGAAAAATCCTATGTTGGCTAGACAAGCATAGAGAATTGGACAAGTCATAGATAGCGGCGAAGGTGCCGTCCATCCATGCGTGTTAGCTTCCGCACCATTCGGGGCAAGTTGTGACTTTCCCTGTTGGGCTTCCTGGATGGTGTCTTGAAACAGCGCCGCTACCCAAAAGCACGGCAAAAGCAACCGCAAAAGCATTGCAACCAGCACTCTAGGGATAACCGACTCGAGTGGCACTTCTCGGTCCATGTGAAAGTTTGTTGTAGAGCGACTCCCCTTCTGTTCCTTGAATCAAATGCGGACAACCATGCCACCAGTCGTAGCGAGATATGGCAATAGGCCACTCATTGTCACTGATAACTTGGTTGATACTAGTCTAGATTGCTGTCTGATTGTTGCTTCACCAGTATTGTGAGCTTCTGTGGAGGAGCATCTTCAGAGGGGTATCTTTCAGGGAGCCTGGCAAGCCTAATGATGGCCCTGCTACACAGGAAGCAGCTTCTTGTTCGCCTAAGCAAGATATAGGAAGCAGCCAATCCGCTCAAGGCAACCTGCATCTGTTCGCCCGATTGGCCGGCTGAACCATTACACCAGCCGCGAACTCCGCTCGAGGAAATAGTCCCCAACAGTCTCCACCAAGAAGTCCTGTCGCAAACTGGCGCTGGGCGACATCTTGCGGTGGTTTATTTTGTCTCAGGGGAATGGAGCCGTAAAGTAAGTGGACCCAGGAAGCCATCTTTGGAAGCTGTCCTCGCACACTTGACGATTCCAAGGGTGGCTCAGTACAGAAAGAAGAAAAGTATCAAAACGACGTGCTTTCTACGATCAGTCCGCTAGCTAGCATACTCGAGTCGAAGCTGCTGCCAGTGGTTCCTCTAGCTGTAGAGATATACCACGGACATGCTGCCTCGACTCGAGTCGTCACTCATCATGCCGCACATCCCATTTTCTATTTCAATGTGGACAACGGCATGTATACGAAGTACCAGTGCTCTCTTCCTCAAATCTTGTCGGCGGATGTCAAGGCAAATGCCGGACATTGGCCTGGACAATAGAAGAGGAAGAGCACACCACAGATGGACATAATAGGCTTTGCTTAGAGATCAATTGCAGTGCCTGAAGGGAGCAAGATCTTTCTGGGGATTCTCGATGGCCCCGTGGCTGCGTTTTCGATTCCGGCTAGGCTGTCGGCGCCAAGAGGGTGAACTCCATCGCTCTGGTGAAACATGGAGAAGTCCATACAGTGTGTTTACGACATCCAGTTCAGTGCTGGCTCTGCCAGCTTTACGAAGGACTCCAACAAAATCATCAAGTTCCAGGATCTGGTCATCTTGAACTCTCCTCCTCCCTGCCGTATTGGCCGCACAGAAGAACCAGAGAGGATCACTGCTGGCGCTCTCTGTAGTCTCGAATGTGTTGAATCTGATGTGTGTGAGGGTTGTGTTGGCGCACCGGAGAACCCCACCAAGATACTCTTGGTACGGCCCTACATTGGTTTCTCCTTCATACTCAAATGCTTTGAGGCTCTTGTTTCCAGCCAGGGCATTCAGGACTGGGTAGAGAGTTCCTATGAGAATTCGGGCGGCACAAATATCAAGCTCTCTCAACGTGGCCCGTGGATAGTCTCTCAGGAGCAGCTCACAAATTATTTGGCCAGTCCACTGGAGATTTCTGATGATGCCTATTTTGAGTTTCACAAGATATATTGCAAATTCAACGCACAGTCTTTCAGCAAGCTGTGGGAACATGCATTATCCACCCCATCCCATATCTGCAAATGCTGAACCTTGGAGCGGGATGCCAACGATTTGAACTGAGGAGTTCGAAACCACTGCTGGTTGGATGTGAATTCCATAGTGTTGGGAACGCAAGTGATTATCTCCCGAAGCTTTGGGCTTGCCATTAGGTTGTGCATAACCTCGATAAAGGCATTGCTCTGCCACTTCTGGCAATAATTGTGAAACTTCACACAACGTAATAGCATGGGTACCATCCCATGAGCACAATCCATATCCAGAAACAAACGGTTCAAAGGATTGTTCTTGTTGACCGGCCTTACAGGAGCAACGACTTGGCCCTCAATGCGCACATCATCATCTTCGTCCTCTTCCAACACATTACCAGGAAACCGCAAAGACTGGTCATAACACATGGGACTGAGCTGAAAGAGGTGCTGAATCAGGCCTCGATTCCATCTCCTGCAGCGCAATACACCCTTGAGAGCATTCTTTTCGACATACAGGTTGGAACAAAGGCCTGCGGGGTTAACGTTTGCAAGGGTGCGGACATCAAGGTCACTGTGCCTGCCTTGCACCATGGCGAGAGCAACAGGGAACCACCCGTCACCTGTTGGCACTCCCACCAAGTGAGGAGCCGATTCGGCCAGGTACGACAGGACACCTTCTGGAGCTCCACAGCGACAAACGTTCCAAAAGACATGCTGCGTCAAGGCAGGAGGATGCAACCGATGGAACGTCCTCACTGTTTCCAAATTCGCTCTTGCCATCAGAACCATTTCTAACGGCGTGAAACGGAGGTTACCAGGATCATTGACGAGTGATCTTTCCGGTCCTTCCCTCTCGTTGCCTGCAGCAGCCGCATTAGTGTCCTTGTCTTCTTCTGGGGGAACCATGGTCACTGCTGCTTCGTCGCCAACAGTAGAATCTTCCACATCATCTACCGGCAGGGCCACACCTCCATGGTCACCGCCACCCACATCACCTCTCTCTTGCCCTTCTTTTTCACTTTCATCCGCTCCACTGTCAGGATTCAAATCAACAGCAACGTTGGCCCTCGAAAACCGCCAGTTGTCTTGCAGGGCTTGGAGAAATCGGTCGAAGGGATCCATGACTTCCGGCTGGTGGGGGAAGCAAACCAAGCACAATGCTCAATGAACCAATCTCTGCAATGCTTTGCGATCCAAAGAGCGAGATGGCGCGAAGAGTGAACAATAGTCCAGAGAACGAGCAAGAGATCAAAGAATGCGCTCTATCAAAGGAACAAGTGCTCCAAGTAGGAATCAGCTGGTCCGATGATGGGGAATGATCTTGATTGTTCCAAGTTTCACCTTGACCGCATCTGTGTCAAGTAAGTTGACAAATGTCAGACCACCTTGAGTATGTAATAACTAAACGTTGCCAGTGGGCACACTTACTAACTTCTTGGCAGTTACAGCCGCTTTAGAACCTTACAATACCGTACTGTAGACCGCACCGTGGAGCCCGCACAGGACGGGTTGCGAAACTGGATTTTCAGGAAGATGGCTACAGCGATTTGTGTGGTGGATTGCTTGAGGTGCAGTGTGGCTATTGTGGTGTGTGGGTTCTCCAGCCAAGGCAGTAAACATGCTCTGTTCGCTGTTGGAGGTACTAGAAGTGACGTGGCTGGTGACCATTGCACTCCACAGCAAATTTGACAGGAAAGGTTGCAGGGTTGCTTACGGTGTAATGCTGTACATGTACGGTAGGTAAGACACATTGCTCAAAAATAGACATAACGGCAGAAAAGAAATCTTGAGTTCCCATTCGGTGTCACTAAATGTACAAGGTGAATGATTTAAACACCCATTGTTCGTTAAGTAATTGAAAGGCCAAATTTCTGTTTGAGCCAAATCATTCCAATAGTGATCTATGTCTGTATACCTTGATCATTAGATTCTATGGAATCTTGGAACTGTCCATTACCCCTACCTTACATGTTTCTTGTTTTTAATAAAATAAACTTGGTCTCATTTGCAGATGAGCCTGCCTGGGTAGAAGATCTCAGTAACCAATGCAGATTTTCTGACCCTACTTGGATGATGGACGAGGGGAAATCTTGGCGGAACACTTTCAAATTGAGCAGTTAATGTCTGTATACCTTGATCATTAGATTCTATGGAATCTTGGAGCTGTCCATTAGCCTGCCTGGGTAGAAGATCTCAGTAACCAATGCAGATTTTCTGACCCTACTTGGATGATGGACCAGGGGAAATCTTGGCGGAACACTTTCAAATTGAGCAGTTAATTTTAAAATGATAAATTGATTCAATTGTACTCTGTTTTTTGGTGCATCAATTCTACTAGCAGCAGCTTTCTTGCGGGTTATGGCATATGCCAGCTACAGTACATGTACTACTAGCAAAATTCTCGGTAGTGGTACCGTACCCAGAGTTTCAAAGGTTTTCATCTAAGTTCAACTCAGTACATGTAGCTACATGGACCGGAAAGATACCGATAGTGCTGAAAACAATATAGGTTCTTATGAGCAGGTTTGACTGCATTTATCGTAGGCCGAGTAAGAAAACACATTTTTTCCAAAGGAATGGACTTGAGTACTCAGTTGGACTCTGAGTTCACCGACAGCTTCTCTAAATGAGTCACTCTGAGTACTATGGTAATGCACTCAGTTCATTGGCATAGCCTCAAAAGACAATGTAGGGCATACCTACGGCATTTATCGAGCCCTGGAGTAGCTTCTAGAGTAGCATTTTGTTGACGAGCTGGCAAAAGTTGTTAAAGGAACCTGCAAGGAAATCTTGAGGAACAGTTGAGGCTTCAGCTTCCCCCTTCCAACTGCCTGTTCTGCCACTTGGCAGCAGCGGCTTCTTATAACTTGCTTCCAGTACTGGCTCTGGCTAGCTGGAGTACCCGTATGGTTCTTGGCTTTTTAAAAGAAGTTGGCAAAGTGTATTATGCTAGTCTATTTGCACACACCAGTGTCAGCTGCTGGAATTGTTACTAGAAGTCTACAGAATCAGATGATTCTATAGAATGGGGGAAAATCTGTAGAATGGTCTGATTCTATAGAATACCTGAGGAAGGTATACTAGAATTCTATAGAATCAGATCAATCTATAGAATCAAAGTATGTGGGAATCTGTAGAAATCATATTCTATAGAATCACACATCATATTCTATAGAATCACATATCATATTCTATTGAATCAATTAAATTTTCTCTTGTTTCTATAGAATCATCTTCTATTTTTTCTAATTCTATAGAATTCATATGCCCCCTGGGTCGTCTCCGTTTCCAGTACTAGTTTAACTTGTGTACTAATACAGGATAATGGTGAATAGAATCGAATGAATCATGTGGCTTATATTTAGGGTTTAGGTTTTGCAATTTTGAAGTCAACGTGTGTTAAGTGGAGGGTTGGCTCGCTTCCGCTGGGAGCTTGGTGTCTATATTCTTTTCCTCTGTTTCCCGCTCTTCGTCGTACTGGGGTATTCGGTAATAGGATCGTGAGCAAGTCGGCAGCTTTCTTCATACCATGTGGAGTGTCATCATTTGACTATTCGCAGGTGACACTTTGGCCGACGTGGTTCGTGGAACAGGTGGACGGGAGATGACGTATTTGGTTGCATTGGAACTGGGAATGTTTGCGAATAATATTGGAGTCCAGTATTGAGGATTTGAAAGTGAGGGCACGGGGGATTTATACGGGATGACGTAGGACTTACCACCGTTCTCCTGCTGGTGCTTTTCGAGAAGAGTTCCCAAGAAGGCCTCAAAGTTCATGCCGGGGGTAGTGGAAAACATGGGGAAGGGCCAGTGTGGCAGCTTGAAGGCGAACTGGTTGAGTAGAGGTGGGGGCGGGGGATGGTGTGCTGCGTAGTGGCTTGTAATAATGTTGCACGGGCACCAGTGATGGCCCGCATGCGCCGAAGTCCGATGCATCCAGGTTGTTTCGGTGAAATAAACGGACGTAAGACGTGAAACCGGGAGTTGACCACGAGGCCAAATAGAGTACACATGGCCCTTGTCGTCCTTGAGGAATTCGGATACAGTGTCGGTATTCGCCTTGATCGATCCAAGAATCGTCACAAGGTGAGTCATGATGTCGGAGTGGGTGATCAGCTCACTCCAGGTGTCATGGACCTTGTACACTTGTCTGTTCGTCGAGAACTAGGTAGGGTTCATCCTTCTTTGCCGGGTCTACACGTATTGCATGTAGGCCGGTTTAAAGGTTTCATTGAACCACTTCAAGGCCATTTCTGGGGGTTGGGATCTGGGGTAAGAAACGTTCACCAGTTGTTCGTCAACTTCACCTCTGGGGCACATATAACAAAGCCTCTTTGGTCATTAGCAGTACCGTTGGGTGCCTCGTACATAAGGAGCTTTTTCCCATCAGCAGAAGCGGGATCCACCAATTTGAATACCAACTCGATCATGTGCTTGTCAGCGAGGGCTTGAACAAAGGCCATCTTGTCTTTGGGTTTAACGCCTGTTTGCGGAGTGGTCTTTGCGTCGGTTGTACCATACACCCGGTAGCTTTATTTTAAACAAAGCCTGTGAACTTGAGGAACATTCCGGGGAAGGGGTACTCTTCGTCTTCCTTGAGGTTGCTGGGAATTACAGCGTGGAACTCACAGGAGTTGAAAGGATCTCTTGCTTTGTTGCCGCCGGCCTTTTTCTTCTTGCTGTTGATACCCGCGGAAGTAGGGGTTCGATTGCGACGACGTGTGTTGATGTCGGGTGTTTGGGAAGACATGGGTAAGGAGTTCTGAAAACTTGAAGTCCAAAAGAGGAAGGTGAGTGGCAATGTTGAAAGGAAAAACATTGTCAAACAGAAGGAGGTAAAATAGAAAGTACTCACGTGGGCAGGAGAGATGACTGATGGGTTGGCTGCTAGGTAGGATGAGGGATGTTTGAGGTTTTGCTGAACCGATTTGTGACTGTTTCAAGATGATCGATGCGATAGGAATGGATGCATATATACATTTTCAAAGCAAAGAAAGTATATAT